CAGGGGAAGAAACAGGTGAAAAGCAAAGGATCTTACAGACTTTGGGTGGAGAAATGCATTGTGAGACACTCTGGAGCCCTTTTAACATAGGCAACTGCCCATCTGTCCAGTGGTCAAAATTAAAAGGAAGGGCATGTGTGGAGGGCCCCCTCCCATCACCCTCTCCACTCACGGCACAAGGAACTCTTGGATATTGCTGACAATCTGCTTGCCAACCATGATGATGAAAAGTTGCTGGGCCAGTTCAATGAGGCATCCACCAGGACCACACTACGGGGTGAGAAGAAGAGGACCAGTGGGCACCTCACAGCCACGGAGAGCTTTCTGTGATGCTGGGGCTGTGCTTCTGAAGGCCAAGAGGTGCCCCTGCCCTGCCTCGGAATCAGGGCCTCGGCAGAGAACTTCACACGGGCAAAGAAAACTCATTTGCATGCCTTCAAAGGTGTTTGGCAGAAGGAAGTGCTGCTCCTGGCAGGCCCATTTGTCCCTCTTTTGTCCTTGGTTAAACAGGCATGACAGGCTTTCTTCAGCAATGTTTGAAAAACCTGTATAACCTGCTTGACTGGCATTGACAGCGGGATAAAGACAAAATGCATATGTGCACCATGGGAAGTCATGTCTCTCCCAGACTCTGGGAAATTCTCATCTTGTTCCAGCTTTAAGCATCCAAACTGGCAATGCCCAGAAAGAGACAAATGAAGCTGGCTCCCCACTCCCTGGAAGGCAGGGCCCAGGGACAATGGCTCTCCTGTGCCTCAGTACTTACATCTTCGTTCCTCATGCCCAGGAGTTTTCCATATTGACCAGGATAGCCCACAAACCTGCTGAGACAAAGAGAGGCATCTGGCATGGCCACCTGCATCGGGACGTGCAAAGCGAACCTCGAGAGTGGGGTTTCTGCGGTGATGACCTGGGCTCTGCCATCAGAGGTTCAAGCCCAGTCTGAGGAGCCAGCAATTCCCAGAGGAGGCTGGGAGGTCAGAAAGCTGTGGAGGGACTCAGAAGGGAACTATAGAAGGGAACTATAATGTTGAGGAAGAATTTGGCACACTAATTCTAAGAGGACGGGCTGAACAATGGAACATGAACAGCCAAAGCCTCTGCTGACGCAGGGACTGGGCTGTGTTTGGCACCGGTTGCTTGCACCTCTGCATAGTTGTAGTGAAGGAGTGGTAGAATCCTGGCCAGCATAAGGTCAAGGAAACAACTTTCAGAAAGCCGTGAGAGAGGAGAGACATCCCCCAGGTTTGCACTTTGCCTCTTCAGCAGCTATGGAGCACCCAGAAGCAAGTGGTATCTCTTTCATTACATATTTATGGCATCCTTACCCTGCTGTTCAGTTGTAACAGGCTCCCACAGTGACATACAAAGATTTGGAATAATACTGTCCCTCCCTCAGCCTTGCAGCTCAAGACATGAGACAGGAGGATTAAAAGGAAATAAAAAAGCAAATGTGTGGGACCAGTTGGACCAGGCCAGTCTCCTCTTGCCATGAAGTTTTTCCAGCTGGGAATCTGTTCTGCTGGCTGGGGCCCAGCCTGAGCCCCTGCGGGATGGGCTACTTCTTCAGTAATGTACCCTTTCCATCTCTGTCTCCCAAATTTTTCCTTCCTCATCACTGCTGTGTCTCATACCTGCCTTTGAAGAAAGCCACATAGAAAGGGGAGGAGTAGAAATTAACGAACTGGAAGATGAAGACTTTGAAGGTGAAGGCATCTTCATGCTGTGTCTGAGTCCGGTGCATCTCTGCAAAGGTAGCACAAGTGGGGTGGCTTGGTCTGTGTGTGTGTGCAAGCAGTGAGGAATGTGCCAGTTGCTGAAGCTTGGAGGCACAAGAGGGCCATTTTTGCGATGGTGCGGGTAAAAGCCCACCTGCAGTCCCAAAGCTTGGAGATGTTCCCAGAGGACAGCTTTAACCATCTTGTCCATCACCAAGGAGGCCAGTGACTCAGGCTCAGGCGTTCAGCACAGGAAGGGGAGGTAACCACTGGCAGCCAGGAGGGAAAGGGGCGGGTCTCAGACTCACCCCACTTGGTGAGCTTCTCAGCCAGAGAGGTATAGACTTGGCTCATGAGGAGAATGAGTGCCAGGTTGACCATGGAGCTGCTGATGTTGGCGATGTTTCCTGCCTGTAGGACACAGAAGGAAAGATATGGCTGTAGTCGCCCCCTGACCTGTCCAAAGCCACCTCCCTCCACAGAACCTAACAGGGAGGGGTTCATTTTCCATTGGAGTTGTTTAAACTCCCCCAATGGAGACCCCAGCAGGCCCCCAGCCAGAAAGTCTGAGTCTGGATGCATTTGTCCCCCTGAAGATGGTATTTGAGGGCTGGCATTGTACCTGAATGCAAAACAAGCAAGTCCATAAAACACAAGGAGTCAAATCCACCAAGAATTTTGTGGCGCTGTGAAGACTAACTTAATTATTCTGGCAGAAGCCTCTTTGCCCCAGCCCAGCCCCAACCCACCCCCAGACGCATCCTGCTGCAATGTCATCATTCAATGCCAGCAGGTCCAGTGGTTTTCATGGACCATGGTCTATTTTATCAGATGCAGGTCCATGAAACTGTCTGCCAGTATAATATGCTTCGGGAGTCTTTGTTGTTTTTGCTGCGACAGACTGGCGAGGGTCCCTCACTAATAGAAACCAGATGTGTAAAATTCATTACACAGTTTCAACCAGTTCTCTGCTTTTGTCACTAAAGTCGCGATTGCTCGATATTGTGTTCTCTTAATGACCATTGGCCATGGTGTGAGAAGGAAGGAAAAAGAAGCCCGCAATGTCTAGCAATGTTTTTTAGGGCTCCCTCATCTCACAGACTGCAAGAGGACAGTCTCTGCCCATGGAACATGGAACATGCGGGGGGCCATGGCAGCGGCACGCTTTCCTCAGGTTGCTGCACCGAGGTTGCCGCCCTCTCACCTGGGTCATCAGGACGGTATTCCCCGTGTGGTACATCATGGTGCTGACAATCCCACGGTACATGATCACCGACACCAGGAAGATCATCACCACACAGAGCTGAGCAGGGAGATACCCAAAACATTGTGGGGGTGGCAGTGCTGGTTTGCTTATTTGTATCTTTACCCCTCCCCCACCCAAGAAAAATCCCAGAGTGCTTTGCGAAGATGGGTAAGAAAGGTTGTGCCCCAGGGTTAGAGCCAAGAGAATACAACACAAAAGGACACACAATGGGGAGGGAGGAGGGGGCAAAAACAAGAACACCCAAGCACCAGTTCCTTAGTTTCCATGTTCTTGGAGGCATTCTTTCCAGGAGGGATACAGAAAACACACTCCCTGCATGACGTGAACACAGGTGCAATTAATAGACTCCATGCAGGCAAAACCTCCGGCTTGGGCACCATTTGAGGATAAAAGAGATGGAGGGGCTTGGGCACATTACACAGGGATAGCTCCGCCCGTAGAGCCTTGTCTGGGCAAGTGTGTGGAGCCATCTCACCATGATGATGATGGCCATGGATCCAGTCAGGATGCGTGAGAGCCGGTCACGCTCAGGGAAATGGGGCTCTTTCAGCCCAGTGACAGGGTTCTGCTCCATGCAAGGAGCCCGGGCAGCAAACTCAGGCCGGGGCCGCTCCTGGAAGATGGCAAGAGAGAGGGGAGGCAATGGCTCCTTGAGGCACGGTGCTGTGATCCCAAACAGAGAGCCACCCCACTAGATTAAGGAGAATTGGCCTCTGAATAAACATATTCAGGATTGTAACACCCATCTTGCATTGCTGCACTGCTGCTTTAGGATTTTTAGACTAATGTAGCTTGTGTTGTGCACTTGTATTGCTTTCTTCAGTTAGTAAATATTTGAGTCACCCTGGGAATGCTGATCAACTACTAAGGGGTGTCTTTGTTTTGTTTGCGTGACTCAGCTTTCACTGGCCTTTTCTGTCGGCAGAACCTGGAAGCAGTGGCCTAACCAAGGGAGAGGGAAAAGAAACCACCAGGGCCTCAGGAACAGCCGTGGAAGCTCTGCTCACTTCCCCCAACACATGACTGGTGGGAGTGCTCAGTGCCCACGTGTTCAGTCCCACACAGAGTTGCAGTGGCTGGCCGGGCTGTCTTGGTGGCCCTCCTAACGCCTCCAAAAGGGTTAAGTGAGGCCGGGGATGCCAGGAGGGCTCGATTCAACCTCCACTTGCCTCCTCCTCTTGGAAATCCATGCAGTCCCAGTGGTGGGCCAGTGTGGCATTTTTCCGCTTCCAGTACTCCAGGAAGCTCACAGCCCAGAAGGACATAAAGATGCTGAAGAAGACAGTCCCTGGATGGTCAAAGAGGTATCCCACCTGTGGGGTGGGGCGACAGGAACAGAAGTGGGAAAGAGGCCGGCTGCTGGGGCAACGCGCCTCTTCCCCTCACAGCTCTGGCGAGGCCAACAGACATGCGAAAAGGCATTAGCACTCGCGAAGTAACCCACGCTCCTCCTGATGAGTCAGCTGACCTTATGCTTCGAAGTCTGAGTTAATTTTTACTGGAACCCCCAAATCTACCAAGCAGAGCCGGGTGTACAAGTTAAACACAGATTTAGAGATGCTTTCATTGAAAGAAGAGTCTAGAAATGCATCAAGTCAACAGCATTAATGACTGGTTGCACAAATTTCTCCCAAAATTGCTCCAGTCAATTTAAATCCACCCAAATTCTGGTTTCAGGAACGTTCAAAATCTTGAACAAAAAAATGATGAATGAAACGTTTGTAAACACCCTGCACTGACTGTGACTGCAGCAAGGCCGGGACCCGAACCTACAACAGCTCTTGCTGTATCAGCCTCCCTTCCTTTACTCTCTACAATAGCCTTCCCAATCTGCTGGACTACAATCTCCAGTATGCTCTAGGCTCTGTGGCGTCACTGCACCCCTCTTCTCCCTTATCCTAAAAATGCTTTTCACCTTCACCATGGAGCAGATCTCAGAGAGGTTCCAGTTGCCACAGGTGTCGCAGAGGGGGCACATGAGGTACTGCACCCCACTGTCGCAGATTTCTTGCCTGGTCAGAGAAGAGGGAAGGAGTAGATGTCAATGGAGAGGCCACCCTACTGGGAGCATCTAAAGGCTGTGCCACATGGGCTTCAGTCCATGTTGGCACCCCTTAAACAGCTTCTGTCTCTGCCCACTGCTTGAATTTGATGTTGCTGTGTTGGATGTAAGAGGAGGACGCAAGGCAAGGAGGGTCCCTCCAGCCCCTGCCCTGCACTCCTTGGCGTTATGCAAGAGAGCAGGAACAGAAGGGGGCTTGAAGGGAAGTCCAGGGATGTCCTAGAACTCCTCTCCCCAGGCACTGGCCTGCCCCCTGGCTGCCTGGCCCCTGCCTGCCAGCTACACTCACGCGGGCATGTCTGTCCCCATAGTGAAGAGGCCGGCCAGGAAGACAAATGTGCCAACAGCTGCAGCCGGGAGCAGCCAAGCTGTGTAGAAGCCTGTGAGGGACGACACAAGGAAGGCAGGGCCTGTAAGCAGTACGCAGCCCCGCACCTTTTCCCTCCCTCCTTTCTCCCAGGATCCACTTCCATCATTCTCTGTCATGCTCTGACCCAGGTGTAGACAGAATCTCTCTTGACCACCAGGGTCAGCAGCTCAGATGATGAGAAGCCATTTCAGAGAAGCACATGCAGAAAGCAGGGCTTTGTTCAAGCCAGGCCTTCAAAGCATGAGGAGGGAGACTCTGAGTATGTACCGGCATGATAGTCTGCCACTAGACACTCTGAGGTGCGTGTGCCCCTCACACCACCTCATGTCCTCCAGATGTTCTGGCCATCCTGGCTGGGGCTGATAGGAACAGCAGTCTAAAACAGTTTGCCTGAGATTGGACCTTAGAGAGGTTGAAGTTGCTCAGTGCCAGGTTTGCTCAACACAACAACAAAACCACCAGCGCAGCTAAGACAGGAGGGCCCGTGCCCACGGGAACTGGGGAAAGTAGTATGCCCAGTAGGGGGCAGCTTACCCAGCCAGGCAAAGTAGATGGCCACTTTCTCTCCAAAATACTCCCGGATGTGGTCCAGGGGCTGATATTTGTACCAGCATCGCCACTGGGCCCAGAAGCGGAACAGGATCTGCCGGGGGTTCAGCACGTCATCCAGCACCTCATAGTTGGGCAGCTCAAAGGGGCCCTGCAGGAAGAGGAGGACAGGCAATGGATAAGCAGACCAGCACCCTTGTCACCCACGGTAGGGACACAAGGTCAGATTGGAGCTGAACTCTCCCTGGCAGATGACTCCAAGTGGCTGAGAGGCGCACCCCAAGAAGGACAATGGAGCTTTGTTGGAGCTTTGCCTATCTTGTTTACTCTCCAAAGAAAAATACCTTCTACACCACAATTTGGGAGGATATTACAAACAGATCACATCAGTCGAGGTCTGGTGCAATATATTCTGAACATCCACCAAATGCTGTTTGGCATTTCACCTGATAGAACATGAAATTACAATGATCAGAAGCAGAAGAGAGCCTTGGAGCATGTAGAGAGTGCCCCCTTTTCACATCAGAACTGAGGCATCTGCCTGACACCGACAGGTCCTGCTTGGTCCATTGTGCCCAGCTCTGTTGAGGCTGACTGGCAGTGGCATCTTTCCAAGGTTTCCGGCATGGGCATTTCCCACTGAAGATGCTGGGGGATGTTGAACCTGCAGCCTTCTACTTACAAAGCAGGGGCTTTGTCCCTGAGCCACAGTCCCTCCTCAGTGCCAGAAACAGCACTGACACACGCGTGAATGACGGGCTTCTTGGCACCTCTCCTCTGCCCTCTCCATCAGAGCCCCCCTGACCCCTGACCTCATGCAGTGGGAAGGCTGCAGAATACACGCCCTCATTCAGCAGTCGGTCAATCCCAATTTCAGCATGCTTCCGCTTCCCGTAGATGGTCTGAGCCAAGATCTCGTACACCTGTCAGAAAGGAGGGATGGCTGAGGAAGATGGCAGCTGCACTTGGGAAGCAAACAGGGAGCCAGCAGGGGTGGTGACAGTTAGGGTTGGGCCTCCCCCCACCCCCCCCGGAGCACTCACAATGCGATGCCTTTGTGTGTTGGTGAAGTAAGAGTCTCGTGCATCACTACCCAGGAACCTGAGAACGAAAGAAAGGCAAGCATTTCAAATGAAAGATGGACATACACTTTTAAGAGAGCTGAATGTGGCCTAGGAAAGATTTTTGAGTTATGGAAGTATATTGCTGGGCTTTGGTTTTACCCTATTGTCATCTCTGGCCAAATAGGTTTCGGAAATAATTAGAACACTGCCAAAACTGTATGAGCATAGGTTGCAGTGGGATGAGAAGACATGAACAGGACAGACCCTGCCCTGCAGCAGCCATCCGCTTCCAGCCTTAAATCTTCTGAGGGGGATGTTTCCTGCTAGCCCTAGAGCAGCCATGAACTCTTTGTGCCAACTCTTCTGCCAACAGCCTAGCAAAAGAATACTGGCCTGCACAGCAGTGCTGCAGCGAAGATCACAACCAAAGAACATAAGTGAAACACTTGGAACATCCCAAAGCACAACAAAAAAGGCATCTCTGGCCCTGCTCTGCTCCTTCTATTGATCATTCAGTGATCTCATGGCTTCTGAGCAGTTTCACTGCTAAAAGGTTGGAACTCCTCCCTGAAGGCGTACCTCCTGGCAGCAAGAGCTTTGGCTACAGTGGCTGCTGGCCTTTGTCATTCTGGCCCCGCCTGTTGCCTCTAGCCCTGCCCTCCCCTCACGCCTGGAATGCAATCCTAACAGGACCACTAAAGTGGCAATTGGCTCTTAGGCCAGAAAAGGTGCTCCTGGACTAAAGGATTTGCAGCTGTAGCTGTATGACAAGCAGAAGGGACACAGCTCCCTCCACCTGAAGGAGAGTGCACCCCGGACGGGCAGGGATCCCGCCCCCCGTTTGTCCTCACTCACCTGTCAAGCTTTGACTTGCGAAAGGCACAGGTGTAGTAGTCCACAGGTTTCTTGGGCACCCTCTGGTCCATAACGTTGGGGATGTGTAGCTTGCGGAGCAAGTCTGCTGAGCTGTTCCTGTCTGGATTGGGATGGGCCTAAGCAGGGAGCACAGGAAGATGCCAGCAGGAACTGGTCAAGAGAAGAGAGCCAGGAGGCCAAAGACCAGCATCCATCCCCAAGTGTCCCTTCCCAGTACAGGTGGAAGCCAGCCAGGTGCTCACCTGGAGAGGTGCCCGCATGCAGAGCTCTTCCGCATAATACACCAGCACTTCCCAGGGAGCACTCAGCTTCAAGTAGTGAATGCTCTTGTGCTCACTCAGGGTCTCCTCCTGGAAAGAGAAAGTGTGTGAGCCAAGGATGGCATGGCATTGAGGGGCCTCTGGCAACAACCCAGTCAACCCTCTTCCCCACATGGATAGTGAGAACACAGTCACTGGTTCACGGCTTGTGTGATAGGCCACCCTGCAACCAGACCAAGTTCACAACCAGCTCATTGGAGGACAAGGTCTCCCCTCACCACTGGCCTCTCCAAGCAAAGCCCCCAGTACTCACTTTCTCCATCAAGAGTCCTGCATTCTGTAGGTTCTTGAGGAACTTTCTCTTCCATCTCTCACGTTGCCTTTGGACCTGTTCCCAGCCACCTGCCCGGCTTGCTGCCCTGTCTCTGTCATGGTGTGGCTGCTTGCTTCTCCTCTTTTTTGAGGGGCGTAACTTCTCTTCCCAAACAAGCACAAAGTCTGCAACCAAAGCAGAAATGGGCAAGAAGGCAAATGGCCCAAAGTTAAAGCATATGCGACATCAGAACCTCTGTAGCAGCAGCACTGCCAGATCTGCATCGTTTCTGAAGTAGTGGATTACTGTGCTGTTATCCCCTCTGGGATGCACACGTTCACATGGCAGCAGGGTTTGAGAGGGTCAGAGGAGCTAGGCTGGTCTCCTAGCTAGTTCATCCACAGGGAAGGGCCAAACTGCGATGCCATGCTAAGTTGCATCCACACCATTAAGGAAGAACGGTAGCATCAGCAGAAGAGAAAAGGAAGAGTACTCATGATTGTATCAGAAATATACACTGGCTAATAGAGCATACCCAAGGAAGAAAGTCACTCTGTGCTTTAAAAGGTATAGCAAAGCATTTGACTGTGTAGATCATGAGAAGGTACAGATGATTCAAAAAGAAAGGGATAAGTCTCGGCACTTGGTTGTTCTGTTACGTAAACCTGTTCATGGACAAGAAACTACTGTTGGGAGAGTACATGGAGAAACAGAATGCCTTCTCACAGGCAAAGGCATCAGAGAAGGGTGTATTTTATCCCCTTATCTGCTCTATTAGTACACAGTACATACAATAAGGAAAGTTGTAATTGGGATCAGAGGAAGGAGGAGTGAACATTGGTGGAAGATAGATCAATAATTTAAGATATGCAGATGATACCATCTTACTGGTAGAAAACAGCAATCAATTGAAATGATGACTGATGAAGTGAAAGAAGAAATGCAAAAGTAGGACTGCAGCTGAACATTAAGGAAACAGAAATCACGACTACAGAAGCATTACACAGTTTTCATATTAGCAATGGAGAAATAGAAATTATGAAATATTTTGCATACTTTGGTTCAAGCATCAGTTCTAGTTGTAAGCCATCTTGAGACCCACTTGGATAAAGATGGGATAGAAATGTTTTAAATAAATAAAAATAAATACAATAAAATTCAAAGGGAGACTATGGCTAAGAAATTGGAAGGGCAACAATGAAAGAGCAAGTAAAGATTGTCAAATGTAAGAATTTTTCACTCAAGACCAAAGCCAGGATCTTCCACACTATTGTATTCCCAATCACTATGTAAGGGTTTGAAAGCTGGAAAGTGAAGAAGCTGACAGGAAGAAGATGGATGTGTTTGGGACATGGTGCTGCAGGAGAGCTTTGTGAAAGGGGCACAAGGGGGGCCTGGATCCAATCAAACTGGAACTTTCCCTGGAAGCAAAGATGGCAGAATTGAAACTGTGATACTTTGGGTACATCATGAGAAGGCAACGGAAACAATAATGCTAGGAAAGTCGAAGGCAGAAGAAGAATGGGAAGACTGGCTCTGGGATGGATCGGTTTCATAATGGATGTCACAGCCTTGAGTTTACAAGAGCTGAGCAGGACTATGAAGGACAGGAGATTTTGGAGTACGTTAATTCACTGGGTCACCATTAATCAGAAAAAAAAGTTTTCTCCTGCTGTGGCTGTAAAGATTTACCTGGCCACCTTAATGAAGTGCTCTTTGGAAAGCAAACTCTTATTTTGTGGAGCTCAGTGCCTGCAAAGTTATCATCTGCAAAGAAATTAAGTCACTCTGGCAGAATAACAGCAAGAAAAGGAAGCAGAGATGAAATACTCACCGATCTTGTTTCTCCCATCTTTGAAGTAGTTACCACTGGCAGCACTTGTGTCATCAAAGCCATCATTGCCATAAACACAAATGGGGTTGTCATCATCATCATCATCTGTATCCTGTAAACAGAAATGGAATGGTGTGGGGGGACCACACTGTGTGGCCCAACCTGTTTCTGAGAAACAGGCCAGGAGGGGGCATCACCAAGGGGTACTTCAATGAAGTAGCTCACTGTCTGTCCAGAAGACAACGGAAAATTCCCCACCTCCAACATAAATGCCCCTGTGGCTGTAGAGTCAGAGTTGCAAGTACCCCAACTGGCTCCTTTCCTGCACCTTGCATTTAGCTCCTTGCGAGCAGACAGGCCCTAGGACGAGGAGTCAGCCAGCCTGTGCAGTGTGGGCTGGTGGGTTCCCATTGCTGAGCTAAGACTCCTGCTTCGTGGTGACCAGGCTGCCTGCCACAAGGGGTGGGCTGCTGCCCCTAGACTAGTGGATACGGAAAAGATTTGCCTTCCCTCTGTCTCCCCACCCAGGGCTGAGTTATGGCCAGCTGCACTATTCCTGAGGGGTGATTTGTTGCAAGCTGAAATCTCCTCCTGCTTTCCTCTGTGTTCGGCACAACGCCACAAGCCCCCTGCCGGCAGAGTGCCCCAAGAGGGTGGTTAGTGGCTTCTGCCCCTTGGAGGGCACTGGGGGTGCTTTGAAGGGCATTTTCCTGCTGTTTCTTCAGACGCTCCCAGAGAGTTGCAATTCCAGGCCTTTGCTGTAGAGGGCATGTTGGAAAAGCCTTCCCCAAGCAGGTGCCCCCCAGATGTGCTGGAGAGCAGTTCCCACAATTCCCCGGTGAGCAATGTGATTATGGGAATCGTAGTCTAACATATTTGGAGGGCCCCAGGTGAGGGAAGGCTGCGTGACAGGTGTCCCTCCGAATGGACGCAGATGCAGATGCATCGCTTCCTTGCTGCTCAGTGACCATTCAGCCTCAGACACACCCAAGGAAGAGCCTTCCCAGCAGGAGGCCCCAGGAGGCTTGAGCCCCAGCAGTTCTCCTCCCTGAAATTCAGTGCCCGTTCCTTGCCCCTTCTATACTTACAAAGCTGTCCATGCCCCCTCCATTTGGCAGGGTACTTATGTCACCAAGGAGGCCCGAGGGACTTTTCTCTGTGCGAAGGAGCAATCCGTTGTCCGGAGCAAAATGCCCAGTTCCCTTCTTGCGGATCATAGTGCTTTGCGGCAGATCTCAGGACCAGGATCCCTTCATGATCGTGTTGGGCGCCAGGCGCTGCGCTCCAGAAGAAGTCCTCAGGGAAAGGGTGGGGAGGACGCCAGGGCAGAGAGACCCCCTCCCGCCACTGCCTCCTTTCTCCAGCTCATCCCTGCTCCTGGAATCCTCCATCCCCTTGGCTGGGTAGCATCTCTGGCTCCATAGTAGAAAAGGAGGAGGAGTGAACTGTGAGAGAGCAGCCAAGAGGAGACCTGCCAGAGCGCCTGGGAAAAGGCGCGGCTGTGGGATCTGGAGCTGGCAGGCACCCCCCTCTGCAGGTCTCTGCACTGGCTGGCTGCGTAGCCATGGAGACTGGCGGGAGGAGAAGGAAGAGCAGCAGCAGCAGCCCATTGCAGGCTCCAGGAGGAGGGAATGGGAAGAAGTGGGCTGGAAGCACGACTTCCTGGGATCAGCGCGTGATCAGCGAGCTGCAGAGGCAGGGACAGGTGGGGGCCTTAAAGATCAAGCTGTTTGGATCTTCCTTACAAATTCGGCAGGCAGGCCATGGAGGGGAGGTATTCATGTGAATGGGCTTCTGTAACACCCTGTTCTAATTTTTTCCACCCACTTGGAGCCTTCAAGGATGACTCTAAATTCATACTGGGAGGACAGATCAGGCTGCATGGAAGTGAGCTGGGGACACGGTCTGTGACAAGCAACACCTGTCCCCTAAGTGGCAGGGCCAGCAGATGCTGCTGCGGTCTCTGATACGTGTCTGCTTGGGGCCATCTGTCACCTGCATTCTGGAGGTGCCGCAGCAGCAGAAACACCTGCTTCAAGGTAGACAGGCCTTTCCAGTCTCTGGGGGTTCCTTTACATTCCCATCCTGAGGCCGCTTGACCCCCACAGAGGCTGGCCCCTGGCACTCCGGAGTTGCCTTATCAGTTACAAAGCATCACTGTGTAGGGTGCTGATATAGCTAAACATACACGGCCTCTCAGCTGTGAGTGATAAACCTTTATTAAAGTGGCTGCCATGATATGTACAGGGCAATGAATCCATACAGAGGTGGTGGTGGATGAATGCAACCTACCCAGTGGGGGGCACAATCCACCCCCCCTGCTCACTTCTCATGCTGGTAGGGAGCAATCCTTGCTTTGGCACACCTTTGGCTTAAAGCCAGAGGGTGGCTTCCTTGCACCCCTTTTCAAACTGAGCTTCGACTCTGAAGCATGTGGCAGCAACCATACCGGCCATGGCTACTTTAGAGAGCAGGGCTGGTGTCGTGGGCATCGAGCAAGGACTGCTGGGCCTTAGAGGGCTGCCTTCCAGCCAGGTGGCCTCTCTGCCTCAGCCCAGTTTGCCCTAGCTGTGCTCTGGCTTGAAGATTTACCTAGGTCATGTTGGCACTGGGCCAGCAGCTCCCTGTGCCTGGGCATCATAGTGGAAACTTGGTTTCAAGGTCTGGAATGTCATTCAGTGGCTCCTGCAAGAATGGGTCACTGCCAGGCTTGGGTGCCAGTTCATGCTTTCAGCAATGGGATGGCTCTTCCAAAACTTCAGGAGTTTCTGGCAGAGGGATGAGTCCTGCCACCGCCTGGTCCTGCCGCCAGAGATGTTCTGCCAGGCCGTTCAGAAGATGGGCCACATCAGACAGTCTGGCATAGCCATCCAGGCTTTGTCCATCACCCATTCGTGGCGTGTTGATGCTTTTTGCTCGCAGAACAGGCAAGCGCCAGGCATGGCGGAAAGTTGCCACGTTGTGCTCTGTCACATCCGTGTGGGCAAACTGGTCAAACCTGGAGGAGACTGGTCAAGGAGTCAGGGCGCCATTCAGAGAACACCACCCTCAGCACTAAAGCAGGCCCAGCCGTTTCTTCTCCCTGCAGGACCCCAGGAAGGCACCACGGCCACTGGCCACTTTCAACCCTGCCCTGAAGGCCAAGTATCACCGTGGCCATTATTTCCAGAGAGAAGCAGTGCCACTCTTGTTGCAGCGGAGTTAGCATGGAGTCTGGCACCTGAGTGCTGAGCAATTGTATGCTGGCAGCAGGTTTTGTGCCCAGTTCTTCTCCAAAGATTTTGTTTACTATTGTAATAGAAATGTGTCAGGGGAATAATACATGAAAACGAAATCCTTCTTTGACCCTCCATTAGGGCCATTATACACATGACAACAAATACATATATTGTCAACGTTTGTTTAACCTGGCTATTTCTAGTTTGAAGTAGCCGGTGGATCCCAATCCAGCACTTGCTCATGATGCAGAAAAAGGCTTTCACCCGGTTTCCTGTTGAAAGCTGCCACCACCCCACTTTTCGGATCCTTCTTCATAAAAATCAAAATGACCAGCTTAAACACACCTTTTAGAAAGTGTGTTTGACTGTGATGCATAATTTGTCTCTGATCCGTTCTCATAAAAGGATATCCAGGATATTCAGTATCTATTATTCCTATCTCACTTTTCTAATACCACAATAACCAAAGCAGTTTGCCATAATAGTAAGAGGGAGTAGGAGATTTTAAAAAAGCAAATTTAAGAAGGCGTCCTCATTTCAGCCACCACTTCCAAATGCGTAAACTGTGCCTAACATGTGTTCTGCCCATTTTCAAATGGGTGCTTAAGACTTCCTTTCTGGTGGACTTTTGTTTACTTATAGCCTCTGATAAACATGCTTCTGTGGCTGCTTTGGTTTTTAGGATACAGTTATTATTGGACTGCTGTTTGCTTTGTTTGGTTTTTAAGTTTGTTGCAAGTTCTATTTTTATCAGTAAGCTCCCTTGAGTTTGATTTGATCTCAAAAAGGCAAGGGCAGAAACAGTGAGCTAAGTAGCTACAAGGGCCTCTGAGGATATGTAGAGTGACACCCATCTCAGCACAGGGAAGATAGTCTCTTAAAAATTGAATAAATGTCCTAAGTTTAAGGCACTTGCATGGATGTGCACGGATTTCTTCCTGACGTGAAACACCCTTTTAAAACTATTTTTGAGTCCTTGGAATGAGAGTGTTCACATGTGACAAACTGTCAAGGATATTTGGTGCCTATCACTATCTTGACAGCATTCTTGGCTCCATCTGCAATACGGCAGATTTGATTGGGCAGGTCTTCAAAGGATGCACGGTCTGTGAATGAGAACAAGAATAGGAAGCCATCCACTCTCTCGGTGCAAGCCTGCAAGAGACAAGAGGGAAAATAGCTCCTGAGTGGAACGCAGCCTCACTCTCAGACAGGAAATAAACTCCCCACCAGCTGTGAACGTCAGAAAGCTGGTAAGCCCGACCCTCCCGACAACGCTCTCAGCACTCACTGGCAGGATGTGATCAAATTTCTTGAGGACGGCTTCTCCGCAGTCCCAGAAAGAAAACTTGAAGAAGAGGGCCCTGCCGCTCTCTCTGAGCTTAGCTGGCCAATACACAATGGTTGTCTGAATTCCTGGAACACAAGAGCTTCTGCTAGAAAAGAACCACGGGCCTCACAAACCCAGAGACAGACCTGCAGCGATGCAGTTTACCTGACAGCAGTTGCCATACTGGTCTCAACAGACACGAAAAGGAGAGGAGATACACACATCAAAGCACTTTACCGGTTTTACTTGGTTCCTCCTTACGAAAGCCCCGCAAGGGTCATGGTCTCATTTTACAACTTGGATTGCGGAGGTCAAGAGACACCACCTGCTCTTTCTTCCCCTCCAGCCCCAATTTTGTGAGACGATGCAGATCTCTTCGGAGGCAACGGAAGCCGCCCCTCCCCCTTGGTAATTACCTGTGGTCTCGTGATGCACCCAGGGCATCTCCAGGCCGGCCAGCCTGGCCACCAGGGCTGTCTTCCCCACACCGCTCTTCCCCGACACGAAGATCTTGTAGCTGGCAATATCGGTAGCCTCTTGTGGGGGCAGCACTGGCCTCTCAATCAGCCCTGCCAAGGACCCACACGTTAGCTCACAGTGGCCTGCTTTGCCATGGCTTGATGTGAAAATGTTGCTAGCGAAGTCAATTTCCATGTAGAGGAAAGATGCAATGCAAGTTGCAGGGTCTCTGAGCACGCATGGAAGGCCTAACCCTAACCCTCATTACAGAGTGAAGAGTACCAGCTCAGTGCATCTCAGAAAGTCCATGACTGAAGAGCCTCTGACCTTTTAGGAATTAAAAGCAGTGGTCTGATATCCACCCTTCCAAATTCTTTGCTCCTCCATTTAGCTTTTGTTTTAAATGTTTGGTTTCTATGATGGCTAGACACCTTGAGGACCCCTTCCCAGAAAAGCAGGGTACCCCTCAAGCAGATAGATAGGTAAATACATTAATATCCCCACCCAATGGTTCCCCCAGCCCCCATCTGAAATTGCCAAGCTGTTAGCGCACCAGGAGTCCCTTTGGGCGCCCCACATCCCATTCCTGCTGCCAAAATAAGGGGGGAAGGGGCTGCTTCCTCTCACCAAAGGATTTGCGCCGGTTCCGCTGCAGGAGGGTGCCAAAGTAGCCCTTGCCCTCCTGGGTCTTATGCCAGTCAGGGACAAGCACGGATCCCGCAGGTACGATCATGGCCTGCCGCCTAGATGCTGATGCAGAGAGAAACAACGCAGGTGAAGTGTGCCAGAGGAGGAGAGATCAAGGGAGGGGAGGAGCCCCCAGGGCAAGAAAAGAAGAAGAAACAGGGAAATTAGGGACACGCCACATAACGCCCAGAGGAGAGCTGTGCAAGGAGACGGCATACAAAGTCCCGGAATTAAGACGCTCATTCATGGATAAAACGACTGAGAGGGGGCTTCGCTTCCAGCTCGTGTCTGTAGAACAAGGGCCCAAGCGCCCGATAAGCTCCCGATCCTGCCTGACGCCACGGAGGCTGGAAGTTGTGGGAGCGCGTCCTGCGCACGCTCAGCGGCCCCCTTGCCTTTCTGGAACGCTTTCTTCCAGGACGGGCACCTCCCGCTGGGGAGGCGGGCGAGTCGGGCTGGATCTCCCCTCCAGCAGCTGGAAGGCGGGGAAGCGCGGGGCGCTCTCCGTAGCCCCCCAGCACGCGTTCGCCTGGGAGCCCTCCCGCCGGGGAGCAGCATGCGGGCCCTCCGCACTCGCGGCACCGTAAAGCCCTGTGACGTCGCCTCGGCCTCCAGGAACACGCCTGGCCCCGGGCAAGCAGCCCCGCTTCCACACGGCAGATCCCTCCCGCTCGCCCGGGTCTCGCAGACAGCGCGCCCTTCCTGCCGGCCGTACCGGGGAGGCGTTTCCGTCCTGTGCGCGTCTGCTCAGCGCTTCCCCCGCCGCGTTTCCGCGTCCAGTCTCGCCTGCGGGACGGAGCGTGGAGTGCCGCGACTGGAGGCGGTGGGGGCGCCGGGAAGTGTCGCAGAGCCGCGCCGGAGCCTGAACCGAAGGGCTCCCTTCGCACATCAGCGAGCCTGGAAAGCCTCCCCCCCGCCCCGCCGTTCCGCTCTCCTTACGCGGAGAGAAAGAGGCGAGCGTCCCCTTGTTTCAGAGGGAGGCTGCAGGCCTGGAAGGCAGTTCACGTGCTGGGGAAAACAGGGTCGTCGTGCGCTCCTTTCTTGGTGCAGCCTGAAGCCTGCAAAATGGAGAAGAGAACAAGTAATGCTGAAGGGCTTTTGTTGCTGCCCTTCCGGTCTCCTCCCCAAGTATCTCTCAGTAAGTGGATGTAGAAACATATTTATTTGTACTCTTTTTATTCTGCCCCTCAGCCAATAAAAGTGATGGAGCCGCTTCAGTGCAGTCACTGAAACAAGACAATCCCTGTTGCCAGTCTACAATCACAAAAGACACGACTCACGAGGAAAAAGGGAAGCGGAAGAGGTTAAAGTTTCTTTGGCAGACCTGGTGAAATTGGCTGGCCTCCCCCTTTCATCTCCTCCTGTACAGCCCTGCATAACTTGCCTGGACTACCCTGCAGGGCTGTTGCAAGGGGCGGATACAAACCTGACCTACAACTTGCAATATTCAGAGTGAACCATATTTCTGGGCTGTCCTGAATCTTCCCCAGAGACAGCCTTCTCCAACCAACAGTATGAGAATGATGGAAATATTTGCTCTGGGACTTGTATTAGCAGGGCGACTTTTAACTATTTTAGAACTCAGCCAAGTTAAATATTTTGCAATACACAAGATATTACTTAGAAAGTGCCAGGGGTCTGCTGTTTGCTTGTCCCTTCCTATCTTTCTTTTGGATGGGGGACCTTTGTTGTCCAGGCGAGGCAGCAGCTCCTACCCAAGGGATGGGGATGAAAGTTTCTCCCACTGAGCTAGAAGTGTTATGTCCAGAAAGGGAGACTGTTATCAATTCCATTTTGTCATCTTGTCTGCCACCAGCTGCTTATGTGCAAGATATTTCTTGGAGTTGAAGGGTCACCCAAGAATTAGTTGCATAGGTGGACAGTGAACACACTGCCCAGCATCCACACCCATACACAGTGACGGGGAATACAGAAGTGTGGCTGCTCTTGGTCTTGATCTCCACTGAAGCATCCTTACGCTTGATCATCTCTGCTAGTTCCTTCATTGCTGTTCTTCCAAGTCCCAGCCTTCTTCCATTTTCTTGGCTGCAGTCTTGCTTGGAATTGACTGAGCCAACGTATGCAAAATCTTTCACCATTTCAAATTACTGGCAGTTAAGTTGTATAATTCTTCTGTAGTCATAATTTTTTGCTTTCTCGTGTTTAGCTGCAGCCCTGCATTTGGACTTTCTTTCACTTTCATCTGGAATCATTTCGTTGCTTTCTGTGTTGCTTTGTACATTGCCTTGAAATTTACAATTCTTTTGAGCATGTGCAGAGTGTGGGTGTGTAAGGCTTGGAGCGCAGGGGCCATTCCTCTTGCACTTGGAAAATGCCATGCACAGAGGTGATGCAGTAAAGCGTAAGGTAACATATCGTGGAACTGGTCCCCTGCTTTGACAGGGTAGCAGCTTACAAAGGTAGTACCTTGAGACACTTGAGGCCTACAGGATTAAAGTAACAGCAGAGGCTGCCATTTCAGAAACATGGTCTGCCACGTGGCAAAACAAAACTCAGCTGTACCCGTAGAAGGTTAGCTGGGAGAGAACTGGCATTCTGGCCCCCACCCAAAGACAGGTTCCTGTTGTGGCTTTTGGCTAATACAGGCCAATACAAGGAGGGGGGGGTAGAGTGCTCAGGCCACCATTTTAAACACACACCAGCACAGCAAGCAAATCCATTTTGCATTTTCTTTTTATTTGTTAAATTGCTAAAAATCCATCCGATAGTGGGATAACAATAAGAATGGAAAAAAGGGTAAAGAACTTGACACAGGTCTTTTTAAATGTTTTTTTTTAATATCAAGGACATCAACTTTTCCATTCCTTACTTGAATGAATCTAATTTGACAGGTGAGTGGGATTCAGGTCACACACCTGACTCATGTTTCTTGATGAGGGGAAGACACCTTGCACTTAGCCCCAGCTTGTGGGAGGCCTGCTCAGCATGATGCATATGGATCCTGCTTGGCACATGGGGGGACAAGGAACTGCCGAGGCAGTGGAGATCCACATTTCTGCTAGAAAAGGAAAATGGTCCTGCAAGGCTGAAGAATCGGGGTGGGGGAAAATAGGTGCAACCAACATGGACTATGCCTTTTATAGCCTCGAGTGAATGAGGTGGAGGGTGCAGCGGGCTGTGGACATCCTTCTCCCACCTCCCTACAGGCAGACATCAAATTAAGTGGCAGCAGCACAAAGAACAACTGATATGTCCAGAAGTCACACACACTGAACAGAAAGGAATTCACTTTGTGATGCATTCCTTGAACCGGTGGCCTTAGGAGCGTGACATGCAGCGGGCGCTCTTGGGCCGGGTCCGGTCTTCTGCAGAGCACATCTCAGGTGCAGGTGTGGATGGGAACCCGTTGATGCAGGCCCGGCAATGCCGCACTCACTAGAAATGGTTGTCCCACGCCTTCCCCCCAGCACATCACACTGGCACATTTTCCCATGGAAGGGCAAGAAGTTTTGAGGGAGGGCAAGGAAGAGACCCCAAACTTAAAATGTTGCTTAGAAGGCATTGCTGGATTATTGCAGTGATAGGAACCCTCAAAATGCTCCTGGAACCTGCAGGAATCACAAGCATCAGTCCAGAAAGCTCAGCGAAGCTTTTTGCATCTACAACACTGCGGAATAATTTGGCAAGAGCTCCTTTAGTTTGGGTTGAGTGTGGGGGAGAAAGGAAGGGGGCACACCCCACTTTTGCTAAAAGACAGTAAGGCTTTAAGAAGCAAGAATGTCCACAGTGCAAAGTGGCAGCATTCAAACAGGTTGCTCGCATAAGGTGGAGACAGACTGAAGCCCCTTCCCACTCATGTCAGCCAAGCCAGTTTTCTTGTTCTTTGGACAGGGGTCTGCTGTCCTTTTGCAGCCTCTGCAGCTCCAAGGCCAAATGCCTACTGAGGAACGGCCTGCCCCAAAAAGGAGAAGCCACCCTTCGAAGGTCCACACTGCTTTCTTGGCCGCCCATTAGCAAAGACAGGTGGCCCCACATTGCTAAGCAAAGAAGGGCTGGCGGTGGAGAGACGGCAGGGTGGAATTTCAATTTTTCTGGTAAACAAGCTTTTGCTCCAGTGAGGGAAATGGAGGAAAACAGGTTCAGGGTCCAGGATGACTAAGTGGTCAGAGGTGAAGAGTTTGGTTATGCTTAGAAAGATGCCTTACAGCCAACGCTGAGTGGCGGCAGCCCCTCCCAGGGTTGGAAAAAGGTGCGTACCCATGACTGAATAAGAGACCTTCTGCATGCATGCAAAGCAGCAGCTCTGGCACAGATCTTTTTAGTGTTCGTAGTTCTGAATAGGGAGCTAAAGTAAATAAGACTGCAGAAACGGCCTCCCACTTCGTGAGACCCTGGGTTCACTTAAAATACTGTCCACTCATACCAGCACTGCTGCTCCAAGATCGAGGCAGGAGTTTTTCCATCCTTACCTAAAAATGCTGCCAGGAAATCAGGCTTGGGGCCTCCATTGTGCAAAGTGGGGGCTCTACCACTAAGCTTGGGGGGGCCTGCTGGATGTTTGTTGTGAAGAATTAGTGTAAAATTGTAAGAGAAGCCACCCTCCAGCATTGCGAACAACCAAAGCAGAGAGTGAGCCAGTGGGGGAAAAGGATGCCCAGAATCCATTCACATGTATAAGACACAGGTTAGCATTCAGAGCAGGACAAGCCAGTTTAAGCCACTTGCGTGTAGTTTGAACAGGGCTAATTGAAGGAGGAAGGTGGTCACAGTTGCAAAGGGTTTTCCTTCCCAACAGCAACCCAGCTTGACTTCCAAGAAAGCCTGCTGTAAAACCAGACACCCACAAATGTTTGTCCTCTTCTTCTGGGACCTGCACATGTATTCCTCGTGTTGGGGGTTGCCTGAGGTGACTAAGAACAGCCCAGCAAGCTGCACTTCCACCGCATCCCTCCTGCAGGGGGTTGCGAAGGCTGGAGACTAACAGGCTGGCCCATGCCTCTTGCCCACAAGCTGAGCAGCAGGAGCCCTCCAGTCCCCAACTGACTGCTAAACACGCAATCGGCGCAGGCTGCAGCTGCTTCCCCCTCAGCAGCAGCAGGAGATTGCTGTGTGGGGGGCGGACTGACAAAACAGAAACGTGCCCCCCCCCCTCCAGTCAACAGACACCAGCAAGACGAAAGGAGAGGTAGGAACTACTGAGGAAAGTCACTATTCCCAGGCAAGGAATCGGGGCAACAGGACCACCTCAGGCTGCAGCACTGAGCCTTTTGCTTATAGGCGGTGGAGTTATCAGGGAGCCACTGGAAACCCGCTCTTAAGCACTGGCCTTTTCAGGATAGAACCCCTCCCATTGATAAGAGTCACTCAAGACTTGCTTGTGAAGGAACTCTGCCCACTTGAATGGCACCCAAGTCCCGGCTTGGAGGAGCAGCCCTGCCTTTGGTCCCGGCACCCCCAGAGGACCACAGGGGCTCTGAAAGGCAGACATTGCCTGTGGCAGGGCACACCATGCGCAGGGTCCACTTTGCCAGGGCTGGTCTGGTGCACAACAGATTTGCTCAGGATGCCCCCAGGCACGGTCAGAGCCTGTTGCCGTAGTCAGATTGCCCTACCCCACCAGCAGGGGCTGGGCCGCGGCAGTCCTTGTCTCTTGAGCAGTGGTGAGAGCAGGGCCAGGCATCCCACAGCAGAGCTGGCCCCGCCCTCTACTCAGGGGGGCCTCGGCCACAGACAACCCGCCCCCACGTGAGAAGCGCCACCGGGGTCCTCAGGAGGCCGTTAAGCAGCCAAGCCTTCAAGGGGCCAGCTATGCCGCCCCACCCTCTCCGTGCAGGCAGTTTGAGCACTGGGGCCAAGACCATGCTGGGAATGGGAGGGAGGGACGCATTGGCGGCGTTTGCTTAGATCTTTTTATTGGTGGGTGCAACCCCAGATTCACAGCCGGCTTAACAGAACTACAGAAAGGCCTGGTAGGTACGATGGAAGCCAAAAGGCCAGATGGGATGGGGGGCAGAGGAGGGGCCGCCAGTGCGCCCACATTATCTCTTGGCTCGCACGAAGTACAAGGCATTTGTTTTGGGATAGTATTTGACATTCTGCTTCTTGTCCATCAGGCCACCGAAGATGATCACCTCGCCCCGGCCTTGCACCACGGTGTGCAGGCTGGTCTCGGGTGGCCCCACCACGGAGCTGCTGCGAAAGACCTTCCACTGGACCCGCCCATGCTCCTTGAGGCCCTTCACGTCCAGCACATACATCTGCATGGGCTTGCAGTTCATGCTCTGATACAAGGGCTTGCCCACGTTCAGCGATTGTGGTGGGGGATGGCCCAGCCGCCGAGCGATGGGGGGCAAGGTGTGTCCGTCCCCTTGGGCAGAGCTGGGCCGAGGGGGCGTGGTGGGTGCCGTGACAGGCTCAGGGGGGTTGCTGGCGCTGCTGCTGCTCTGGCTGCCCGGGGACCCTGGCAAGGACCCCGCGGGAGGGCTGAGCACCGCCAGAGCGTGGGGTGCTTTGGAAGAGAGGGCTTTCACGGCCTCCAGGCTGCGCCGCAGGGCACTGGGGGAGACGGCACCCACCAGGGAGCCAGCCATGCGGGGGGGAGTATGGACGCCGTTCATCTGCTCAGCAGGGTTCCTGAGGCTGAGGGTCCTGCCTTCTACCCCGTCCGGCTGGCAAGGGAGGGGCAAGGGTGGGGGCTTGGGCTCCCAGGCCAGGTCCACGGCTGCCAGCCGCAGGTCCTTCTGATCCGGGAGCGAGCCCCGCCGCGGGGCCAGGGAGATGCCCACCTTCAGGTCGTAGCCTTCAGCAGTGGTTGGCGTGCCAGGAGAGAGGGCCTGGAGTGGACTGTCCAGAGAGGCCCCGCCAAGAGCCGTGGCACCTGGTGATAAGCCCCCGCTGCTGCTGCTCAGCACCGGAGACGTGTCCTCTCGGGCCGGGGAAAGGCTCCCTTCTCGGGACCCCGAGGGTGTCTGCCTCTGTGCCCGAGGCCTGAGGGTGCCCCAGCGGCCATTCACACAGGGCGCCTCATCTGCAGTCCGAACGGGGGACTGGGAGCGGTATTCCCGTGTCTCAGGAACAAGGGCAGGAGGCGTGGCACTGATGGGCGATGGGCGAGAGTTCAAGCTGGGGCTGAGAGGTGCTCGCCCACTGGGGGCTTGGCTGAAGACCACCACGCACTGGCCCACCTGCAAGAGAAGACATAATCCTCTGTCACAACCCTGCAGTCTCTGCCAGCCAAGCCTGGGAGAAGCACGGCGCCAGGTGTGTTTCAGGAGGCAGGCTGACTTGAACCCATTTCATCCGCGCATCACTGGGGTGCATGGAAGGAGGCATCCCAAACGGCCCACGAGAGGGCGGGCGTGGCACTGTCTGATGCAACACCAACCCATGCCTGCTCAGCTGCGGAACAAGCCTACCGGTGGACCAGCACCGAACCCTGCTCTTGCCTCCCTTATGTGGAAACTCCCCTTTCCCCGGCTTTGCTTAAGGATAAGTCAGGCTTTGCCACAGGAAGACAAGAGGGAACATGTGCTTGGCAGAGCAGGGTCTCAGAGAACTGCAGCATCCTGCCCCCATCTCCTCACCCTGCAAGCCGGGTGGCACCAGAGCTCTGGGGCGCCCTGGTCTTCATTCTCCACCTTCAGGGGCTGCCACGTCCAAGGAGAACTGGGATTCATGTGCAGTAGCCAGGCATCCTTGAAGAGCTGCAAGGGAGGATATTGAGATGGGAGGCCCACGATGAGCCCCCGGCCAGGAGGGGGCTGTAGAGGGCAGGTGCCTCTTCCCAAGCAGAATCTCCAAATGTGTTTGCTGGGCGCCTGAAGGGAACAATGCTTTGCACCTGCAGGTTTTTGCTGCCTGTTCGGCCCCCTGGGATATCACCAGTAAAGAGGACGGGGGACAAGCCACACTGCTGAGGCTTCTTAGGAACCTTAAAGGGATGTTGGAGTGTGTGGTAGGAAGGAAACCTTCATCTGGCTCTTGGAGGGGGCAGGGAGAGCCATGTGCTAAACCTCCCCTTCTTCAGCGGGGAAGGGGGAGGGAGAAGCGTTAGTGTGCCCAGCTCTGTGCTTTCTCAAGCAGAAGACCCTTAGGAGGCCATGGAGCATGAAGGAAGGTAGAGCATCTTTGGTCACACAACCCACTGGCCCTCGTGGGTTTGTTTCTGTGAGAAACCATGGAAGGCGAAGGCTGGAGGAGCCCCTCTTCGAGCAGGAGGAGAAAGATGTCCCTGCCCAAGGAAACCGCGCCCAGGGAAAAATGGCGCAGTCGTTAGCATTTTCACAGGGGTCCATCCACAGTGGAAGCAAAGGGTGCCAACGCAGGGGCTTAAAAGGGGGAGAGAAGGGAGATGTCCACAGCAGCCCCTGCTCTGCCTACTCACCGCATTTGGGCCCCCGCAGCCCCCGAGGACCAGAATGGTTTCATTGTCTATGACAATCTGAAGGACAGGGAGAGAAACAGCTGAGGTAGTGGGAGCACACAGCATGCCAGCTAGTTCCTGCAGTCTCACAGGGGTCTCCAGCACCACCTTCTCTGTTGCTGCAGGGGCACTGGAGGAGGCCCTGCCTGGCATGTGAAAGACCCAGGTTCAGTTTCTGACATCTTCAGTCAAAGAGAATAGGTCTGGACACTGCTCAGCAGGCAGAATTAAGTGCCGCAGCCTGTGAAAGGTGGCATTGTTGAACTGCAAACCACCAATCAGCTACTTCCAAAAGCCAAACCTTCAAGGACTTTTCAAAACAGGAGTCTCCTCCAGCAACCTGCTCCACTCTCGGGCCCTTCAGCCTGTGCCAGCAGTGGGTCCCCAAGATCTCCCCTGGCCTTGGGAGCTCCACATACAGCCTGTTGCTGAAGGTTCCAGGCAAGAGCCCTGCCTGAGCTGCCAGAGCCTTTGCCATAGTCAGGGGAGACCCGACAGGGCTGTGGCTCTGTCTCTGGCCATTGCTGATCCTTAGCCCAGTGACTGGACCTTGCTTGGGCTTTCTGCACGACCAGCTGACACTCCCTGGAGACCTGGAGGGAGCTCTCATGGTGCGAACAGAAGGTGACATTGCTTCGAGTTCTCACCACTGGCAAGGTGGAGGAGGAGGAGGAGGAGGAGGAGGATACCTGTGACTGGCCTCCACGTGGATGAGGGCTTGGTCCAGAGATGCTTGGCTTGCTCCAGGCCCAGTGCTCGAGATCTAGCACCCAGACATCATTGCTCCTGAAAGGAAAGAGCAGCAACAAGGAGCCTCCGTCAGGCCTTCTGGGGCCTGAAGATGTGAGAAAGCTGAGCACATACACACGGACAATGGACTCACATTTGCCGCGAACCAAGGGAGCCCCCAAAGACAATCATTTTGTCCTGGATCACACAGGAGGAATGGCCTGCCATTGGAGGAGGGCCATGGGTTGTCACCACACAGTTCCACCTGACGGGAGGAAGAGGAAGAGAGGATGAGATAAGCCCAACATGTGTTTTCCATTTCCTCAGCAGAAAAAGGAGGAGCACCTTACCAATTCTTGGAGGGTGAGTAGGTGTGTATTTCATCAAAGAACCTTTCTGGCTGGTGCAGGGGATATGGACTGGGCCGTGTCCAGCCACCAAAGAGTACCAGCAAGTCCTTGTAGACCACCAGAGTGGCTCCTGCCTTTGGTGAAGGATAAGAGCCTGCATGGGGATGGGGAAGAACCAGGAGTTACTGCCTCGCCTTCTAACACGTGACTGGTTGCCTTGAAACTTTGGCTCCTAGGCCCAGGCCCCCAGGCTGCCCCCTTTTCCTGACTTGCAGTCACCTGCATTTGTCATAGTGCCTGGATCTGGCCACCGATGGATGCTACAAACAGGAGTCTAGTGCAGCCGCACATTTCTCAAAGGGACAGGGACTGCAGCTGGTCCTCAGAGTATTGAAAGAGCCACAGGGGATTGGGAGAGTCTCGAGGCTGCCCTCCGACAGCTGAGCTTCCACCTCCTGGAGACTACAATTGCGCAAACTGAGGCTCTAGGGTGGAGCAGGGAGGGGGCCTCCTGTGTCCCCAGCAGGCATGTCCCTGGCTTTTCCAACCCTGCCATCATCAAGAGGTGAGTGACCACCTTGGGATCCTGCCTTTGTGGGGAACGCAAGGAAGGAAAGCTGAGGGTCTTTTATGAATTGGGATACCAGAACTAGGGGAACGGCTACTGAACTCCAAAGGGATTCTCAGAGGAGGCTTTTGGCAGCAGCCTGCCCTCTGCTTCCTACTTGGGAAGACAGCTCTGGAAACCCTGCCTTGTGAGGATGGCTGGACTCCCAAAAAGGAGCGGGGGACTCTCTGATGTGCCTTTAGGCACGGCTGCCAGCACGGCCACCCCATATTCTTCCCCCATAACCCTGGGTGGGGTGGCTGGCTGCGACAGTGTTCTGGAGACCCCAGCAGTGGGGACTGGGCATCCACAGAAGCAAGGCTGTTGCTCTGGGCTGCACTGTTGAGAGCTGGCCAGAACCAGATCTTAAGGGCAGAGGGCAAGGAGGCCAGCCTCAGGGAGGGGACGGAGAACCTGGCACCTTGCCAAAGCAACATTTCCCACTGAGTGGCTGGGAAGGACCCAGGACCATGGCCAGACAGAGCATGCTAGTCTCAGGTGTCGAGTCTAAGAAGGGCTATTACTTAGGCACAAGTATTTATAAACTGCTCTCATCCACAGATTTCAAAGTGGCACACACAAATTATAGGAAATATATACAAACTAAACTCTCTTTCACAAGAAGTCACATACAGGTTCTCTCACTGTGAAAGCAAAGTGGAAGAGGGAGAACTATTTCACTCCCCTCTCCAGCACCAGGAGGGCAGCAAAGGTAGCTGCATTTGGGGGCTGGTGGGGCTGCTTGGGAACATGACTCCACCAGGGCCAGGCTAAAACCACCAGGAGCCTCCAATACCAAAATTGGCCATAGGGCAATCAGCGGCTTTAGCCTGCAACACTCCTGGGCCCAGACTTTGCAAAAATAGGTACCTAAAGTTAGACCCCTGAAGCTAGCTCCATGGGGCCCCTGTGTAAGCTGCCCGAGACAGTCCCAAGAGAGAGTCATGGAATTCCATAGGAAGCAAGGCAGAGCAGGCCTTGGACAGAAATAGCCAGCCCTGGCAGAAACTTTTCTGTCCAGTGCTTGGGATGTGTGTATGTAGGGAGGGGGGTTGGAATGTGGAGCTCAAGACTCCATAAGGAACATCTTCTCTTCAACCAGGGAGCATCTGTCTTCCTGTGTACGCAGAAAATAATGCAAAAGGACTAAGAACTGTGTGTGGTGAGCCAAGGCTGATGCAGCCCACTACAGTTCCACCGGACCTTGCAGGTATACATTTATCCCCATTTTTTGGAAATGCAACTCTTCTGCAATGTTGCCAGTGCTGCTGAAGTCTATTATGGCAGCCTGTACCGTGTGAGCATCACTCCATTTTCTGATGGTCTCTCTGCAGAGAGACCAATATGTCTTATCAACCTCCTATTCATGTGTGGAATGGGCTCATCACCTTGTTAAAAAAAATCCATGCTTCCCTTCTGTTTGCAGCTGCCCATATAAGATAATTATTCCTTTTGTGCAGCAGCAATGCAACCATTTGGAGCAGAAACAGTAGAAATCCTATAATTTCCTGCCAGGCTGACAGACAAGTATTTTGCTAATCCAGTGATGCAACTGCAGACTCCTGGCACTGTTGGTGGCACAGAGTGAGGGTGATTTCCTCTGCCCCATACAAAGCTGCCTCTTTTGCCAAACAGGAAAGGACACCGGTGGCCACAGAAAATGTGGTGCTCCAGGAGTAGCCACCTCGACTACGCAGCCAAGAGCCCGAGCGCGGCTGTGCATTCCACACCCACGCAGGGGAGCCTGCAGGAATGAAGTGGCAGCCACTGCAGGGAAAGGACTGTCACCTGCTTCCACCTTTATCCCCACCTGTGCTCCAGCCTGTGGGGGTCTTCCCGGGGCAGCTGTGGAACTGGCTAGTGAGGATATGAGCGGAGCCTGCTTGTGCTGGGGGGTCAGACCAGATGGGCCAAGAGTCCCTTCCGACTTGCTGTGTTTCTATGCTTAATGCAACAAGCTTCTTGGACGTACTGTGCACAAGCCTCCCGCAACAGGTTGCGGGTGCTGTCCGGAGTGTAGCCCAAGCCATGTGGAGTTCACCAGGTTGGGGAAGGCTACTGTACAGGACCGGTTCTAGTACAAGTACATCTCCGCTTGGCCTTCACAGGTCTCAGGACACCACTCAGCAGCCATGGCTGCTTTGCGATTATGCTGAGCTCTCTCAAGAATGAGGTTACTGCAACATATGTTCTATTTTCTGGGCACGTTTCCAGCAATAGTTACTCCAGCTGCTCAACCAGTCCGTAAGGGAACTTGGTGAATGTATGCAGTGGTGGCCCTTGCTGGATTGCACTCCCTGCCCAGAGGTTGCGGCTGCAGCTGGACCTGGAGCACGTGCTTCCTACTGCTGGCAGAACCACGTCCCCAGAGAAAATGCCCAGCAGGGCTCAGCTCCATCAGAAGCTCCATCCTGCCATCTTAACATCAGGCAGCATATGGAAGAAAAATATCAGCCCATATGCATTATTGTAAGATCTTTAAAGATGGATGTTACTGTGGGAGTTGGACCATACTGTAAAACACATTCGTGGAGTTTCCGTATCAGACATGAGGAGGAGGTGGCGGCTGCGTGTGCCAGCAGGAAGATGCAGGGCAAAGGGAAGGCCGGGATGAGACTCTTTTGTGCTGATGGGAGAACCACTTCATCACCCCAAAGCTTGGCCTTGTATTTAAAAGGCTCCTCCTAATTTCCAGCAATTATTTTTTTGCAACATTAAAAAGAAATGAGCTGGGATTCAAATGACAAAAGCCATTCATTCCCCACCACCACCCAGGAGAATTATTCTTGTTGAGGAAATCAACTCCTGGCCTCGCCTCCGTTCCAGAAATGGGCTTGATGGTTGCAAGAACACTGCAGTTTTCTCCCTAACTGCTTGGGGGAGACCTGCAGAGGTGCGTTATGTCAGTTCTTCCAAATACCCAAACCAGGAACATCCAAAATGATCAAGAGTGCACGGCCCTGGGAAGAGGCTCACTCTGTGGCAAGAATTAGCCAGCGGGCCCCGCTGACCTCACACAGGGCAGCCAAAGGGGGCAGCCTGGCAGCTGCTCCGGCCACAAGAGCTGTGGAGAGGGCAAGATGTGCCCGAGCAACCACCGAGAGAGACTGCTGCAACAATGCCCGTGGGGGCCTCCTTCTCCATGTCTGCATTCTGAGAGCACTGGAGAAACAGGCTTCTCTCACCCTCCTTTTCTTTGTCAGGAGAGAAGTTCAGAGTGAAGGAGGGCTGCCAAGAGAGTGAAACATTTCCTGGGCTCTTAATAGCTCGCCAACAGCAGTTATGGGCAGAATCCTATGCACGTTTAGACTAAAAAAAAGTAATTTCTAGTGTGCCCCAACTAGCTATGCAAGAACTTTTCTGTTGAAACATGCATAGGATTGTGCTTGAAATCACAAAATGTAACACAAAGTTGGAGGGAGGGGGGCCGATGGCCTAGACTCATGATTACAAAACAAACTAAAAACTAGGTGTGGAGGAGAGACAAACAGGAAGATCTATGGTTTTTGAAGAGAGGTTTAAGTTACAAGGAGGAGGGGAGAGGGAGACAAGAGACGCACATTACCCTGAGAAGATAATGGGAAAGGGTGCAATGGACACACGGAGCTTTTGAATAAAACACGTAGCACATTGAGATGACTCACTGTTAGTCGCAAGAAGGTAAAACAGAATCAATAAACTACAAGATTAAAAGGGGCTTTCGAGAGCAATGTGCTAGACAGCTGATTCCAAAGTGGGGAAAGGAGCAAGACCCTCTGGGGTCCACAGAAGTGCCTCGATTTGTGATCTTGCAGTGCGGCCTGTTCTTTGTGGACGAGCCTGGGAAGCGCCTTTGAGGCTGGTCCAGGCTGAGCACTGCTGCACCGCATGGCCTGGCAGTCGACTGGATCATCCCCCATCCCCAGCAGGCAGTGAGCCTCTTGCTGCTCCTGCCCCAGTTCTGACGCTCCCTGCTGGCCGCTGCCCCTCACCTGATGCCAACGGCCGGATCCACTCCTTGCTGTTCAGGTCAAGCCTCCAGAGGTCATTGAAAGCAGCATTGCAACTGCTCTGTGTGCAGCCTCCGAAGACGTACATGGACTGGTTGGCATCATAGTAACACGCACCTGGAGAGGGGCAGACAAACGACACACGGAGCCTCGGTGTTGTGATGGCGGTAGCCCAGTCTTGAGTAAGGGCCGGCACCACAGCCAGCTGGGCCAAAAGCCATCCTGAAAGAAAAGGGAGCTGCGCCCAACCCTGCCTCGTGAAGCCCCCAGAAACGGCAGAAGGGTACCACTGGACGAGGGCCAAGCTGGGCCCAGCACTCCCGTTCCAGCCATGGCCAGCTGGGTGCCCCAGCATCAACACTCCCACCAAGGACTCGCCCGCTTGCTATTTTTTTCCACCTCAGACTGCCTCCTGAGGAGGCGGCTCTGCACAGCCACCAGGGCAATTAGCCGTCCACAGACTGCTCCTCTGTACCCGTTCACAGCAGCTGCAGGAAGTCAGCAGAGCCTGTTTGACCCCAGAAAGCCGTTGGTAGCTTTGGAAGACATGCGGTGAGTGAGAAGACTCCTTGCCTCACAGCAGCCTTGCCATCCACAGAAAGGGAGACCAAGGGACCCTACAACTGGACAACACCCTTTCCAGGATGCAACCCTCCCACTGTCCACAATTAAATGGAGCACTCCCCAGGGAAGGGAAGAACCTCAAATTCTGGGCTTGGATCCACTGCAAAGCCTCTTCTTGCATCTTGCAGAGCTGGTGCTGCAGGAGCCATGACTGCAGCCTCCTACTGGGCATCCCGGTGCCCAGAGCAGCAGCACCTGGGTGGGCTGGCACCCGAAGCAATCCCTCTTCAGCTGCCAGTCGCAACTCTGAAGCCACCCACGCCCCTCTGCTCCCTCGATGACGCAGCAGCTGCCCACCCCAGGGGAAGGGACACCTCACGCTTCCCACCACCACTCTCTTCGGGCTCTTTTTAAAAGCAAAGCAGGGGATGCTGAAGCCCCGAGGGTGGCTCCACCTCCAGCCTTCTAGGAAGTGTAATGTTTAGACCTCCCCTCAAACACAGAGCACTTTCCCTGCCAGGTTCTTACTGTGCGAGAACCGTTGGGTGATGGGGGTCCCTGGGTAGGGATACGTGCGGCTCTCCCACTGAATGTTCCCTTCTTGGACTGCCTTGATGAAGCCATGATAGCACTGGTGAGCCACACCTGGAAAAGGAGGAGATGACTGAGGCTTTATGGGAGGAAGCAACCAGTTATACTAGTTGAGGTGGGGGAAACCCCAGTTTGGCATTGTCCAGGAAGCTACACCCCTTTGCCCATTCCTTTTGAAAGGAGGTGGCATAGCTTAGCAAGCCCAACATAGGACATGTTTCTAGAAGTGCAGACCAGCTGTTAACAGCTGACAGCCTCACAGAGGGAGGGACCTGCCCTCTGCAGAGCCTCTGCTGCACCTGGGAAATGTCACTGGAGGGCCCAAGTAGGCAGGAAGCCCCTGGGGTGTCCTGGCAGCCACAGCTGCAGAAGCCACATGGCAAAACCCTGTGTCGGCCTCAGGATGGGGGTCTCGGCTTCCATCTGGCCTCCTCTGTCACTTTGGGGTTGGGTTTTGGCTCTGAGCAGCAAGCGGCTTCAGCAGAACCATGTCCTACACTGAACACTAAGGGAACAGAAGCAGAGTGGTGGTACTGATAGTAAAACAAATTTAAGAATGTTCTAAACCATTTTGAGAACTTGATGGTTCAAAAACAAGATAAGCAAGCTTCTTGTGTGCCTGCAGTTTTAGTTTCTCTGGGGTAAATCTGTTCCTCCACACTTGTATGCACTCGCTCTCTCTCTCTCTCTCTCACACACACACACACAGACACCTCTTTCAAGGCACAACATTGTGCTCTCTCCCCTTCTTAAAAGCTAAAAGGAATGTATTACAGAACCACAGTTAACAATTGGAGTAATACAAGTTGTGCCATAGCAAAGGAGAGGAGACTAATTTCCCATGACCATGCCCAGAGTATGGTCTGAAGGCACATAAGGCATCCACCATGCTGCATCTATGCAGGTCTGAGTCTGGCCTGAGTCTGGTGAGTTCCACAGTGGGAGAAAGGTGGGATATAAATACAGTACATAAACTATTTGAACTGAGATAATACCACCTTGTGCCCCAGAGGCCTGCCTGAAAGGAGCATCCTTGCTGAACCCTTCCCAGCAGGCCCCACTGGCCCAGGTTCACAGGGGGAAGGGTGTGGGGGCCGGCAGAACACCTCCCTTTTTCCACCCATCAACTAACCAGGATTCTGCTTCTGATATTCTCCAAAGAAAAGCAAATATCTTTGCCTTAAGAACTAGGAACTTAAGAAATCTGAGATTTGCTGAACCATGATCTATGCAATGTTAAGTTTTCCCAATACACAATTGGGAATACACAAAGCCTCCACTCCTTCCTGCTGAACACCCCCAGGTTCCCATGGTTGGGCTTAGCATACAGGAGGCAAAAAACTCCCATGCGCACCTTTGATGAGTCGATACCATTGTTTGCAAACGAGGGCGGCAGTTTTGTGCTCCTGATATGGTGAGAGGAAGGACAAGATATACTCCAGCACCTCTTCTGGCAGCTCCTGCATGGACCGGTGGTGCTGTGTCTCCTCCTCTTCTGCTCGAGGTCTCGCACGAGGCTCCTCATCCTGCTCCATGTTCCCCCCTTCCGCTGCCACATCCTCGGAGTCCACAGCCATGAAGCTGTCATCGTCACTGTCGGAGGAGTTAGCCATGGCATGCCACTTTGCTGCTGCAGAAGGAAGTGGGAGGAAGCTCTGGGCAATCACAGATCACGCGCTCTCCAAAGGAGCAGCAGAGGCCAAGTTCTGGGCAGGCGATGGGGTCAAGGCACAGCCATTCTGGCGTCCCCACCACTGCCTTTTGGCTTCCCAGAAGAGGGTGGGTGGGAAGGGAAGGAGACACACCAGCCCACCCTGCTCCACTGACAGACACCCTTGTACTTTGTTCTAAAGGGCCACCACACCCCAGCTGCTTTGGAGAAATTCTGGAGGGAGCATGGCAGCGGCTTCATTGATACCCCCACCACAGCTTACACACTGATACGAACTCCTCATCCTTTCTGGGGGCAGCAGAGAGTGGAATGGAAGCTCTGCCTAAAATCGCCTTGTCTTTTGCCTGGACCCTGGGCTGATGACCCTGAAGCGCTCCTGACCTGCCCCAAGCCAACACAGAGGCTCCAGCCTGAACGCGTCCATCCTTACCCCAGAGAAGACTCACAGGACACTTTGCTGACCGAGCCAGTGCAGTGCCCATAGCAGCCCCATCACTCTACAAGGAGATGGCTATGCCTGAGCCTTCCCCAATGGGGGGACGGACACCAGGGAACCAGTTCCCCCTTCTCTCCCGATCCCCATGAACTTGCACAGAAGAGTAAGGCCTTTCCAAGAGTGAGTGAAGTCCTCCCTTGGTATGTTTATACTGGAGTCTTTGAGACCAGGTGCCCAACAGCTGCACTTGGGATGGTGGCTGGAGGAAGGGATGTCTTGGTTACACAGGACAGCTGATCCCACCTCATCTTTCCAGTGTCCCCTGGGGCAGCTATGCTCCAGTGCAGGGACTGACAGGAAGCCCCAGAAGAACTGTGCCTTTTTAAAGGAAGGCAGTGGTTGGAGTCTATTACCAACCACCCAGTCAAGGAGAAGGCAAGGATGAAAGTATTAAAAAGCAAATTGCCAGTGTTCCTAGGAAGCAGGATGTTATCATTATGGGGAACTTCAGTTTCCTCGCTATCTGTTGGGAGACAAATTCTGCCAAACATGGTCCCTTCAGGTGATTTCTTAACATGTGTTGCTGATAACTTCCTTCAGCAGAAAGTGGAGGAAGGGGCAAGAGGAACAGCTATCCTTGACTTAATACTGACCAACAGGGAAGGCCTAGTGGACAAAGTGCCTGCTCCGGGAACTCTGGGAAGAAGTGACCGTGCCATTCTTGAATTCTTGATTCTGAAGGAAACACAAGCCAAATGTAGCCAAACCCTGGATTTTAGGAAATCCGATTTTAATAATTGGAAGGAAGGCCAGGCTACAAAGGAAGAATACAGGCAGGTAGCACGAAACAAAACGGCCTTCTTCAGACATGTCCAAAGAAAATGTCAGAGGAAAGAAATGGGGGTTCAACTACTCAGGATCCACCTGGATGACAAAAAGGCAACAGATGACAAAGAAAGGGGAGAAGTGCTCAATTCCTACTGTGGCTCAGTCTTCTCCCAAAAGAAGATCGATGACCTTCGTCGATGGACGCTCATGATTGAGAGGCAAATGGTCCAGGATCATCCAGTTGGGATGAGTTCAACTCTCCAGGGCTGGCTGAGCTGGTGGAAGAACTCCCAGAACCACTGCTTATTCTCTTTGAGAAATCATGGAGGACAGAAGTGGCAGATGACTGGAGAAGGGCTCATGTCCCTGCCTTCAGGAAAGGAAAAAAGGAAGATGCTGGGAACTGTAGACCAGTCAGTTTGACATCAATCCCTGGAAAAATTCTGGAGCAGCTTATAAAGCAGTCTGTCTGCAAAGTCCTTGAAAACAATGCAATGATTACTAGAAGCCAACATGGCTTTCTCAAGAACAAATCCTGCCAGACTAATCTGAATTCATTTTTTGATTTGGTAACCTCCCTGTTGGGACTATGAGAATGCTGTGGACACAATATATCTTGAATTCAGCAAAGCTTTTGACAGTGTCCCATAATATCCTGATTAGCAAACTAGCGAAAAGTGGTCTGGATAGAAGAACAATCAGGAGGATCCACAGCTGGCTATAGAATCCGACTCACAGCATGCTCATCAGTGGCGGCTTAACAAGTGGGGTCCTGCAGGGCGCAGTCCTGGGCCCAGTGCTATTCAACATTGTTATTAACAATTTGGACGAGGAAGTGCAGGCAGCTGGATTAGCACAGCTGCAGGCATTTCCCCTGGGCAAACGAGCCAAGGGCAGGGATGACTGCTCAGCACCCGGCTGCCTGGGGTGGTCCCTGCCCGCAGCCGCCACCTCTGAATTACACCCTCTCTCCCTGCATCTGCCTTTTAACATGTGCTGCTTCAGAAAAGGAATCACGCCGGGGCAACACTTCTGACATGCTGAGGGAGTCAATGGCTGCAAACATCGTCTGCCCCATGACCTGCTCCAGCTGAAGCGGCAGACAACAGAAGGCAACACAGCAACTTAGAAGGGGCATTTCTGGTTTGTACTGGGAAGTTGTCTGCCCATTTGCAAAACAACGACCACACTCATGGAGACCGATGGGAGGGGGCGGTATTTTGTGAAACCAGGTTTGGCCAGCTGCTCGATGAACCTCTTGGAGAGATTCGGGGAACATTTTTAGATGGAATGGGATGAGCGCCTAAGGAACCTAAGGAAAAATGGAAATAGAGCACAGAACCAGGGCACAGGAGAACATAACTAGAATGCTCAGTTCTCATCACCTGAGCTATAACATGTGCCTGCAAAATGACCAAAACAGCAGGGTGTATAGAAAGAATGTATTGCAGAAAATTATCTGAAGACAAAGATGGTATGGAGACCTTGTTGTAGTCAGGAAACGTTTAGATGCGAGGGATTGTTTTTACTTATTTTATCAGCCATAAGGACTAGGAACTTAGGTTTTCTAAGCTAAGATACTTCACCTCTGACTCTTGAGCTTCATATGAGGTTCAGTACCAGCTGCACGAATTAGCTTCAGATGTTACAATATACGTGCAGTTTTCCTAGAGAAAGAATCATCTTCAAGTAGGAGATGGGCAGCCATTTAAGTTTTATGATGGGGCTTCAGGTAGGTGTACTGAATTATTAATGCCTGTGCTATGGCAGTTTTTGTGGAGACAGCAAATATGGTCAGGCATTAAAAATGCAAGCCCTGGATTCCAGCAATCCCGACACGGTGGAGCCGCCGATGTCTGCTCCCACAGCACAAGGACTCCTTTCCATTTTGCTATCCCCTTGCTTCCTCCCAACACCATGTCCTTAGAAGCCATGCAGCATCTGTCCAGAAACTCCTGTACCCTCAAAAGGCGCATGACTGCCTATATGCCCACACCCTCTAGGACAGCTTTATCATGGAACGTGGACTGGAGGAGGACTTGGACAGCTCTCCTCAAAGCGAAAGACAGTTGAGAAGGCCTGGAGAGGGGGACTGTCTGCACGGATGACAGATGGGCTTCAAGGCAAGCCGCACCGCACAGGTCCTTCCTGTTTGTGGGACAGGGAACTGAGAGCACCAGAAGAACAGGGCTAAAATCTCGGCTCAGCCCTATGAGTGAGTGGTGCTTCTGGGCAAGTCAGTTGGCTATTTCTCGGCCAGATCTACCCTGCAAAGTGGCTGCAGTCTTCAAAGAGGGGCAATGCCACAAACCTCATCCTGAGCTATGAAGAGGAAAGGGGGACCAGAGGGAAGAGAAGATGCAGAAGAATAAGGTAGTGGGTTTCACCCTGAAAAGACGGGGAGGAGTCCTGTGCTAACTGCCAGAGGAAAGAAATTGAAGCAGGGAAGCAACCAGTCCGAGCAGTGCTGAATTCACCTGCTGCAAAACGAGGTGTCCTGGCATCATTTTGATGGTTGGAATGTGTTTAGAAGGCACAGAAATGATGAGCAGTGCGGAAAAAGCTACTCAAGGAGGGCTTTTTCAAAATCGCACTCTTTTCAGTGGAAATTTCACGCTCAATTAGGGTTAGCGGTGTGCACCAGGGTAGGGTTAGGGTTAGCAAAACAAGGTGTCCTGGCATGATTTTGGGGGTCAGAACGTGTTTAGAAGGGGCAGAAATGATGAGCAGTGCAAGGCATGGAGCGGGGTGGCACCCGGAAGGCAAATTGGGCTCCCGCGAGCGAGCACAGGCCTTTGGCTTCCCACATGGAAAACACAAGGCACCCCCTGACAATAATGCCTCAGAGAAGTCCAGCAGCGATAGAGGCATGGCATTGGCATGAAAGGAGAAGCGTTCACAAAAAATAATTAAAGGGACCAAGTTACAACCTTTCCCAGTCAGAGAGATGCTCCAACAGGAACCAAAACCTTGATCAGGCTAACTGAATCTTAGTTGCCCTATGATGTGGGGGCAGGCGTGGCTATAAGCAGAGATGGGGAGCTCCTGTAGGGACCAGTACCCCAGTACCATCCTCCCTAAGCCACTTTGGTGGGAAAGGCAGTGGGAGATTTTTGTTTTCTTCCAGTGCCAAGCTAGAAGACAAGTTGTTCTCAGGACAGAACTAATATGGCCTGTCATCTCACAGTGAAAGTCATGTAGCACTGACAGGAATATTCTGCAGGTTTAATAACCTTGCCTGCCTGTGCGTTACGTTTTATCATACTTGGTATTAGCTGCCTTGAATATCAATAGAGAGGTTTAAATATAAAAATTATTTCCATTCACAAACGTGATTGCAAGAAAGTACTGTGAATAGTGCTGGGCTAGGTAGGGTAGGTTTTGCTTCAGGATCAGCAACTGCCTTCTTCCTCCAGACCTTCAAAGAGGCAGCTCCAACAAGTTCGGAGGAAAAGCATGCCACACCTGTGGAAGGGAGACATTTGGCAAGGCCAGAACCCCCTCTTTCCTCCACACAGGACAACCAGGGGCTCTGCCAGCTTAGCCAAGGCCTTACATGCATCAGTTGGGCACCCAAGGCCACCAGCTGGAATCCCCTTGAATCAAAAGGGGCCCTTGATGTTAGATGATCTAGAAACCTTTCACTTAACAAGTTATCATGATCTGCCTGGGGAGGCCATACCAAACCACCACACTCACACATCCATTCCCCAGTGTAAAAGACAGTTCAAGTTGAAAGCCAATGATGGGGAAGGGCCTTTCCTACGAGACTACCCCCAGCTGCCTGAGGAAGATCCTCAGTGTGCCCCACAACGTAATCGGCAGCAAGGCAGTTGTTCCTGAGTGGTATTTTGTGGGCAGGAAGAAACAGATAAACAGGGTGAGTAGGATGGAGAGCTCCCCCACCCTACCAAACCCTTAAGAAATCAGCAGTGGTAGGAAGAACTTGATGTTGCATTTCTTTGTTGGAGGAGAACATGCAGTCAGAGACCATGGATAGGCTGAGTGGGGCGTCAGGAACAAAGGAAAGTTCTCCAGAAGGCACTGAGCTGATTTACCTCCTGAGAGGCTTTCCCCCAGAAGGTAGCCAGGTGCCATAAGATGTCAACAAGCGGCTGGGGTGTGCCAGGCTTTGCCCTTCCTCAGGCAGCAAAATATCTGTGCTTGGCCTGCTCTTTCTTGACTGAGGACAGCAAGAGTGCAGGGACAGGCAAAAGGTCCTCACTGCATGTTTTGGACTTCTAGCCCCCAAGAGCCCCTGTAAGCATGGGGTCAAAGGTCAGGAATGCCGGGAGCTCAAAGTCTGAGGAAGCTGACATCCTGTCCTATATGACACGGGCTACAGCCAGTGCAGGGCGTAGAGAGCCATCAAGATGGGCACTGAAGTAAGATGAGCCGTTCTCGAGAGAAATGGGCTATGCCCGGGCAGAGGAGAGACGCGCCTATTGTTCCTCGCTAGTGCTAAAGAACAAAAATGGGAAATGCTTTGTCACACTCCAAGGAACAGGCAATGCTCCAGAGCTTCTGCTGCCCTGGAGGGCACTATCAGGTTGAACTGGCAGCACCCCATTAAGAGCCCCTCCACCTCATGCCCCAGCATCATGCCCCACAGGCCCTCTCGGAGGCAGCAGGCTAAAAGCAGAGGAGGGCTTTGTGACATTAAAACCATGGCCAGAAGAAGTCCTGCAGTGCAAATGGCTTCATTCCCCTGCTGCCAGGAAAAATAAAGAAAGGATCCTACTTCTGCAGAGGCAAGTAATCAAAATTGAGCTGAAGCACTGTGGAAGAGAGACCACCGGGCAAGAATCAAAAACCACAGAAAACCCAATTCCTGAAGTGCCTGGCTCTACCTGACCTTGGAAGCTAAGCAGGGTTGGGCCTGCTTGAAAGCTGGATGGGAGTCTTGAATGCTGTGAGCCGCTCAGAAAGCTTTGGTTATGGGTGGTATAGGAATGTAATGAACAACAACAACAAGCCTAACAGCCCCTCCTGCACACAAAAAGGAGAAGAGAAAGGGATGTCGTCCAGCAGACGATGAGGCATGCAATCAAACTGGCCAAGAAGCGCCTGTCTCCCAGCGTCTCGCTGAAGTTAGAGTAAGAGATGCCCAGTGTACGGGCAACGTGCCCACGCAGCTCTGGGGATGACTTGGCCCCATCTCCATGATGTTTAGGGGATGCTGCCTGTTCCAAGGCTGCACACTTAAGGGAGCGGCTACTGCCATAGGCTTGCCACAACATTTTTACCTCCTCATGGGCCAGCCAGCAGGCAGGCTTCTTCTGGTGGCTTGCAAAGGCTTCCAACATGAATGAGCCAGAGCAAAACGTCACCTCTACTGCCTGCAGAAGCCACTGCAGAAGCTACCTCCTCAAAAGACATAAGCAAATGCATCCAAGCCACAAAACAAAGATCCAGACTCAGAACAGGAAAGGTGAGTTACGCCCACTGTTTCCCTCTCCTGCCTCTAAGAGGATGTGCACAGCATCTTTGTCCAGAGAGCCGCTCTAGGAGCAGCGGGGAAGCTCCTCACATTCAAGCTTGACAGACACCGAACCCTTAAAGGCACACTGAAACAACAAACACATTCAGCAACACTGAAACTGCAACGACTCCCTTTGTGAGCAGAAAGTTGTTCTGGCTGCTTTACACTGCAGAGTACCCATGCCAAGACACCCAAAGTTGCCAGCCCACACTCAGGGACATCCTACTGGGTTAGACCAAGTTGGGTGCTCTTTGGCTCTGCCACTTCTTGCCCCACACAACAACCGATACTCAGAGAAATGGAGTAGCATTGTTTGACAGTCACAGGCAGAGCAATGCTCCTTCACACACACCATGTTCTGCTTTTATGGCATGTTACTGCCTCCTAAAAGCACCTTTTTTTGCTTCAACTTTGTTTTGTTTTGTTTTTACTCACCAAGGACAATTAAGAAGTGACATTTTCCAAGGCCAAAATTGCACAGTGCAACAGATGACTTCCTTTCAAGATAATCTCCTTCCACCACAAAAGCAAACAAAAAACCCTCTTGAATTGTGTGGGAACGAATTTCTCTAGATTCTGCTAATTTTCACAAGAGCATCTGTGTCTGAAATGGCTTAGGATGCAGTTGATCCCGGGATCGTGCAAAGCCAGAAGTGATCCTTTGATCATCCAGTTCATTTCTTCCCTTCAGCACGACAACTGCTTCTTTCAATTTGTTTAAAGTGAGGGGTTTTACATTCACAGAGAAGGCCAGTAATCCCAGAACAGCTGAATAGCTTCCTATTCAGGAAAAGTCAACCCCTGAACAACAGCTTTTGAGGCAGGAAGAGAAGGACCACAGCAGAGGAACCTTCTCTGTGTTATGGACTTCCTGGAGTCCTTTTGCAAGCAGGATGCTGGACCACTTAGACCCTGGCCCAGCATGGCCCCTCTGACTGCACAGCAAGCATCTGGGTTTTCAGCAGCTCACATACAGAGTCCTTTGTGGGCAAGGGTGGAATCGGTGTTGCATCTCAATCTGACAATGCCAGGCCACTTTGGGATTGCCAGTCCAAAATGAGCAACTTCTGCTTTTAAGCTATGGGAGAGTTAGTTGTTCTTTTGCCTAAAAAAACACACTGAGAAGCTTCTTCAAGCAAAGCACTCAAAGCAAAAAAGGCTCTACATAAATCAAACACCAGCCCAGAAATGCCATTCCTGAAAAGGCGCAGCATTGCATCTGGCCAGAGAGCCTCCACCAGAACGCAGGAAGCCGGACACAGCCACAAGAGGTGCATCAGGCAGGGGCATTTCTGCCACATCAGATTAGTGCACAGATACGCACAGGAAACAAAGCAAAAGCTCTTCATGCCAATGTTAGCCAGCCAGCCAGCCAGCCAGCCGATTTGACAGGGGCGCTGGCAGCAGAGCAGAATGTGTATCATCTTGCTGAGGGAGGCTCGGGCCAGTGGATCAAGAGCTGCACTCTTAGGAGGCACCAGGGCAGGATGCAAACAAGCCAAGAAAAAGGGGACTGCCTATGGGGATGGGGGGATCCCCCCCCACTCTTTACATAGAGAAACTGAAGTATTTTCTCTGGAGTCCAGTCCCCATCTCCCTTCCCTCAGGGTAAAGCTCCCAGGGCAGTGCCGGGGCATTTATCCAAGCCAGGCAGGGCACAGTCCTTCCCCTATCTCGCGGGCAGCTCCTGAAAAGCCCCTCAATGCCCCAGAAGCAAGTCGGGATGCCCTCCCCCTCCAAGGCGGGCAGAGCTCTCCTTGCAATGACAGAGCAAAGGAAGAATCCCGTCCTTTCCCGATCCCCCCACGCCCCCCCGCGGGGCTCAGCCGGTCTGGTTCCTGCCAAGACACTCACTTCTCTCTGCGGAGCAGAAACGCCGCCTCAAGATAGTCGGGCTCCCCTCTTGGGCCGGCCCAGCGCTCCTAAGGCGAGCCCCCTGGCACAGCTCACTCCCAACACCAGGCGCCCCTTCCCCAAATCAGCCCTGCCCAGCCCTCCTGCCATCCCTCCCACGTTGTCCAGAAAACGTGCCGACCCTCGGAGAGGGCAGGAGCCCCCTAGCATTTAGGCAAAGCTGCTTCCGCAAAACAACAGCCACTCCCCTCCCGCTCCGGGCAAAGGGCAGGCGAGGCAAATTTGGGGAGAACAACACGAGCCGAGCTGACCCGCCCTCTTCTCCCACCCGCCCGGGGGCCCTTCCCTGGGGGACCCTCCTCCCCTCCCCGCCGGGCCTGCGGGTAACGGCACCGGGGCCACCGCCACGAGATGAGCCGATTGCGCTCCCCCGTTCTCGGCGCGCAGGTAGGCTTGCGACGACGGCCAGCGGAGCGAGCGGCTGCGGCGCCGAGGCCGGGCGGCGGAGCCTCCGGTGCGGGCGCGCAGGTGGGCTCAGCCCTCGCTTCGCGCTCCTTGCCCGGGAGCCACCCTGCCCTGCCTGCCCTGCCCTGCCCTGCCCGCCGCGAGAAGGGGCGCCTCCTCCCCGCGCCTCACCTGGGCTCCCCCCGCTGCCGCCGCCGCCTCCTCTGCCGGCCCCTCCTCAGAGCTGCTTCTGGACCCCGGGCAGGCGCCCAGAGGAGCCCGAGCCGCCTGTGCGCGGACCCTGAGCCCTCCCGGCCACCGTCGCCGCAGCCATCTTGCCGTCGGTGCCGTCCCAGCCGGGGAGGAGCGAAGGGGGGGCGCGAGGGGAGAAAGGAGAGTCGCGAGCGCGTAGGCGTGTGACTGCAGCGAGAAGCCGGCTGGGAGGAGGGGGGCAGAGGCGGGAGCACGCGGGCGAACGTCATGGCCCCGGCGCGCCCGCCATGCTGGTGAGGGCACCCGGGCGGCCTGCGCGAGCCGCATACCATCTGTAGAAGGGATTATGACGCCATCTTAAGGCGCGGGAAAGGCCGGTTTGTCCTGCTCGTCTTAAGGCGCGGGAAAGGCCGGTTTGTCCTGCTCACAGCTTCGCGGAGCCGCCAGCTGTGGCTACAAACTGCAGGAAAGCGCCGGAGGTTCAGGCCCAGTGTTCCGTCTCCAAGAACGGATGCTAGTCGGGGAAGGCGCCATTGCGGTTTCTTTATTCTTCAGTTTCCCGTCCGGCAATGGGAATAATCTGTAAATAGCTTTTTGACAAAATATCCGGAGTATTTCCTCTCTCTCGCCTAAGCCTTTCAAGTGTTTGCCTCCACTTCTTGCTCAATTGCTCAATTATCCGGCACCAGCAATATTTTGTACCACGTTTTTTCTGCAAAAGAGAACATGGAAGCGCGCTTGCGCTAAAGCCTAGGGCTAGGAACGAAAGCGGAGAATGCGCATGTGTGTACACCATACCGGGGGAAGAGAATTGACAGTACGCATGCGCTTTGCCCTTACCAAGGCGAAGAACGCGCGTGCGGCTCAGCGGGCCGCTCATTCCGCCTGGGAAACATTTGCGGCGCGCGAGCATGCGCAGCCGGAAGCCTTGACTTTGGGCGATGGAGCTGGAGGCAGCAGGAACGCGCATCAACTGAGAGAAGCCCGGGAAGGCGCTCAAGCTCGGCTGCGCATGCGCGCCTTGAAGCGAGCCGAAGGAAGCTGGTCCAGGCACAGTCGCCGCCAGCAGCGTTGGGAGCACCGCGCGCATGCGCGGTGAGCGGGCTGGCCGCGGAGGGGCATTACAATGGAAGAGGAGGAGGTCGCCGAGAGCTGGGAGGAGGCGGCCGACAGCGGGGTAAGCCTGGGGACGCGCAGGGGCGGCCGAGTCGCCGGGGGCGCGGCGGGGCGGCCACACCGGGCCCCTCGTAGCCGGCGGTGGGAGGCAGCAGGCTTCGCGGGGGCTGGAAGGCCTCTTAAAGGGGCCGCCGACCCATTTCCGACCCCCCGACCACGTGTTCCTTCCGCGGGCCCGATCCATGAGGTACGGAATGTCCCTCGGGCCGCGGGACACGGCACTGCGCCCGGGCTTCTGCGAGGGCTCCTCCGTCGCTGCCCTGGTCGGATGCCCTGAGCAAGCCGCCCCGCCTGCTAGACAAGGCCTCGCGCTGGGTACGAGCAAACGCCCCTGCTCCCCCGACGTCTAGCATTCTTCAAATAGGTCGGACTACAACTCCCAGCATGCCCAGCGAGCAGAACCTTGCCCTGCTTTTGGCCCCGGAGAGTGGGAGTTATGCGGGAGGGAAGGGCCTTTTCTGTTCTTTGCCTGGTTGAGGATGATGGGAGTTGTAACTTAGCGACGGCCCTCTTCCGGGTCAGATTTCCCCCACAGTCGGGTGACCTCCAAGTGGCTTGGACTACAAGTTCCGTCAGCCCCAGCTGGCATCGCTACTTGCCTGGAATTTTGGGCGTTGCTACCTCCAGTTATGTACCCCTTTCTGGAGGCTTTTGGGACGAGTGGGGGGAGCAGGGTAGAAATCCTGGAGAGCAGCTCTGCTGGCCTTTCTCATCCTCACTGCTGAGCAGAGACTGGCAGTCCTGAAGATGCCAGCTACCCGTTCCCATCATCCCTGGTCCTTCCGGCTGGGGGAATTGGGTGCAGCAAGGTCCAGCACTCTGTGGCTTGGCAGAGACCGGCTGAGGGAGAAGGAAGCAGCTATGGAAGCCTGAGTGGCAGAGGCTGCATGCGAGGATGGGGAACTCTGGTGGCTGAGGAGGCGTTGTGGGTCCCCATTCCAGGGCTGCTTCTTTGCATCATGAACCCAGTCGCCTCGCAGGACCCAAGGCGGGAGTTGGCCAGTGGTGTGCTGGTGGGCAGTACTCTGCTGTGGGTGGTCCTAGAACATGCCCCAAGCTGGCCACAGATGCCGAGACCCCTTTCACGGCGGGTCCAGTGCAGCGTCCAGTGCTCTTGGGCAATTCGCTGGGCCTGAGAGCAGCCACCGGGCCTGCCCACATGCCCCAGCACCTGCTGCTGGGCCTGGCAGTTCCTCTGGTCCCGAAAGGGAAGCAGCAGGCGTGAGGCCACTCTGGAGTGCTGCAGGGGGCCTTTTCTGGCCGCAGAAGCAGGACAGCCCCACCTGAGGCTTCCCGCGTAAGCAGCAACAATGGGCAACTCTTGTCATCCAGACCTTGGGAGTGGAGTGACAGAGAGGCGGACCAGTGACGGACTGGACCGTGCGTCAGGACCCCCAGTCCTGGCTCTGGATTCAGGGCTGCCCACACACGGTCTGCTCATCAGCTCGGAGCGAGAGGCGAGGGAAGTCGTCGTGCCCCCCGCCATGGCAGAGGCTGCTCTGCTTCTGGGGGTCTCACCGTGCCTCGCTCTCCGAGCTGCTGCAGGGGTGTGCTTGCCTCCCATAGACCTCCCAAGGGGGCTGGGGAGTCTGGCCACAGCTCTTCCCTGCTTCGTTTTCAAGGAGAAACAACCTCAGCTCGGCTTCCAGGCAGGGTGATAGGAGGCGTTAATGCTGCCTGGAGCTCCCCAGCTCCCCGCCCCCACTATATTTGCTGTATTTCCCCTTGGCCTGCTGGACTCGCCCATGCTTTTACAGGGCTAGGTGGTGCTTTGGGGGCTGCTGGTGTGCCTTCCAAGGCGGGGAGTTGTATTTTGCCTGTCCAAGCTGTAGGAAGCCACTGGATCAGCTCACACAATTGACCAGCCCAGCATGGCCCACTTAAACCATGGGGTGCTGGTGGCCATCGTGCATTTTCAAGGCACTGCTGCATCTGAATGGAGGGCCTGAGCTTCAGCCCCCTTCTTGGAACCCAGCAACAGACCACTAAGTATACAAAGGCTGCCAATGCTTTCTGGCACAGAGCAGACCTCCAGCTTGCCGTGCTTCCCCATGTATCTGGTGGAGAGCAGTTGAGGAGAGAGAGCAGACTGCTTCCCCCATGGCTGCAGTATTTCCTGTGTGGTCTGCGGAGCTCCCAGGAAGTGACGTTTCCTCTCCACCTCCCAAGGGGTCCTCGTGCCGTGCTCTTTCGCCCCCTGCAAGGGCTTTCCTGCACTGCTGCAGGCATGAGGCTCTGAGGGAAGACCCACCAGGTGGCTGGTTCATCGGGCAGGGTGGGCTGCAGCAGCTTCTTGACTTGCCCGGGTTTCTGACTGCCTCGCACCTTCACCCCCCCCCTGCCCCCGGCAGAGGCAGCCTGGCAGCATGTGCCCGCTCAGCCCCAGACTCAGTGCCCGGTGGCCGTGCTGCTTCGGGGGCTTCAGAGAGAGCTTGGGCTTGGTTGGCCGTGGGGCCTGGAGCATGGAGTCGAGTGTCCTTGGGGAGGGAGCGGCCAAAGGCCTGATGCCTGGCTGGGTTCCTGTTCCGCTGCAGCTGCTTCTGTTGCAATAGGAGAAGTGCTCCGGTAACGGTTCCTGCGCGGAGACTTCTCCGCCTGCCCTTGCAGTCCAAAGTCTGGAGGCAGAGTTAATCGTTGAGCCGGGAGAGCTCACTGGGCTGCCCGCTGCCCCAGAGGTGCGCTGCTTCCTCGGGGGGCGCATGTGCAAGTCCGCAGTGGCGGAGCGGGAGCACGGAGCACGTGGCGGGAGGGCTGCGGTGTGCAGGGCTCACCCGGCTTGTTCCCAGTGCCGGGGATGCCCTGTCCGGAAGGCCAGCCCCTCCTGCAGGCGGCAGCATCTGCAGAAAGACTCGCCAGCGGCCCTGATGTCAGGGAGCGCCTCGAGCTGGGCTCGGCTAGGCTGCCTGGGGCTGGGGCAGGGGCTGGGCTCGGCTCCCTTGCCACGATGGGCTGCCTGGGGCTCTCCGCCCGGGTCTCGCTCCTCCATGCGTCCTGGCTGGGGTTTGCTCTGGCCAGCTCTCATCTGTGGAAGGTGGGAAAGCAGTTCTGACCGGAACCAAAAGGCATTTTGTTGCTTTTCAGGAAATTGATAGGCGGCTGGAAAAGAAACTGAAAATCTCCCAGAAGGAAAGGTAAGCGTGCTTTACCCCTGGCAGCCCCTCCTGGCTTGACTTTCCCCAGCAGGAGCCAGGCGCAGTTGAGCGGCCGGGTGGCCACGCGGGCTGCTGCCAGTCCGCGCTGCCCACCTGTCGCCTCTGCTGGGGTGGGCCTACTGGTGCGCTAAGACCGGAGGAGGTTCCTGGCGAGCCACGGGGTGGGGCTGTCCCCCCCGGTCTGTGGGAAAGCAGCACAGCGCACCAGCCAGCCTGGCCGTCACACAGAGAGAGGAATGGTCAGCCCAGGATGGTGACGAAACACGAGGGGAGGCGTGCGCGCCAAAGAAGAGTCAGCGAGAGGGGGGACCTGGTGTCTCTGGTAGGTTCGGAAGGCCTTCTATGGTCGTCCATGATGTTTTGTTTTCCCTCATCAGGGGCCGCTAATCTTCTCTTAGGTGAAGATTTTTTAAAAATCCGTCTATTTCTTTTGCCTAAAAGTTCTTCGGTCTGGGAGAAGGATGCCAGCGGACACGAAGAGCACCCGCCTTGACCCAGCTGCCACCCTGCTGGTGCCAAGGGCCTTGCAGCCGGGCTCAGGCCTCCTGGCGGCTGCACCCCATCCCTTGTGGGGCTCGCTCCCGGCGCCACAGGGGCCTGAGTGCCCTGGCAGTTGTGGGGCCCGGCATGCCCTGCAGCAAGGAGCAGGGAGCCATCTTCTCCTCTCCCCTCCCCCGACAGCAGGAAATCCAAGTCCCCCCCCAAAGTGCCGATCGTGATTCAGGACGACAGCCTTCCCTCAGGGCCCCCTCCGCAGATCCGGATCTTAAAGCGGCCTACGAGCAACGGGGTGCTCAGCAACCCCAACGCAGCCAGCCGGCCGGCCTTCCCCGTGAAGTCGCTGGCCCAGCGGGAGGCGGAGTACGCGGAGGCCAGGAAGCGCATCCTGGGCAGCGCCAGCCCAGAGGAGGAGCCCGACAAGCCCATCCTCGACAGGTGAGAGCCCGGAGCCCCTCGCGTGCTGCACTCGGCAGCAGCTCAGACCAAGGCAGCCCTGCCGGGGCTCCTAAGCCGCGTCTGTGGACCCTCCGAGGCTGCCGTCTTCTGGGCTTCACGAGCCCCTGCTTGCGGGCCTCGACCGGCCCTCCAGGGGTTCGGGGCAGCGCTCTCCTCAGTCCTCCCGGGAGAGGTCCCTGCCCGCTCGAGGCCCCCTGCGTGCCCAGAGTGGCTCCACACTCGGCTGCAGCCCTCCTGCTCATGGGGCTGGGCGGGGGCACTGGCCGAGTCCCCGTGGCAGGGCCCGCCTTTCTCTGGGAGCCCACGCAGGGCCCAGCTGTCGCAGAAGCTCGGGGGGACGCTTGCTCCTCCGACCTCCCCAGCCAGCAGGAGCAGCCCGTGACGCCTCTCTCTCCCCGCCCACAGGCCCACGAGGATCTCCCAGCCGGAGGAGGCCCGCCCACCCAGCAATGTGATCCGGCAGCCGCTCGGCCCGGATGGCTCGCAGGGCTTCAGGCAGCGCAGATAGGCCTGGCAGTTGGCGCGGACCGGCGGACCCACGCGGGGGGCAGGCCGGGGCGACACGCACTGTGATCCTCTCTGCTCCGCCGCCTCCCGTCCTCGCGGGCCCCATGCACTGTGACGGCCCCCGCTCTTCCCCCTGGGGTGGGCCTGCCGAGGGGGGCCGCCCGGAGCCGCCGTGAAGGGAGGGGAGCCGGGCAGGCGCCTCCCCAGGGAGCCGGCACCAAGCCTGCCTGCCCGGATCCAGCACCAGCAGCAATAATCGCTTCCCCTGTGGGCTCCCCGGGCTCGGAAGCACCAGGCGGGCCCCCCAGACGCGCGCGCGCGCGCTTGTCCGTGCGGCTTCGGGAGCTGGGGGGTGGGGGCTGTGCACTCGTTTGCCTGTTTGCGTTTGGGGAGAGTCGGACGGCGCCGCAGCCACGTGCATGGGAAGGAGGTGGGAGGGGGGCGACTTTAACGTGTTTCTCTGCGAAGTGGTAGTGGGTAGTTTGGGGGGAGCCGAGGATGGCTTTGAATGAGATCGTGCGGACGGGGCCACTGAGGCCGCGCCTCCTGCTTGCTGCTGCTTCCACGCTGGTGGGGTGGCAGAGGGGCCCCCCAGGCCTGCTCCCCCTCCAGGCTTTTGCCTTGCCTTGAAGGCGCGAGCTGGTCCCTGTCCCGCCACTTCTGCCTCCGAGTCTAGGGCTTCGGGCAGTTCTCAGGTGTGGGGGGAGAGGGCTGCCGTGCGATGGGAGGGGAGGCGGCCAGCGCCACCCTGGCTTGCCCGCGCTGCCTCTCGCCGGCCGCGAGGCCTGTGCCCCGAGGGCAGCTTTGCCTGCGCCACGCCGGGTCTGGGGTGGCACCAGAGGCCCAGCAGTGCTTGTGCTGGCCCAGCGGACAGTGAGTGGCAGCCAGGCTCTTGCCTTGCGCGCCGCGTGTGCGACGGCTTCTACTTCCGGCAAATGGGCCACCAGCAGGCAAAGGCGTGGGCTGCAAGCTGCGTCCAGGCAGGCGGTTGAGCGAGGGAGCCCGGTTCCCCCTCACAGTTCGCAGTCAGTCTGGGAAATGCGAGTCTCTGCGGGCCCTCAGTGGAGCAGCTGCCAGCCTGTGCTCTGCCTGCCTGCTCCAGACAGAAGCGGCCAGAGCGTCCCCCAGCCATGAGAAGAAGGAGCAGCAGCCGGGCCCTTCCCAGGCAGTGGGGCAGAATCCGCCCGAGGCGGAGGGCCCTCGCATGCTGAAGAGGCCCGCTGTGCCAGCTCTGCTCCTGGGGGTGAAGCCAGCCGGGCCGCCCGCCCTCTCTTGCAGCCATATTTGTGGGGAAGGGGCTGTGCCCGCCCTCCCCAGTGACTGGGCTAGCTTGCTTCACTGTGTTCCCAGAGCCTGCCTTCTTGTCCTGCTGTCTGGCCTGGAGGGTGCAGGAGGGGTGCCGCAGGACACTGCGCCGAGGGCCGGGGCACCGCAGCGCCTCCTCTTGCGCGGAAGTGGAACCTTTGCCTACCGGCCAGGAGGGGAGTCTCTTTGTACATCAACCTAAGATGTGTGCAAACTATTGCAAAATAACTGGTCGAAAGAGTAATAATAATAAAACTACCTGCGTACAAAAAGCAAATCGTGATGGACCCTGACTGTGTGCGTTTGCTCCCTCGTCTACCCTTGTCTCTCTCCTCTCTGCTTCTCGGAGTGAAGCCCTCTTGGGTTGCAGACGGCTTTGCCTCACAGCTCTTCCCTCCCTCTCTCCAACGCACGATGGCCGGATCTCTTCCACCAACTCTGTGCCCTCCAGTCGGCTACGTGGGCTGTGTAATTGCCGGTCCTTTGAGGAGCGGGCCTCTTCATCCGCGGGGCTGCGTTTGCAACACGCCTCTGGCTTGTTCAGGAGGTGGCGGGCAGTCGGAGGCCTTGGGTCCTCCGTGGGAAGGGAGTTGGGTGGGGAGAGTGAGCAATAACGACAAGTCACCGCCTGCCTTTCTTTAATTTTGCTTTAGATTGGGTGGCCGGAAACGCCTCCTGCCACCGATCAGACTAGGAGCATCTCTCCCCTGCTCAGAACCCTACATGCCGCTTCACACGAGCTAATCGTCACTCCCGGCTTGTTGCTCCGGGGGAAAAGCTAAGCCTGCCCCCACTCAGCTTCCGGGGGACCGTTTAGGGGGTTGCCGTGGTGCCTCCCGCCTTTGCTTGCCTAACCACCAGGGGCACGCGGCCGGCTGCGGGCAGGAGGCGATGGAGCCCCTGCCACGGTCTGCCAGTGAGGGGCCTCTGCCAAGCAGCGGGCTCCTCCTCGTGTGCCGAAGTCCGCGCGGAGAGAAGCGAGAGGCTTCCAAGTCTACTGAGGTACCTCCCTGTGTATGCAGGTGCGGTTGGGGACGCATTTCGGCAAGGCAAGCCTTGAGGCTTCCCCAGCCCACAAACAACTGACATAATGCAGATAAACATTTTATACATTGTATTTTGAATAAATATGTTAACTTTTAAGGATCTCTGCTCATCATTATTCCCCTCTGGGGTTTTACAGTTATGCAAGTGTGCAGCCAGCCAGTGTGGAGTGGGGTGGCAAGTAACACACATGGGCCAGCATGTGCTGCTGTCACAGCAACAGCCCATCCTTTGGTGGCACTTTCAAGTTACGACAGACGTCTGCAGCTCCTCTGTCCCTCTTGGTGGAGCTGCTGGCTGTGGCTGGCGAGCTTTGTAGGCCAAAGTGTCGGGCGCCACTGCGGGTGGGCAAAGGGCCGGGTGAGGCCTGGGGCGGCAGGGCTGCTCCGTGGTGCTTGCGAGCCGGGACGGCTTGACGTGGCCTCTTGCAGAGACGCGGCCGCCAAGCGGTGGGCATGGCACCGGTGTGTGCTTCCTAGAGCTATGGGGCTGGCTGCGAAAGGGGGAGCAGCTGGGGGGCAAGACGTGTGGCTCTCCGAGGGCAGGGCTGCCCCCACACCCTGGGCCTGTACCCAGAGAAACCAGAGCTCCACACCACCGCGGGACACAACAACTTCTTTGGTGCTACTGTAATCACACCGCACTGGTTGGTTCTGCTGGTTCTGGAACTGACGGGAAGGCAGGAGTAAAAAAGCTCTGGGGATTTACTGCGTCCCATCAGTAAGATATCAGCTGGCCTCATCTGCACCCTTTCAACCCCATCCTGACCGTCCTGGTGGCTTGAAATTCTCTGGAGTGCATCGCTGTGGCTACGCAATGGCTGCGGATTAAAGGCACTTTGTGCTTGTGCAGAGGCGTTCTTGCCCAAGTGTCGATTTCCTCTTCGTGGCTTGGCTGCCGAGCCCTTTTCTGCGCACTCCGGGCTCGGGGCGCTCCGAGGCGCCGCGACCCTCCCCTCCCGGCCTTCCCGGGCCAGCTGCTGCAGCTCCTCCCGCCGCCAGGGAGGGCCGTCTCGGCCCGAAGGGCGGGCAGACACCACGCTCCTACTTCATGTATTTATCGTTTGTTTATTTACTTATTAGCAGAGACCTATTGTGCCTATTTCCTATGTGTATAAAATTATGGAGCGGATGATTAATGATAGATGACCCCGCCCCGTTTTTTTTGAGAATCACTCCCAATTATCACTGCTGTTTGTCGTGGGAGACATACAATGGGCCACATTATTCGTTTAGAAACTGAGGCTTGGAAGAGGGTTTACCCGAAGGCGTTTTTAGTGGCCGTTCTTTCAGTATTGGCCAGGAAGGGGCTGTCTCCCTTGTCTTCAGGGCGCCTTGTACTTCCACCGGAGGGAGGGATTTTGATCCTGGGGCAACTGGACGCTCTCTGCCCATGCCCAGAGGGCCACTTTCCTCCTTGCCCGGCTCTGCGGGTGGCCATGGGTCGTCGAGCTGCCACGGCGGCCCCGTGGATGGACGCAGACTGCCCGCTCCCGAGATCCCTGCCCAGCTCGTGTGAACGGGCGACCCGAGTTAATTTTTTTAACTGGAAATGTTTCCGGAAGTGCTGCTGGCGAGCCGCCGGCGTTCCGTGGGCACGTGACTCTCTGCGCGTGCGCGGCTGAGGGAGAACCCGAGGACCCGTATGTCCGGGTTCTCCGCGGCGGCCAAGATGGCGGAAGGGGAGGCGTACGAGTCGGTGCTGTGCGTGAAGCCGGAGGTCCACGTCTACCGCGTGCCGCCTCGCGCCTCCAACCGCGGCTACAGGTGAGGCGCCAGCCCGGCCACGCCACGCGTTCCTCGCCCGGGGCCAGGGCGGCGCCTTCGGGCATGTGCAGAGTGCGCTCCACGTCCGCGGTGCGGGGCAAGGTTCTCCTCTCCACTCAGTGGCGCGCACGCTCCTGCAGGCCCCACTTGCGCGGGCACGAGCGCCGCTCCAAGGCGGAGGCGGGGGCGATGATGAAGATGATGATGAAGAAGAAGAGTACCCTAAGAGACCGCGCGAGAGGAGGAAGTGTAGCTTTCATCGGCGCATCGGGCGCTGCCGCCGCGCCCCCTTCCGTGAGTCCCCGCCTTGTCCAGCGCTGCAACCGGTGGCGAGAGCCAGAGCGGCGAAGCTGGACGTGGCGGGCGCGCCTTCCAGGGAAGGCGCCCGGAGGCTCCAGCAGGGCCTCGCCCCGGAGCGGTGGCCGCCCTGACCCCGCTCTTGGGCCTGCGCCCGGTTTCGCTCCCTTGCTTTGCGTGAGCGCAGGGCGGAATCGCCCCGGGCAGGCCGCCTCCTCGCACTTCACTCCCGGCTCTGCACGAAATGTATTTGCTCTGCAAAACTTCCAGGGGAAGAGCGGCAGCCACGTCTTTCTGGCTAGATACGAAAGGTGCAATATGGCAGATGAGAACAAGCCCTCTGAAAGGGCTGACCTTGCAAAAAGCTGTTCCCTGGAATAGTGGAAATGCTTGTCTCAAAAGTGAAAATGATGAGCTGGTCGTTTTGCACAGCTTCTCTTCAGCAGTTTTAGTGGCCTTGGCCATGAAGCCTCACACTTAACATGGTCCACAGCTTCCACCAGCCCTCACTGGGTGTGGGATTATAGGGTAAACTGGAACGCCTGCATTAATGCAGCTCTTTGTGCCGCTTCGTCTGGCTGTAGGGAGGGAGGCCAACCATGATCTGAAGCAGGCCTCAGCCCTGCAACCCGCCCGTTTCCCCCTTGTGCTGTCCTGCAGCCTGTTGGTCACAATGACTGGTGGCTAAGTGTGCATGAAGGCATGGCATGGGGTGGCCGGAAGGTGATGGTGTAGCATGAAGCCACTTTTTGAAAGCAAGTCGGGTTGGAGGAAGGGAGAGGCAGGAATGCAGCAACAGTGACAGAGCAGCCAGTCCTGGGTGAATATGAGCTGAGGTGACCAGAAGATGAGGGAGGTGAGGAGACAAGGAAGAGCTTCCACCTCTGACAAGAACTGTGAGAAAGAGAGGCAAATTGTTGTGGATGATAAACTTTGACTAGAGAGGAAGGGGATCCCATAGCGGGTGCTGCATGGAATGGAAAGCTGCAGAGACTGGGGGCTTTTGAGCCGTCACTGGCCTTATTTTCTCTTCTCTCTGCTAGAGCTGCAGAGTGGCAGCTGGACCAGCCAGTGTGGAGTGGCCGGATGCGCATCACGGCCAAAGGAAATGTGGCTTACATCAAGCTGGAGGACAAGAACTCAGGTAAAATGCAGCTGTGGTGACTGTGCAAAGGAAGCCCCTTGCCGAAGGCCCAGCATGCAGACCGGGCCCCTTGACTTCCCCTGTGAAAGGGGGCCGGATGCTGGGCTCCAGTTCAGGACCAGAAGCTTTGTTCAGGATGTGTGGTAGGGCTCTCGGAGCATGTTCCTATGCCCATCCTTCCCCACTAGGTGCAGCTGCAGCCTGGTGAGCATTCGGGGCATTACTCTTAAGCGGGCTCTGGGTTCTGAAGAGGTAGCCCTGAGACCAAGCGAGAGGGGAGCTTCCTTGAATGGAGCCTTGCTGCTGGCCCAGGGTTCATCAGGGTGCTTGGCAGTATGAAAGGCTTCCTGTGCAGCTTTTCCTGGAGGCAGGACACTGCCATGCAGAGGGAACCCCTGTGTTCTCTAGAGACACGGACCCTCTCCCCGCTCTGTAGCTTATTGTTTGCATGCATAATGTGCTGGAGATAGAATGGCCGATGCAGAAGCTCAGCTTCGATACAACGCAGTAATTGTGTAGCTAAGAAAATGCATTAGCTGTGTCTAAATCTCTTTTGCACATTTCACAGATTAAACCAAAATACGTACATGTTTGTGTTCATGTCGGGAGAAATGGCACATTTGTCTCTCTTGAGAGTATGAAAAGAGGCAGGATACTGTGCTTGGGAGTACAAGTCAGTTTCTCACCCTCCATTTTTGCCGTTCTAGGAGAACTTTTTGCCCAGGCACCCGTGGACCAGTTTCCTAGCATTGCTGTGGAGGGTGTGACAGACTCCAGCCGATACTTTGTCATTCGGATTGAGGACGGGAATGGTACGTGTGCGGGGTGTTGGATCTTGTTCTCGGGCAGTGGCCAAGGGCTTCCTTCAGCCTCATGGTGGAACAGTCCTGACTGGTCCCCTTTCTAAGCCAAGCCAAGTTTGAGGTCACCGAAAGAGGGCCTGGGAGGAGGTCTGACGAGGCCAGTGGGTGTGGTTAGCTCCTTCCTGCCTAGGTGGGAGGAAGGGCTTCTTGCCTCAGCCCATGGCCTTCCACGGGGTCTTCTTCCTCAGCAACCCCCTGGCTTTCCCAGCTCCAGCTGTACCCGCTCATTGGTGCTGCTGCCGCTTGACCAAGACTGTATCTCTGCTTTGAGGTTCCTGGCCAGATTTCTTGTGGTCTCACTGTTTTGTCTCAATCCTTTATGTACTTTGTGACTGTCACAGCCATTTGCGTGCCCCCATCCCGCTCCAGCAGCTGTGTTGTGCCAACAGCCACCACACTGCCCTCAAAACTCCACGTTCCCACCAGCCCACAGGCTTGCGGATGCTGCGGCTGACAGTCTGCGCCGAGCCGGGAGTCTGCTAGCCAGGCCTGGAGGGGCCTGGTGCCAGGCACCGCTGTTTGGCTGAGTGGGGATGACTGCCAGGGCCTGCGGCAGCCCCCTGGCTACAGTTTGCGCCCCCAAGCCCCTCTGGACCACGGCAGTGTCCCTTCCGAATCCTGGCCCCCACACCCATATGGAAAACAGGGTCTTTCATGACCCCCTCCCCAGTTCCCTTGTTTCAGCTGCCCTCCGGCTCTCCCTTCGCCAGCTGCCCTGTTCCTCCCAGCCCAGGATGCTCACCAGCTCTCAGGGCTGTTCTGAGTAGTCGGTGACGCAGGCCCCGGCTGCCTGGCTGGACCTGGCTTCTCTTGCAGGGCGCCGGGCGTTCATCGGACTGGGCTTCGTGGACCGAGGCGATGCCTTCGACTTTAACGTGGCGCTGCAGGATCACTTCAAGTGAGTGCTTCTCCGTAGCCCTTTTGAGGCATGCGCAGTTCCTCCCTGGGGTCTCCATTTCTCCTTCCCAGGCGAGTGGAAACAGGGGCGGCAGAAGGACAAAGGGATCACCCCTTCTAGCTCAGGGCCCAGGAGAATGGGAGGCGCTGTTTCTTGGCTTGCTGCTTTAACGTACTAGTTCTCGAGAAAAGGAAATCCCATCCCGTATGAAGAGCCAAAAGTGGGTACCTGGGTTGGCAGTAGCAGACTCAGCAGTAGCAAGTCGAGCCCTGGGCATGTCTCTGTGGCTTTGGAACTTCTTTCCCTTGCCAAAATAGTGAGCTCTGGGGGAAACACAGCAGGCTGGAACCACACAGGCACAGCAAGCCAACGGGGCCCCCTCACGGGCTGGAAGAGACCACTGGTGGCAGTTCCAGGGTTCTGCCCTTCAGCCTCCCCTGTGCTGAGTGGGAAGGAGCTTGTTTCCCAGAGAAGCAGCAGGCATCGGTGCCGGGGTGGGGGTACTCTCTTGCAGTTTCCCGCCCTCCCTGCTCCAGCTTCAGGGTCAGGCTGGGGCCAACAGCTGTGGCGAAGGCCCAGGGGAAGGCGTACCAGCCCCAGTGGCTGCCCTCCGCCCATCATTTCGCCTGGGGGCTAGTCACGGGTTTTGGAATCTGGCCCTTGCCGGGTCAGGCTGGGCTTGAGACAGAGCTTGGCAGCTGTGAGCCTCGTGGGTGCGCATTGCAGCAGGGACCCTTCCCCTCCCTGGCGGTGTCCTGGCAGGATCACCATGTGCGCCGTGCTCTGAGCCAGCAGCACAAATCCTCCCCGGGGTTGTGTCTTGTTTCCACGCAGGTGGGTCAAGCAGCAGAGCGAGCTGGCCAAGCAAGCCCAGAACGCAGACCAGGGGCCCAAGCTGGACTTGGGCTTCAAGGAGGGGCAGACCATCAAGCTCAGCATTGCGGTGAGGAGTGTCTCCGGATTCATGCTGCGTCTGGGACTGGGGCAGAAGACGTGGAAAGGGCGAGTGGGCAAGTGTGCAAGGCCACCGTCCCTGGAGGAGTCGTTCCTCCCGACTAGGTGGCCGCGGTTGCTCCGATCGTGAGCAAAACCTTGCCTTGCCATGGGTCTGGTCACCAGACGCGTCCGTGAGGAGAAGTGCCGAGGCCAGTTTCTGTCAGCCCAGAAAATCCCCTGGAAACACCAGACTTGGTTGCTGTGTTTTAATGTCCATGGGTCCAGGTGAAGCAGTCCCTCAGGGATTCCACACGAACGGCCAAGGCGGCTTCACTGCTTGAAGCGTGCGCCCTTCCCCTGGGCTGGCTTTCCCCCGTGGGCGGTGAAACAGCCAAAATTTCCACATGGGGCTCCCTTCCTTGGGGAATACCAATAGTCAGACTTCAGAGTGCTTTGCCTTATGATCAGTTGCTTTCCCATCTTCCTTCAGAACATGAAGAAGAAGGACAGCTCTCAAGGCAGCAGGACACGAACAGCAGGCCTGGGGAGCCCCAGCCTCCTTCCCCCGCCTCCAGGAGGCAAGACGCCCCTGGCGCCCCGGCCCGCGGAGCAGCTCCTGATTCACCACCCAGAGTCCCTGGGAAACGCTGCCCGAGCAGGTCTGTGGTTATTGCTGGTCTGGCTCGGGCTTGCAAAGAGGCCATGGGAGAGGTGGGGGGGCAGCCACTCTAGTTCGGTGCTCAGGACTGTCTGGTTGGTTGAGCTGCCTGGCAAATCTCCCTTTGGAGCTGGAGGGTCCCCTGTGCCCCGGGAGCAGTGGCTTCGCCTGCCACCAGTCCCCAGAGGCTGGCTGAGGAGATGGGCAGCGCTGCAAAGCGAGTGGAAGTGGCCCAAGCTGACCTGTCCCCCTCCCCCTCCTGCCCGTGTGTGAGCAGACGTGTCCGTGTCACGGCCACCCCATCCCGCAAGCTCCACTGCCGAAGGCGCTGCTGACATCTGGGGAGACTTCACCAAGGCATCTGGGTGAGGAGATCCCCTTTCCCCTTTCTTGTGGCCTCAGTGAAGTGCATTGGCTGGTTTATCGAGCATAACACCTGACTCCCAGCAGTTCCCCACATAGGTGGGCCTTGCAGTTCCCGGGGTGGAGCCCCTTGCCTGGCGGAGGGGACGGAGGACAGAGCGGGAGGTCCCGGCTTTGCTTTCTTACATGCCCCAAAGCCCTCTTTGAGTCCTGTGTCCAAGGAGCCCGAGGCAAATAGAGCATCCCAATTTGGGGGACTGGGCGGGCTGCCACCGCTCGTCCGGGTGACACCTGGCCTGCTTGCTCGTCCTGTCGCTCACTGCGGCGTCTGCCTTCTCCTCCTCTAGGTCTGTTAGCGGCCAGAGTCATCAGGGCTCTGGCTGGGTCCAGTTTTAAGCAGCCAGGGTGTCTTGTGCTGCTCTCGCCTGGTGGCCAAGGAGCGATCCACCGGTGCTTTCCTCACGGACCAAAGAGGCCTGGAAGAACGGCTCTCGCTCAGGGTACTTCAAGAAATCTGTTTCGGACACTTTGCTTTGGTCATTAGGGGTGAGGGGGGTGGGACCGCAGAACCCCCCCCCCCTCCAAATGAGGTCACTCTGCACACTTGGGGAGGATCCTTTCTTGTTCCCCAGAAACTCCAAGAGGGAGCTTTTTTCCTGCACTCAAATCAACTGATTGACCGCAAGCCTGGAAGTGGGTTCGGGAGCAGCCCAGGCATTCTTGGAGAAGAAACCCCGGCAGAGCTCTTGCATCTCAATGGAAGGTTCCCCTCTTCTTTTTGCTTCCCACCCTCTTGCAACTTTTCACTGACTGTGGAAGAAGAGGACAGAATTCCTGGAGAGGGAGTGGGTGTGGGGGGGTGTGTGTGTGTGAGAGAGAGAGAGAGAGAGATCTGGAATGCCCTTGCCTTTAGGACAGGCACTGGGTAGCCCTGGGACAGAGTGACAGGCGAGCCCTGGCTGCTTCCCACTTCCCAGCTTGAGGGATTGCCATGGGGCGGTGGCTGTGGTGAACTGAGCTGAGCAGCAGCAGCAGTGCCTGGCAGGGAGTGAGGGTGGCTTCCCTCTGCTAGCTTCCCTGCACTGTGTTGTGTTCTGAAGTGTCTTTCTCCCCACCTCTTGCCCACCGGCCTTCTCTCCAAAGGGGAAAAGGGTGTGAGCAGGGGCGGTTCGTGCTCTCAGGTAGCCTTCTCTTGTGTGAAGCTCTTCCCATTCCTTGTTTCTGTGACTTTAAAAAGCCTTATTTTTGAAGAGAATCCAGGCTTTCTTTTCGTTGTGCAGGAATTTGACCTGTGAAGCGTTAGGTGTCTTCTGGGCCATGTTAAGGAACTGGACTTTGAACTGTGTTGAACTGCAGCTTGCAAGCAGCAAGCCCTTGACATGCACTCTGTTCCTGCTGAGGCGGAGGCCTCGGATGACAGGTTTTCCTATAAGCAACTTTGTACTGTTTTGTCTGCCTTTTGTATTTTTGAAGTGGCTCATAATTAAAATAGTTATATCTATTTTACCTTCTCTTAACTTGTCAAGTGTGGAAAAATGCACCATCACGAGACCCTAGGGGGTCAGCGATTGTAAAATGAGGGATGCAGAATGGCCCAAGTGTGGATGCTGGAGGGTGTCTTTTTCTGTGTCCAAACCCTACATTCCTGATAAAAGGACAATGTTTGCTTCAGAGCTCCTGCGAGGCTAAAAAGGAAGCGTGGGACTGAAATTATTCTGGAAGTCTCTGTCTGGGAAGCCCCGGGCTACAGACAGGAGCTTGGCCTGTCCCGGCATTATTCCATGTGTTCCATAGCTAGTCTTGGCAAGGGCAGTAAGTCTCGGTTCCCTTTATGATTTTTTGTGTCAGAATCGCTACATCGACAAGCGCAGTGCCTTGAAGTACCTGACCCTGCAGGCTAAAGCTGTGGGCCATGGTTTTCCTCGCAAGGGAGCCGCATACTTAGATGCCAGGTCTCCGAGCAGACCCCACAGTTCGGGCCTCGAGACCCCCTGGGAAGAGGAGCGAGGCGGCCGGGAAGCCCGCCAGAGGCAGGGAGGCGAGAGCCCAGGTGTGGCGCAAGCAGCCTCCGTTCCACTTCCCTCGCTGCCCTCCAGATCGCCCGACGGCCTGCGTTCTCGCGTCCTCCTCGTCCCATCCTCGTTGCTCGTGGGGGATTAGGGAAAGCTGCGCGCCTCTGGCGGCCCTCGGCCGGCGGTCAGGCCAGGCCCGCTCAGCGGGAGGCGGTGCCATCGAGCAGAAGCGGGGGGGCCGCTGCAGGGGGCGCCCCAGGCGCGCGGCGACTCCCCCGCCTCGCAGGGCTTCCGCTGGGACCCGCCGCCGCCGCCGCGCCTTCTCCGCCCGGGCCCGGCGCTCGCCTTCCCCTCAGCGGGCGGAGCCGGGACGGGCGGGCGGGCGGCTCTAGGACCCGGGCGCCGCCTAGCAGAGTCCGCTCGGCGCGCCCGGAACCGCCCCTGAGGGGAGGGCCGCCTCCGCCGCCCGCCCGCCCGCCCGCCCGGGACGGCAGCCACGGAGCGACCCTCGCCGCGGGCGCCCGCGGCAGGCGAGGCAGCGCGGCGGAGCGCTCGGGCGGGCGCGCCCCCCATGAGCGCCGCGGAGCCTGCCCTGCCCAAGTTGGAGGCCGTGATCCAGGTCGGCGCGGCGCGCGGTGCTTCGCGAAACGCCCCCGGCCCGCCGTCAGGCCGAGGCGCCGCGGGCCTCCGGGGGCTCCGCGCGCCTGTCCCCCGAGCGCCCCTGGCAGGCTGCGGAAGCATCTCCCCTCTCCCCCCGCGCGGGTCGGGAGCGCCGCGGGAAGCCGCCGCCGTGCCGGGAGCCTCCGGGCCCTCCTGCGCCCCGCCGCCTGAAGGGGCGCGCGCCGCTGCCGCGGGATGTGCTCTGCAGTCGGTGTGCGCGGGGCTGTCGGCCGAGCGCCGGCGGGACGGAGGCGCCCCGCCCCGCCTTCCCTGCGGCCGGTGCCGCCCGCGCGGAGGGAGCGAAGCCGGGCAGGACTGCAGCCGTAATCCCTGCCCGCCGCAGCCTGGCCGCCTCCTTTGCCCCGAGCCAGGCTAAGGACGCGCTGATCTGCAGGACGCGCGGAGCCCGCGGTGCGAGCGCGCGATGGAGCCCCGGCACCTGCGCCGCTGCCCGGGCGGCTCTTCCCCGAGCCGGTCGGGGCCGCCTCCGCGGGGAGCGGGGGGCCCGGCGGTGGGCGCGCCGCGCAGGGCTGCTTCCTTTGTTCCCGGTCGCGGTCTTTCGCCTCCCCGCGAGCCCCCGCTCGACCGCGGCCCGCAGAGCAAGGCAGCGGGGCAGGGAGTTGTTCCGGCCCCCTTGGCTGCCGGGCGGGGCGTGCCGGGCCGGGCGGACAGGAGGAGGGAACTGGCGTTCGCGGCCGGCCGTGGGAAAGGGGCTGGCTGCCCGCTGGGTTGGCTTTCGCAAGGGGCCGGGCAGACCCTCGAGGGAGAGGCTGTCGGGGCTACTAGCCTGGCTGGCCGGAGCGGCCTGCCTGCGCACCCCAGCTGCCCCGGGGCTTGGGCGAGGGGCATCTTGCCCCAGCCTGCTGAAGGGGTCCTGCGGGCAGCTGCTTGGCTTGCTTTCAGCCCTTCTCCCAGGGCAGCCCTAGTTGCACGGACGGCTGTGGGAGGACCTGGTGTGTGGCTTGCTCCACACCAGCCCTCCCCATCCTGGCAGCCACCAGATGTTGTGAACTCCAGTTCCTGTCAGCCCCAGCTAGAATGGCCGATGCTTAGGAAAGTTGGAATCCAAATGTCTCGAAAGCACAGCACTGGGGAAGGCTGGGTTGCCTTCAGGTATCTCCCGATTTTGTTAAACGGATGGGAGCATGGGGCGATTTGCTTTTTTATGTAGGCAAGTACAACTGTGTGGCTTGTTTGCATTTTCCTTAGTAAGTATTTCGGTATATCCATGTGGACTTATTTCCGCTGTCTGAGGAACTTCGCTTTTATTCCCATTTTAGAGACTGGGACACTGAGGCAGAACAATGTGTGCCCAAAGTGCTGGGTGGAGGCAGAGGACAGTCTCCTCTCTCCCAGGCCAGAAGGCCAGAGGTCGGGAGGGATTAGTGCATACCATCCTGTTGCAGAGGGTAATTCTAGCTGGGGTTCCTTTCGAAGCTCACTGTCCATTCCGAGCAGAAGTTGTGTACCTAAGCATACCCAGGCCTAGCTTTGCCCTTCAAGCTGCCCCGTTTGTGTCTGGCAGAAACTGGAGAGCAGTGTTCTGATCTCAGCTGAAGGGAAAGGCCTCTCTGTCAGGGGGGCCTGTGAAGACTCGCCTCCCGTCTGCTTGCCTGCCCAGATCCGAGAGATCATCACCAGGAACCTTTCAGAAACTCATCAGCAAGGTGAGTCTGGGGAAGTGTTGACTCTCCTGGCTTCTTTTTGAACCGCGGGTTTGGAAGAGGGTGCTGCTCTGTTTCCCACGTGTCCCTTGTGATGGCCGCATCCTGCCAGGGTCCTTGCCCTCAAGGCAGCAGTCCTTGGAAGAGGCAGGTGGAGGATACCGAAGGGACTTGTGGCACTCTGGAGCATTGCTGAGATTCCTCCACTGAGTCCCACTCAGCACATTTCCGGGCCTTGAGTGGCATCAGCTTGCAGGCTCCCTGTGTCTCTGTGGCTAGTCCGCCTAGCACATCTGGCCTGCTGTGATGCTGCTGGGGCAGGTGGATGAGAACACAGAAACAGGAGGAGGAGGAGGAGAAGACAGAGGAGAGGAAGCAGCCTTGGAGTTCCCCTCTGAGCCATGCCGTGGTCTTTTGGGTGCAGTGGATTTCAAATGCAATTTGCAGACCCCAAAGTTCTGCAGAAGAGGTGGGCTGCTGCGTCCGAGCATATGCATGTGTCTTGCATGCATCCCCATGAAGGCGCTAGTTCTTTCTGGCCGCTGCCCCAGTATTTGGTGGGATGCACAGCCACACTGGGGAGCTATTGGGAGATCTCTGCCCTTCCATGGATTTATCCAGTGTCCCTTAGAGCTGTCTCCACCCTTGGCCTTGAAGGGTATTCTGGATGTCGGGTTGCATGCTGGGGAGAGGGGCCCAGGCTCAGCTGAGTTAGAAGGTGACGTTCCAGGGCTGCTCCAAGGACTCGCACCCCCGCAGGGGTGAAAGGCAGCAAGTGCAGGGCCTCTTTGCTTTGGATTACAACTCCCATCACTCCCAGCCAGCATGGCTAAGTTGGGAAGACCAAGTTAGAAAATGTTTGCAAATACTCTGTTGCTTTATTTCAGTGCCGTGCCTTCCTTCATTTTCTTTGCTAAGACATGGGTGTCTGCTAACTCCTGGCAGGGAATGTTCTCTTGCCGACATTAACGCTGGGCCCGAAAGGCTGTTCATGGGTTTGTCCGCGTAAATGGTGACCATTCCAGAGCGACCCTGACTCTGGAGGGAACATCGTTACTATTATTAATATTATTGACATGATGGTGGTTAATAATTATATCAGTATAGATATCATTGTTAGATGTTATAATATGCCTCTGATGCTATACAGCAGGTCCCCTGTATCCGCAGAGAGAGGTTCCAAGCCCCTGAGGGGATGCCTGATGCTGTGAATAGCGATGAGCACCGTATAATGAATAAACACATACATTGCTTTTTGCACAATTTCAGGCACAAGAACGTGTCGTCTTACCATACATCCTAGCAATCTCGGCATACACTTTCTTTCCCTATTAAATCAAGAATCATTGCTCGAAGGAAGCATTTGATGACTTCTCTTGGGTTGAGGTCGGCCACGGTTCAGTGGCCATCGACCCAGCGGACACAGGGGTCCTGCAGCCATTGCGCCGGCCAGAGCAGCCTGTGTGTGCCTCAGCATGCTCCACTTCCCCGGGTGTGGGGCATGCCAAGCCCCTGGGCCTTTGGACTGTGCTTGCGCTCCTGCGGCAAAGCTGGGTTTGGGGGTGACACAGGGGGTCCCCCAGCCTGCCTGAGCCTTTGCATCGCCCTTCTCTCCCTGCAGCTGCCATCCACGGTGAGATGTCGTCCTTGCTTTCCCTCCAGGAGGAGAACCACATCCTGCAGCAGGAGCTCTCCCGGGTGGAGGACTTGCTGGCTCAGAGCCGTGCGGAGCGCGATGAGCTGGCAATCAAGTACAACGCCATCAGCGAGCGGGTAGGTGCTGGGAATGTGCTGCCCAGGCCGGCTGCTTGTGTCCGCAGAGTGGGAGAGGCGCATCCGGCACCACGGGGGCCGTGCCGAGGAGCTCCGTGTGGAGGCGCCTCAGCAGTGCGGCCGCCTGGTGGGCGGCATCCGGAGAGGGAGGCTCTGCTCGGCGAAGGCTTAGGGCAGTGGTGGCGAACCTATGGCGTGTGTGCCGCAGCGGGCACCAGAGCCCTCTCTGTCGGCATGCGAGCCGTGTCGCGCCAGTATCACCCAGCAGCCGAGCATCGGATACCAGCACACATAGGGGCCATGCGCATGCTCAGAAAGGAGTAGCAGCGCCAGGCGATGACATCACGAGCCGCGTTTCATTGGCCACGATCTGTCCAAGCTTTCGCATGGCCGGTCAGTGGCTGCCAAGGATATAGATATATTTGCTTGGACTGGCTGTGAGTTGTTTTTTCTAAACTAAAACCTCATTTTCAGGTTTTATTGTAATGTTGGCACTTTGCGATAAATAAGTGGGTTTTGGGCTGCAGTTTGGGCACTCGGTCTCTCAAAGGTTCACTATCTCTGGTTTAGGTGTGTCTGTGTTCCCCAAAACCAGCGATGAAATATTGGCGTGCCACAATGGCTTATAGAATTGCTCAGGAAGCAAAAGAGATGCTCGCCCGAGGGATCCCTGCAGCCAGCCTGTTTCCTGGCCAGGGATGGGAGGTGCCGGCTCTTTCCCCAACGGCAGGCAGTGCGGGGCGCTGTGCTTGCCCCCGCTGCCAGACTAGACTCTGTAGGGCAGGCTAGCTCCCCCTTCATCTGCACCCTCCTGGGGGCCCTACAAGTGCCTCGGGGTATCTGTCCCCGCCGTCTGAAGATGAGGAGCTCGCGAGATGGACAGTTCTGTTCTGCTGATGTCTAGACTCTCCGCGTGCTGGGCCTGCTGGGAGACCTGAATAGGCTCCTTTGCCGTGACATTTCCCACCCCTCCGCCACATCCAAGGTCTTAGGCTTGCCTGGACAACCAGCTGGCTAGACAGGGCCAGGGCTTGTTGGGACATGCCTTCTGGCTGGGAAGACGGTGCCTGTCTTGGGACAGATTCAGCGGGAGAAGAAAAGGGCTTTAAGCCTTAGGGTTTGCAAATGCCAATATTTTTAAAGCAGTTCAAAACTCTGCTGTCCAGTTAACCGCAGGTGTATTTTGAAGGTTCACAAAGGAGGAGGCTATCGGGGGCTGCTGGCCTTGCTGGCCGTGGGGTGCCCCCTTTGCTGGGGGCGGCCTGCCTGCGCACAGCAGCTGCTGAGGGGCTTGGGTGGGGGGGGGTCTTACCCCCAGCTTGCTTGCCGCCGTGTGCACAGAGCGTGGGACTGGGCGGCCCTGGCTCCGGCCGGGAGGGCTTTTGTTATGTTCTTGCATGCCCTGGTTGACCTGCAGGGGGCCGGGGGGGGGCAGGATGCTGGCTTGCAGAGCTGCTCTGGGGCTGGCCGATGTGCCCCGGTGGCCATGGGGACCCGCCAGGGAAGCTGAATGGGCTGCGGGTTGCCATGGCAGCCATTGCTTAGGAGAGGGTACACTTTGCTCGCGCAGTCTGCTTCCCGGGCCCAGTGCTGGCCTCCATGTGGGGCTCTAGCCTCGCGCCAGTCCTTTTGGCAGACGCTTGAATGCACACGCAGCATGAACGGCAGCCCCGCGCTGGGAGGGGACGGGCTGGTCTCCACGCTGCTCGGGGAAGGCCTTGAGCTGCAGGGATGCTCACCAAGATGCTGGCACGCCCTCCCACCCGGCCTCTTTGTGGAGCTTCTTGCCAATTCCAAGTAGCGGCTGGAGCGGAAGAGTCACCGGCTGGTCTGGGCAGGCCCGGCAGCAGGCTCACTTTGGGGGCACCTTTAGTGCAATTTATGAGGGGTTTTCAGACTGCTTTTATTATTATTTTTTGTTTTGTTGCATTCATACTGTAGCCTCAGCTATTGGGTGGTATAGAAAATCAGTCAGACTCATTGCTAGCGGAGCATTGGCATCCACACTGCTGGGCTGGGGAGCGGGCGGCCCTCTGGGTAGGGGCTTCGGCCCCCCGTGGCTCTGTGTGCAGCGTCGAGTCCGTTTGTGCATAAAGCAGGTGTTTGCCTGGCCAGGCAATGGGCACAAGCATGCGGCAGATCAGTTCTGAAGGCCGGGACAGCGCGTCCCTGGCCGTGGCAGCGGCCTGACTCCTTTGGCCCTCCCGGGCTCTCCCTGTCCGCAGCTGGAGCAGGCCCTGCGCCTGGAGACGGGCGAGGGGGAGCCGGCGCCGGCGCCAGAGGGCGAGGGCTTGGCCCAGCAGATCCTCGAGCTGCGCCGACGACTGGACGAGGAGCACGCCGCCTACAAACGCAAGCTGCAGGCCTACCAGGAGGGGCAGCAGCGGCAGGCCCAGCTTGTGCAGAAGCTGCAAGCCAAGGTGAGCCTGCGTTCGGCACGGCTGGGGCGTGCGAGAGGAGAGCTCGGCACCCTCCCGCCGGAGCTTGGGTGGGCCGGAGAAGCCGCTCTGGGTCGGCCATCTCTTCACGGGCTGGCTTGCTAGCCCTCGGCCAGCCTGGCTCTTGCATCAGCTCGGGGGCTTCCTGTTTACATATCGGTGCAGATTTGGGGGAGGTAAAAGCAGGGCAGGGCGAGTTGTTCCCACGTGCTTTGCCTGGGAACAGGGCAGGGAACCTGGGCAGGAGGTGTCCCGGCTCAGCAGACAGAAGACCCGGGGTCCTCCCGAGCGCTGACTCGGAGCCGCTGGGTGAGCAGAGGTGGAAGCAGCCCTCCTTCAGACCAGGCTCCTCTGGCTCTTGCAGGTTCTCCAGTATAAGAAGAAGTGTGGTGAGCAGGAGCAGCAGCTGCTGGAGAGGTCCACTGAGCTGGAGCAGCAGCGGCTGGTGGTGAGCCTCTCACCCGTGCGGGGGCCGCGCGGGGGCCACTCCCTGCCCAAGGGCTGCTCCGACCCTTCTCCCACTCCAGCGAGGGATGCCCCGGTAGTTCCCAGCTCCTGTTGCTCCGAGCCTGGCTTTCCCATTCTGCCCAGTTGTGGGGGTTGCCCTTTTCCCAGCGCTCATCCATCCCAGGACAGGTCCAATAACCTCCTCTGCCCGAGAAAGACGGCACGGAAGAGCAAATCGGTGAAGAGCCGCAAGGCCCGTGTGGCACCCTCGGGGGCCGGAGGAGCCCCGACCCTCAGCCAGGTGAGGCACGGTGCCACGCTGCGCCCGAGGTCAGCCTTTGGCGAGCCGAGCAGCGCTCTCCTCTCCGCCCTTCCCTAGAGCCACCTGGACATGACGGAGTCCTGCCTGCATCGTGACAAGGAGCACAGCAATGACCTGGAAAACGCCTTGATTCGCCTGGAGGAGGAGCAGCAAAGGCATGTGCCGGGAGACGGGCTGGGGGCAGGGTGCAGCCCAAGGCGGTGGGGGTGCAGGGCCCCTCGGTTCCCCTCAGCCCCCTCTCCTCCACGTGATTCCTTTCCCTGCAGAACACGTGCCTAGGAAAAAGGCTAGGGTCCCCGAGGGTGGACCGGGGGTGCTCAGCAGCCGCCATGTTCCCCCAATCACGCCATCCCCAGACCCCTCTGAGGAGCCTCTTGGGCAAGTGGCAAGTGGAGCCAGGCTCCTCCGCAGCCTGGTGCTCACTGGCCCCTCTGGCCATGCCTCGGGGGGGGATCCCCTGGGGCCAGGGTGCAAGCAGGTTGCTCAGCACCTGGGGGCCGTGGTGTGTGCAGCTCCCCTTTTCCACGTAGGCAAGGCAGCTCTGGCCTTCTCCAAAGAACAGGCTGTCCCTGGATGGCGGGGTGCAGGACAGGCCTTGCTGAGCCCTGCTCCGAACGTCCCTTGGCCTGAACTGGCCTTTCCCACACTGGTGCTTTCCAGGCATGTAGAGTTTCAATTCCCATCACACGCACTGGGTTGGAAATGCTGGGAATTGTAGTCCAAAAGTCCTGGGGAGCAGCAGGTTGGGAAAGGCAGTGGTGCATAGGTCCCTCTGCCAGCGGTGGGTCCCGGGCAGGACCCCAAAGCCCCGGCATCTCTGTTCTGCCTCCCGCGGAGCCCTCCTTCCAGGGCCGGCTTGGATCCTGCTTCTCAGGGCTGCTGTGCCGCCCTCCCAGGGGGGCGCTCGGCTGGTTTATGCCCACATGGCCCAGCTCTCACTCCCCGGGGCCACTGCTGCCTGCCGGCCTGAGGCAGCCGCCCTCACCCACAGGAGCACCAGCCTCGCGCAGGTCAACGCCATGCTGAGGGAGCAGCTGGACCAGGCGAACACGGCCAACCAGGCACTCAGCGAGGACATCCGGAAGCTCACCACGGACTGGGCGAAGGCCCGGGAGGAGCTGGAGCAGCGGGAGGCAGCGTGGAGGCGCGAGGAGGAGGTCAGGGTCCGGCTGGTCCAGTGCGCGGCTCGAGGGGCGGTTTGAGAGTGGGAGGAAGGGGAGGGGGCGCTTTCCTTTCGGGTCCCCCGTTCCTCCTGGGAAAGTGGGTTTGGCAGGCGCTTGAAATAATGCTAGGAGCTGCTGCTGGTGGATCGGGGGAGCATGTGCCAGGCCTGCCCACTGAGGCCGCCACCTCCCACTCAGATACATTTGGCTTACGGAGAAGCCCGTGGTCTCCAGTGAGCCGTGTGGTTTTTGCCGCGCTGCAGCAGTTGCCCCTGGGTGTGGGCTGGGGTCCATCGGTGCCGTGCTCTCTCGTTCTCCCCAGTCCTTCAACGCCTACTTCAGCAACGAGCACAGCCGGCTGCTCACGCTCTGGCGGCAGGTTGTCGGCTTCCGGAGGCACTTTGGCGAGATCAGGACCCTGACGGAGAGGTCAGTGCGCGGCCGGCGCTCGGCCTGTCCTGGGCAGCAGGGCAAGACCCCCTGTGCAGCCACCTCTCTGCACCGCTCCCCTTTGGCTGGTGTGGCGAAATGTGTGCCATGCGTTGGCAGGGGTGTCCCCGAGAAATACTTGAGTTCTGTCTTTCGGGCAGATGAGGAGAGGAGTTCAGATGGATGTGCCAATTCACACATCATGCCTGCCTGCTGGGTACTCATATCATCACATCAAGCCCTCAAACCGGGCACGCTTCGTAGTCCCCCTGCCTTCCGCTGCCCTTGAGGCTTGAACTTCTGTGTTTGTATCCCCCCGTAAGGGGTAACGGAAGAATTTGCAGGGCCGCGGGTCTTGCAGAATGCCCCCCCCCGCCCCCGCTGGCTGGAGGGCTGGGGTGCCCATTGGGAAGCGGCGTGGAGCCGCAGTGAGTGCTCATCCCCAGCCCACTGGCGCCCTTCGCCCCGCAGGGACCTCTCCGAGCTGAGCCATGAGCTGGGCCAGTCGGGCCGTGCGGTGCACGCTGCCTGCTTGAAGCTGGGCAGCAACCTGCTGCTGTCGGAGAGCAGCGCCAGCGCAGCCCTGGAGAAGCAGGCGCTGCTGACCGGCCAGCTGGAGGAGCAGCTGAAGGACAAGGTCCGCGCCATGATCCAGCTGCAGGTCCGCTGCGACGTGGAGAAGGCGGAGCTGAGCAGCAGGTGTGGTGGGCTTCTGGTGGCCCGGTGTGGGCCTCGGGTGGCGGAGGGTCCGGGGAGCGCTGGCGGGGAGGCCTGGCCCTCGCGCAGCATGGGGGTGCCCCGAGGCAAGGCCCCCGGCCTGCTCAGCTGCCCGCTTCCTCTGCGCCAGGGTTGGTGAGCTGTCTTCCAGCCTGGAGCGCGTGAAGGGCCAGAGCGCCGAGAAGGGCAAGACCATCGAGACGCTGATGCAGAAACTGCAGAGCCTGGTGAGGCGGCGGTGCCGGGCCGAGGAGCTGGCAGGGGGAGTGGGTGCCACCCCCCCCAGATCATCCTGAGGGACTCGGAGCGGCCCCCGCTAGCCTGACCCCGCGTGTGGTTGCAGGAGGCGTCCTGCGCCCAGGAGCAGGCCGAGGCAGAGGAGGCGGAGGCCCTGCGGTCCGAGTCGGAGGTGCTGCAGCAGACACTGCGGGACATCGCTCAGGTGCAGTGTGGCTGGTGGAGGGAGCGGCTCTCCCGGCCTGCCCCGAAGCGGGCCTGCTGGGGGGCACTGGGGGGCTGGCGGCCCCATGACGTGTCTCAGGGGCGCCCTCCGGCCTCATCCCGCAGGCGGTGCTCTCTGACGCGGACAGCGCCATCCACCTGCCGGCTGCCAACGGCTCGGACAGCGAGACAGCTGGCGGGCTCAGCCTGCGCGGCTTGTCCTCGGGCCTCCGGACGCCCTCCCCGCTGCGGCGCGCTTCCCCCCGGCGCAGCTCCTCCCCCCGGCGCAGCCTCTCGCCCGCCTCCTCGGACTCCACGCTGGCGGTGGTGCAGGCGGCTCTGCAGAAGCGGCAGCTGCAGCTGCAGGTGAGGGGGCTCCCGGTGGGGGTGGCTGTCGCGAGGTCCCCTTTGGCTGCCCCAGATCACGAACCGGACTGGCCTGCAGGCAGTGCAGGGGTCTGGCCTCCCCTTAGAAGGCCCCAGGGGCCGGTGCCTCCCTCTGCCCCACCTCGAGCTCCACAGGGCAGGAGCCCCCATCATGACTCCTGCCAGGGCTGCATCTGCCGCCCACATGCCCCCACCGGCTGTGATCCAAGCTGCTCCCTCCAAGCCACTTTGCTCTCACCAGCTGGATGAGGACCCTGCGCCTCTAGCCCAGGGTGCTTTCTGCCGGCCTGCCCCTGCCCACGCCTCGATGATTTCTTGCGAGCAGGACCTCCGGGGGAAATACGAGGCCGCTCAGGAGCGTGTGACATCCCTGAAGAGGCAGCTGGCGGAGAGCGACAGCCAGCGGCACTCCCTGGAGCAGACAGTCCTGCAGCTGAAGGACGACGCGGACGGGCTGGTGCAGGCCAAGGGGGATGCTGAGCAGGACGCCGGCCGCTTCCGGGCCTCTGTGGAGCTGCTGGGCAGGTGAGCGGGCCGGGCCCTCAGCCACCCCCAGCGGCAGGGGGACCTCCCTGAACGTGCTCCCAGGGGCTCTTCTCCAGACCACGTGCTGCATCTGGTGGAACCACGAGTTCCTTCCCTTCTCCTATGTTTAAACTATTTTTGGAAAATAAGAATAAATGGAAAGAAAAGCAAAGGCATCCAAAGGAAAGGTGACCAATGGGTCACGAACTGTGAAATGGCTTTTCAAACTAGGTGCATGGAGGTACCGTCCTCCACGTGGAGGTGGCGATGCGTCCCCCCAGCAGGCTGCTGCGCTCTTTGCTCCCCACAGGCGCGAGGGGCAGCGTCGATCTGGCTCCCGTTGGATCTCGGGCACCTCTTCAGGGTCTCTTGGGAGACGTGGGCCAGAGCATGGGGCTTACTGTGGGAGAAACCCGCCAGGGCCTCTGCAGCTGCTCAGGGAAGGGGAGAAGTGTGCAGAAATCTGTTTCGCTGTGGGGAGGCCTCCTGCGAACCCAGGCCTGCCCCACCTTTGGGGAAGGCAGGACTCTGGCATGGGAGGCCTCGGTCCCTTGGCCAGCTCTGCCTGAGAGGAGCTCCCCCCGCCCGCCACGGGGCCTGCGCCACTGACCTTTCCCGAGGCTGCCCGGGAGGCTTGGAGGGTGGCAGCGGAGTGCACCCAGCTTCTGCTTGCTGCCTCTCTGCTGGATGAGTGCCTGCCTGTTTCTCCGCCGCCGCATCAGTGAGAAAGCTGCCCTGGAGAAGGCCCTGCACACTGCGCAGCAGAAGCTGGAGGGGCTGCAGCAGGAGAACGAGAAGCTGCAGCTGGCCAAGAGCCGCCTCCAGCGCCAGTGGGACGGCCTTGAGGAGGAGAAGGAGGATGCCTTGAAGGACCAGGAGCGCGTGCGGAAGGAGACGGAGCGCGGGTGGGTGAGCGCAGGCAGGGTCCCTCACTGCAAGGGGCTGCCTCACGGGCCGTCCCCAGTTTGGGTCCTGGCTGATGGATCCCAGGCACGTAGCCTGAGAAGGTTATTTATTTACTATATTTATATGCTACCCTGTTTCCCAGAGGGCTCTCTGGGCCACTGACAACAAGAGCATGAGCAGACAGCCGTAAAAACAGTAAAATCAGCAATGCAATAATAAATTCCATCAAGAACATAAGCTTTAATATCATGGCAGAAGGTCACAGCGAGTAAGTTATCAGCAGGAAAACCAGATTGGCCGCCGAAAGCACATCTGGAATAGAAAAGCCCTTAGCTGGCGCCGAAAGGCAAGCAGCAGCAGCGCCGAGTGCGGTTCCTGAGGGGCATCCCTCGGGGGGGCTGCAGGCGCAGAGGAGGCCCCTCTCCTGACCATGTCCCCCTTCCCTTCGTTAGCGGGTGGCTCCCAGGGATGGTGCTCGTTGACAGCGCTGCTCGCTCCCCCTCCATCCCGTCTCTCTTCCATCTTTCAGGCACAAGCAGCTGGAGCAGCTCGAAGCGAAGAAGTCCATCCTCAAGAAGGAGCTGGTGCTGGTGAGGGAGGCCTTGAGCAGAACAATGCTGGAGAAGGAAGTGCTGGAGGATGAGAAGGCGACACTGGCCGAAGCCCTCACCAAGGCAAGGAGGCCCCTGCTGGCTCTGCGGGCCCTTCCGGTGCCTGTCCGAGCGGCTGGCGGCCCCCAGATGTCTTCCTGCAGTTGCCATCACGTCCCAGCGCTGCCCTTGCTGGCTGGGGCTGAAGCACCTGGATGGCCGCCGGTTGCTCGTCTGTCAGGCGGGAACCCACCTGGGCTCCGGGCCCCTTCATGGCCGTGGCCAAGGGCCACTGCTGTGCCCAGGGGAGCCAGCTCTGCCTTCAGCCTGGGGCAGAAGGGGGCCTTGCGGACCCAACATTCCCGCGTTCTTTGCCAGGATCCCAGGGCTGTGGGTGGCCCCCACCCGCTAACCCCCACGCTCTGCGGGGCAATCCTCGCGCAGCCACGTCCCTCGTTCCTTGGCGTGTGTGTCCTGGGAGATTTGCTCCTCAAAAAGGATGAGCGAGCCAGCTGGAGGGATGGTGCCGGATCTCCTTATTATCTTGTTACCTGCCTACCTGTCTCTCTCTGTCGCCACTTACTCTGTATGTTGCGTTCTGTGCTGCCCCCAAAATGGCATACAGCCAACATTAAAGCAGGAGGGTAATTTCCCGACAGCCTCGTCTGCGACAGCCCCAATCCACCTGTCAGAAAAGGGTCTCGCTGAATCTGGTCGCGCAGCCGCTGGCTTTGTCCCACAGCGGCGCTCTGGCAGAGAGCGAGGGGCGCGCCAGGTCTGGTGCTGGGCCTCACCGCTGCACCCCCGCCCTTCCCCTTCTCCAGGCCGAGGGGAGCCGGGCGGAGCTGGAGCTGGCCCTGGCCCGTCTGAGGGCAGAGGAGGCCACCCTGCGCGACTCCCTCGCCAGAATGAGCGCCCTCAGCGAGGGGCTGGCACGAGACAAGGCAGAGCTGAGCAGGACCATCATCCAGGTGAGGTGGGGGGGGTCCGGGTGGACCAGAGGGTGCGGGATGGAGCGTCCCTGGATCTCCTTCCCGGGAAGTGAGTCCGTGTCCTTCCGGACGGCAAAGGCAACATCCCCGAAGGCTGGGGAGGCTTACCAAGGCCAGGGCGAGATAGCATCCGATGAGCAGATGCAGGCAAAGGACTTGATTCCCGCCCTGCCGCTGGCCAGGATGATGGGACAGGGCAGCAGGCCCAGCATGGCCTGGCATAGCACTTGCCCGGGGCAGAGGGAGGCAGCCGCATGAGGGGACGGGCCTTCTCTCGAGGCAGAGTGACCGTGCCGTTCCTGCCGAAGCTCAGCGTCACGAGCGTGCTCTGTGGAAGGCCCCTGAGGGGCAGTGGGGTGGGAAGCCAAGGTGGGACTGGCCCCTGCCCTCTCCCCCCTCACCGGCAGCCTCTCCATCTTTTCCCCTTCTCCCCTACACAGCTGGAAGGGGAGAAGAGCGCCCTCCTGGAGAAGAAGCAGGAAGTGGAGCAGGAGAAGGCCACGATCCGGGATGAGCTGGTGCGGCTGGAGCAGGAGAGGCTGGAGCTGGATGCCGAGTGCCGCCGGCTGAGCGGCGCCCTTCAGGCCATGGAGCAGGGCCAGGAGGCGCAGGAGCAGGCGCTGCGGGCGCTGCAGAAGGAGAAGGGGCAGCTCCAGGAGCAGCTGGGCTGGGTGAGCGGCGGCCCGGAAGGGGCAGGGTGTCAGGCCACCGGGCCGGCTTCCACGGGGGGCGGGGGCTGCCGGCTGGCAGGGAGGCATGAGGCGCGTTCCTCTCCCTGCAGCTCTCCCGGCAGCGGAGTGCCAGCGGCGAGGAGCTGGGGCAGGCGCGGCGGGAGCTGGAGCGGCACAGCGAGGCCCTGCTGCAGGGAGCCAAGGAGAAGGAGGCGCTGATGAAGGAGAAGGCCGGCCTGCTGGTGCAGGTGGCGGCCGCAGAGCGGGAGAATCGGGGGCTGGCCGAGGAGGCCGCCGGCCTCAGGTGAGTCTGAGGCTCGCCAGCGTGCTCCTGTCAGGTCACCCATTCAAGGCGCAGCAAAGCAGATTCTAGCCTTTCCAGCCCTGGGGATTCCCTGGCAGTTACCCAGGGAAGCGCTAGGAATGCCTGCCATTGAGACGCAGGAGCTGTTGCCAGGCGTGCTGCACCCGGGGTCCTTCAGCAGGCTGCACCCGCACGGGACGCTCAGCGCTTCCCTGGCAGGCCTCACGCCCATCCTTGGACCGGTGTCTGCCACAGTGGAAGAAGGTTGCCGTGCCGACGCAAGGCAGACAAACGCGATCGGATGATGCGGCGCTGGGGGAGCCTGCAGCCAAATGCCTGTGGCCCACCTCTCTCTGCCCAGATCCGAGAAGGACGCCTTGGAGGCCACCCTCTTTGAGGTCCAGCAGCGCCTGGCCCAGCTGGAATCGCGGAAGGAGCAACTGGAGACCGAGAGCCGGGGCTGGCTGCTGGCCAAGGAAACCCTGCAAGGTCTGGGGCTCCCTCCCTCATGGAGGAGGCTCTCGCCACGGCTGCGGGACCCCTCTGGCCCGCGGCCCACTGCGCTCCTTGCACTCCTTCCAGGCCGGTGGAGTGTCTGCGCACGCACACGCATGTCCCTCGTGGCCCTGGCCCCCTCCTCACTGGGGAGTTCTTGGGGTTGAGCTGCATCTCCTCTCTCCAGCCCCCTTTGTCTTGCCCAGGAAGGGCAGTGCTGCTCACCAAGGTGGGGTGTTCACCAGGCGGGGGCCAGAGGGGAGGCGCGAAGTTTGGGGTGGGGTTGGCTCCTTGGGCAGGGAGCCGGGAGGGGTGGCTGACTCTGCCCCCCAGCCTCTGCCCCCCCCCACTTGTGTCTCAATGTCTGTCCGCCCTGCCGCAACAGTGGAGCTCGTGGGCGTCCGCCAGCAGATGGAGGCCGAGGTGAGGCGGCTGGAGCGGGACAAGGAGCTGCTGGCCCAGAGGCTCTCCCAGGCGGAGCAGGAGGCCCAGGCGGCCCTGCGGAGCGCCCAGGCGGCCCGCGAGGAGGACGCAGCCCGCCTGCGCCAGGAGAAGGTGCGCTCCAGGCCTTGTGCTGTGCCCCCGGGGGCTGCTCCCACCACAGGCCTGGGCTGAGCATGGCCATCCCCACAGGAGGCGCTGCGCCTGGAGCTGGATGCGGAGCGCGAGGAGCTGCGGCGGCGGCTGGCCCGGGAGCGTGAGGAGCTGGCGGCCCGCAGCGAGGCCGAGCGCGAGGAGCTGAGTGAGGAGCTGGCGGCGCTGCAGCAGGAGAGGGACGAGGGGCTCCTGCTGGCTGAGAGTGAGAAGCAGCAGGTGGGCCGTGGGCCGCCGGGGGCTGTGGGAAGAGGGAGGGAGGCAGGCCGGAGCCCAGGCCCCCCAGAGCACTCTCGCCCCACGACCTGGTTGCATCTTGCCGGGCCGGAGTGGGTCCCCGAGCGCCTGAGAAAAGGGGGCAACCCAGCCCACTCCTCCAAGGCAAAGCCCAAGACGGGGTGTCTGCGCATGCGTTTTCAGAGCTCCACGGCCCAAAGGCAGAGCTCCCGGGGCGCCCCTGCCTGTGCTGGGCCCCGTCCGCTTGGAGGCTTCTCTCGTTCCTCCTGGTGCAGAGCCAGGGGCCGAATGAGGGGCGATCAAAGCCTGGGAGATGTGGCTCCCTGTGTGGCTGGGCTTTTTGCACCGCACCCTGTGGAGTCCGGCCAGAGCCCTCTCGAGGTGACCCTCGGCTGCCCTGCCCACACAGGCGCTCTCCCGCAAGGAGTTGGAGAAGGCCGCTCTCCTGGAGAAGCTCTCCAGCACCCAGCAGAGCCTGGTGAGGCTCACCCGGGAGGCGGAGCGGCAGCGGCGCGAGGCCCAGAGCCGCCAGGAGCAAGAGCGGGTAGGGGGCGGCCCGCTGCGCTGCTCGGGGGTGGGGAGGGCTGGGCGAACTGACAGGAGCGGCGGGGGCAGCGCTTTCCTCCTCCCTTCCTTGTATGAAGGCTCCTCCACCCTTGCTGGGGGTCTCAGATGGGGTGCTGGAGGAGGCTGGCCCCTGCCAGGGCTGCGGCTCTTCCCTTGGCCGGGGTGAGTGGACGCCCTGCCTGCCATCCCCTGGCCCCGCTTAGTGGATGTGGGGCTCAGCTCAAGGAAGGGCACCACCACGCCTCGGCCCCACTGCGTCTTCCCCCCGCTATCTGTGCTCTCCCCTGCCTCCCCACGGAGTGGCCCGTGGCATGGAGAGCGTGGCCCACGGTCCGCCTTGCTGCAGGGCACCATCAATGCCTTGAACTCGGAGCTGCGGAGCCTGCGGGCCCAGTTTGAAGAATCCATCGCGGGCCATGAACGGGAGCTGAAGGCTGCCCACGAGCAGGCCAGAGATCTGGCGAAGCAGCGGGAATCCGCCCTCCGTGAGGTGACTGGGCCACCCCGGGGAAGCCTGGGCCGGCGGCCCCCCGACTCGGCCGCTGATCGCAGCACCTTCCCTCCCAGGTGGAAGAGCTGAAGACGCAGCTGCACCTGGTGGAAGACGCCCGGGATGCGATCCGCCGGGACTTGCTGGAGGCCCACCGCAAGCTGCGGGAGGTGCAGGAGGCCCATGACACCCGGCAGAAGGAGGCCGTCGACCTGCGCCGGGGGCTGAGCGAGGAGGGCAAGGAGAAGGAGGCGCTGCAGCGGTCCAACGCGGAGCTGCGAGCCGCCGTGAAGCGTGCCGAGGGGGACCGCATCAGGTGGGGCTCCTGGGCTCCCTCCTCTGGCTGCCGGGGGGCCCCTTTCCTTGCCCCCTTCTCTGTGCCTGGCAGCCGCTGCGGCTGGACTGCGGTGTGGGGCTCGGGCTGACGCCCTCTCCTCTGCAGCTTGAAGCGTGCCGGTGAGGAGAAGGACCAGCGGATCTCCATCCTGGAGGAGGCCTGGGCGGTCACGGGCAAGGAGGCGGCCGACGTGCGCAGCAGCCTGCAGGAGGTGGAGCGGTCGCGGCTGGAGGCCCGCCGGGAGCTGCAGGAGCTGCGCCGGCAGGTCTGGGGGGGGGGGGGGAGGGAGGCCCAGCTGCGCCCCCTTCCGCTCTTGCTATCCCAGGCGGGAAGGGGCCTTGTACAGGGGGAAGAAGGGGGGCCAGGGGAGGCATCACGGAGAACTGTGTGCCTGGCCATGTGGCCTCCTGGGGCCTGACCTCTCTCCGCAACCCTGCCTGGCTTGGGGGCTCCTCGTCGTTTTCTGGGGGTCTTCTGCATTCTTGCGCCATCCAGCAGATGTGCCTTCCCTTCCCACGCTGACCCACTGCCCCCCTCTGTTCTCATTCTCTGCACTTCTGTGGGTCGCTGCCTTGTTCCCATTTACTTCTTCGGGGTTTCCCACTCTCACCTCGATTGAAGAGGCAGTGCTGCTTTGGAAGCTTGTCCTGCTGTCCACTCTGGCTAAACAGGTTTGGCAGGCTTTTGGAAACCTGCAGACACTGCCGTGTGCTGGGTGGTCCCTCCTGCCTCCCTCTGGAAGGGTGCCTGTTGCTCTCCAGGTGACCTTCTGCTGGGGCGTGCTTTCTCTCCTTCCACCCTGCCAGGCCTCTGACTTTGCTTCCTGCCTTCAGATCAAGGTCCTGGACAGTGAGAACGCCAAAAGGGGCAAGGAGGTGGCTGAGCTGCAGGCCCGGGTGGCCCTGGAGGAGCAGCGCGAGGAGGAGAGCCGGCGCGAGTCCTTTGGGCTCAAGCAGAGGATTGTGGAGAGTGAGGCCAGCCGAGATTCTGCCCGGAAGGAAGTGAGAGCCAAGCCGGATCCCCAAATTGGGAGCAGGCGGGAGATGCCGCAGGCTGCCATCATGGCCCGGCCACTCATCCCGGAGGCTTCCAGTCCTGCCTTCCCCCCCACCCGTCCATCGCTTGCTGGGGGCTCCCGCTCTCCCTCTGCCCACGGGCCGCTGGCCTTGGAGCGGCTGGGCTGCCTCTTGGGGACAGCCCGCTTTGCGAGGCTCCCACCCCTCTGCGTTCGCTCCGGGAAGGCCTCCCTGCGCGCCTGCCGGGGCCAGGGCAGCTGGGCGACGTGACCCGTGTTCCCCACGGAGGCGTCCCTGGACGTGCCTGCCTTCTGCCCGCAGCTGCACAGCCTGCACCGGAGGCTCTCGGACCTGGAGGGGGAGTTCCGCCTGCGGGAGACGGAGCTGCTGCACAGCCTGGAGGAGGCCCGCGGCAGTGAGAAGAAGCTGGCCGATGATGCCCGCAACCTCGAGACGAAGCTGGGGCGGGCACAGGCCGAGGCGGCCGAGCTGGGCCTGCGGCTGAGTGCAGCCGAGGGGCGCGTGCTGGGGCTGGAGGCCGAGCTGGCCCGCGTGGAGGGCCTGAGGCGAGATGCGGCGCTCCGGCTGGGTGGCCTCCACTCCGCCCTGCGGCGCACGCTGGGCATCGGCCTCCGGGGCCCGGGCCTGGCCCTCGGAGCCCCCCGTGGCACCTCCCCCCAGAGGCTCTTCTCTCCCCCCAAAGGTGCGTGTGGGGTGGAAGGCCGGCGACCGGGGGCCGGGGAGGCCTCAGCCTTCCCATGGGCGCTGAGCCCTGTCCTCCCGTGCGCCCTGCAGGTGGCCCGGCTCCTGGCGGGCGGGCCAGTCCCACAGCGCAGACCGGGGCCAGCCTGGGCTCCCGCCCCCCCTCGCCAGAACGTGCCTCATCTCCCGGCCGGAGCGAGCAGCCGGCCCTTGACCTCGACCCCGAGCTCGTCCGAGCTGCTCTCTGGGACTTGCTGCACGAGTCGCGGGAGGCACAGCGGGAGCGGGTAAGCATGCAGGGGGCGCCGGGGGGCATCTGCCCGGCCTGGCCCAAGCCCCTGAGCGCACCTGCCCTTCTCCCTGGGCCTTCTCCGGTTCCAGGATGAAGCCCGTGCCCAGAGGGGGGCCCTGCAGCGGCAGCTGGCGGAGGCGGAGGTCGAGCGGGACGAGGCCCGTGCCCGGGTGCAGCAACTGCAGAAGCAGGCGGCTGAATGCGACGAGGGTGGGTCGACTCGGGGTGCTGCCTGGAGGTGGACCCCACCCCACCCCACCCCACAGTGATCCTCACAGACGGGCCTTTTGGGGTGCGGTGGGGCTGTCCGTGCTGGGAGGAGGCGAAGCAGCCCGTGGTCCCATTCGCTGGGGAGGGCAGCCTGTGCTGCGGAGGGAGACTCCCTGGGCTAGCTCCTCCTCTGCCTTGGTGCAGCTCGCCCATCCTGCACTCCCCCCGCAGGCAGGCGCGGCTTGGACGAGAAGCTGAGCAGCGCCCAGGCGGCCTTGGCGCTGCGGGAGGAGAGCCTGCGCCAGGGCGAGCGGGAGCGCCGGGCCCTGGCAGACCGGGTGACGGCGATGGAGCGGAGCATCCAGGCGGCCGACAGCGAGCGGACCGCCCTGCAGGTGCGTGGGAGCCCGGGTGGGGGCACGAGCACGAGCTGCGCAGAGGCGCTGGGTGGGGGATGAGGGCCCCTTTTCCGCTCCGGCTGCGCGTGTGAAACTCAGGAGCGCTTCAGAGCGTTTCCAAAACGGAGTGCTTCTCACCTGCCTGAGATGAGGCAGGGTAGCCGGCTTTGTGGCAAGAGAAAGGGGCAGTTGCGCTCTCCCCCCCGACCCCGTGGCCTCCGGCCCCCACACCTGCCCCTCTCCTTCCCTGGCTTCCCCAGGAGAGGCTCAGCGCGATGAAGGCCCACGAGAGTAAGCTGGAGATGGACAAGCGGCGTCTCAAGGACGTCCTGGACGCCTGTGAAAGCCGCGGCACCAAGCTGGAGCTGCTCCGGCGCTCTCTGGAGGGGGAGCTGCAGCGGGCCAGGCTGGCGCTGAGCGAGCGCGAGGCCGAGGTGCAAGCGCTGCGCGACCAGGTTGACCTGCTGCAGAGGCAGGTAGGGCCGGCCGCTCTGGCGCCGCAGCGGAGAGCCGGTGTCCTGGGCGTGGGGCTCAGAGGGTGGATGGGGATGTGGGCGGGCCAGGTGGGGTCCCCAGCCAGCCACGGGGCTCCCTGGGCAGCCCGCCCTGCCTCGCAAGGTGCAGTTGTGAAGGCAAAACTGAGGGGAGGACACTGGGAGCCATCCTGAGATTCTGCAAGGGGAAAAGGCGGGGGATATAAATGCCAGGCATGACCTGGACACAGGCGGGGCCCATGGGCAGTGCCCACAGAGTGGAGTCGATGTGTGCTGGGGCAGCTACTGGAGCAGGGAGGGGTCTGGCCCGGCCCCCCAGCCCCCTGCCCCTCCTGCTCCCACTCCCCCTTCTGCCCTGCCAGGTGCAGGAGAGCGAGGCCAAGGCCGGCGGCCTGCAGTTGTCCCTGGACCGCCTCAGCCTCTCGATGGCCAAGGTGGCCGAGGCCGAGGCCTCCCTGAAGGAGAAGGTGCGAGGCCTGACCGCCTCCCTGTCGGAGAGCCACAGCGGCGCCGTCGCAGCCCAGGAGAAGGTGCTGGAGCTGCAGAAGGTGCTGGCCGCCAGCGAGCACGAGCGGAGGGTCCTGCAGGTGTGCACAGGCCCGGGGCTCCCCGCCCACCCCCACGCCACTGGGCCACCCGCTGACCGCACCTGCCCCATGCCGTTGCAGGAGCGTCTGGACGCGGCCCGACAAGCGGTCTCGGAGGCCAAGAAGCAGAACGGGGCGCTCTCGGACCGGCTGCAGGCCCTGCGGGGGGAGCAAGCGGAGCTGCAGCTCCGGAAGGACGAGCTGGAGGGGCTTGTGAGGCAGCAGGAGGAGGTGAGTGGCTGCCCCGAGGCCGCGGGGGGGGGGGCTGTCTTCCGCTGCCCTCGCTCTGCCCCAAGATCTCGGCAGGCCCGCTGGACACAAGTCCGCGGGGGCGCCCGGCCTGTGCTCCAGGTGGGGCTGGCCGACCGCCCTGGGTGCCGGCCGGAGAGCGGAGCGGTCCCCGCGCCCCTCACGCCCTCCGGGTGCTCTCGCCCCACGCCCTGCAGCTGCTGCACCAGCGCCAGGAAGGCGAAGCGCTCGCCCTGAGCGGCCTGCAGGCGGCACGGGAGGAGCGGCGCCTCTTGCAGGAGCGCCTGGGCCGCCTGCAGCAGGCCCTGGCCCAGCTGGAGCTGGAGAAGCGGGAGGCCGAGCGCTGCTCCGTGCGCCTGGAGAAGGACAAGGACGCCCTGAAGAAGACGCTCGACAAGGCGAGTGGGCGCACACCCGTCTGGGCCTGGCGGGGGGCGAGGGAGTCGGGCCCCCCAGGAGACACCCTCCTTCCATGGGGTCCTGCCCCGGGCCACGGTGCATGGCCGTGGCAGCCTTCGGGGTGGCGACACCCCGGCTCTGCAGGGGCTCCCTGGAGAGGTGTGCCCGGAGTGGCTTCGGGCCCCCAAAAAGCCCTCTTCGTGCACCAGCTCTCTTGGCCCAAGTTCCCTGCTTCTCACTGGATGTTCTGCTGCTAGTCCTGTCTTTGTTTCAGGCAGAGTTTAATGCTGTATCTGTCCTGAGGTGGCTGCAGCAGCGCAGTGGCAGAGAACATTTCCGGGGCAGTCAGGTGTTTTTGCATCATGTTCCCAAGTTGCCCTCAAACCAAGCAAGAGAGTTTGTAAAGAGAAGATAGACTAAGAGCTGGAAAATTCGGTGGAGCACATATAGGCTCAAGGCCATGCATGTGAACCCTTGTTAGCCCAGTAGTCATTTCTTCTGAAAGGATCAGGGAGCACCAGAGCAGGTGCAGAGTGCCTCTCCCTGACTCGACTGGGCTTCAGGGGTTGCGAGCCCCACAGCTTTCTTGGGGGCGGCTCCCTCCCGGTCCTGATGGCGCCTTCTGTGGCTCGGCAGGTGGAGCGCGAGAAGCTGAAGACTCACGAGGACTCAGTGCGGCTGTCAGTAGAAAAGGGCCGCCTGGACCGGTCACTCACTGGCGTGGAGCAGGAGCTGGTGGAGGCCCAACAGCAGATCCGGCTCCTTGAGGTAACAGCCACCGGGGAGGCTTCCTGCCAGGCTCCCGCTCTAGAGCCAGTTCCGTGCTCCGGCCGGTGCCCGGCAGACCTCTGCCTGGGCCGGGCGTTGCCCATGAACCAGCACGGAGCGCTTGAAACACCCCTTGGCGCTCTTTTGGAGTTCTCATAGGAACGCCTGTTGGCCGCCCTGGAGCCTCCTGGGAAGGTGGGCGCCCAGCCTTCACCGGTCCTCTTCTGGTTGGGGATTTGCCAGACCAGGCCTGGCCCTTCCCTGCTCAGGTGCTTGTCACCAGCACACAGGCCAGCCAGTGAGTCCCTTCCCTTTTTTGAAAAAGGGAAAGCATCCGGGACTCCAACTGATTGTGGTGCAGCTGCAGCCACTTCCGGAGGCTGTTGCATCCTCCCCTCGTTGGGTCCTGTGCCGTCTGTTGACGCCCGGAGCAGCGTCCGAGGATTGCCTGCTCGGGCAAAGCTTTGCTGAGCCCTGCCTGTCTTGGCTGGGGAGGGCGGCCCCCGTGTGATACATCCAGGGGCGAGAGGGTGGGTAGCACCCATGCTAGAGCGGGGGGTTTCAGCCACTGGCCCCCGTGCCGGGCTGCATTCTGCTCGCTGGAGACTGGTGTGGGGGCTGGCTGTGCTCAAGCACCTCTTCCTCGGTTGGCATCGTGTTCACGGGGAGGGGCACCAGTGCCACGGGGGGGGAGGGAGCGGCTGGGCAGGAGCCACGCTGCACCCGTGTCAGTATTTTCATCTTTTGCTGGCATTTTTTGTTGCTCGGTTTCTGGTTGTTTTGGAGAATTTTCAGGTTTTGGGAATTGTGTTTGGAACGAATGCACAGAATACAGTATTATGCATATGGTGCACTTTGGTGGCTCCGGGGCAGTGCTGGTCCCAGATATGGAAAGGATGAAAACCGCTGTGCTGGAGAGCATTTCTGTGATGATTTTTAAAATCGTATCAAGTGTGTTGAGAGTCACGGGGGCCCCAAACCAAGTGCGGAGCAGGCAGGGCACAGACGTTAAAAGGGGAAACCGTGTGCCCGGCCCCACTGCTGACCTCCTCAGAGCCCCTGGCAGGTGGTGGTGCTGAAATTCCCATCGCCCTGGCCCCACTAGGGTGGCCTCCGCTCCCAGGCCCCCTCGCGGCAGCTCTCGCTCGCTGCGGTCGGTCTCGCTCCCTTGACTGGACCTCCTTCCCCACAGAGCTGGGCGCGGTGGGGGCACATGTCCCTCTCTCTCCTCCTCGTGGAGGCAGATCCCCTTTTGCATGCTGGCGTGAGGGCCACGGACGGACGGACGGACGTGGCCGGGGGGCTGCGGCCTGGGCTTGGGACGAGCCGTCCTTGCAGGAAACGGAGCCTGTCCGACTACCGTGCAGTCTGACGGGCTGGGACTTGCCCGGGGTGGTAGCCAGGCGCAAGGCAAATTGCAGGCTCTGGCACTCCGGCTGAGCGGGTGGGTTGCGTCGGCCTGCAGAGCCGATGGGCGGGGAGGGGGGCAGCCCGGCCGGCCGGCCACCTTTTCCTGCCACCCGCTCTCTCGCCCGTCTGCCTTGTTCAGGCCCAGGTGCACCACCTGACCGAGGCGCCCAGCAAGCACCGGGAGGAGCTGCCTTTGGAGGCGGAGCGGCTGCGTGGCTCCCGGCTGCAGGCCCTGGACGCCCGGGAGTGGACCCACCGGCACCGGGTCAAAGGCCCGGAGGAGCAGGTGAGCCCCAGACCCCCTGCCCCGGACGCACACGCACCCCCTCCATTTGCATCCCAGCACCAAGGTGCTCCCTCTCTCTGCAGATGTCCATGCTGACGGAGCAGCTGCAGCCAGAAGCCCCGGCGGGCCTCCCCCTGTGCCCCGCCGTCTCCTTCCTCTCAGGAAACTAGGCCTGGCCCACAGCCGCAGCCTCCAGCTGGGACGGCAGGCAAAGACGGGGAGTGGCGCACAGACGCTGACCCGGGCCTTCTCCGAGAGGCTCACCGTGGCCCGGCCAGCCTAGCTCTGGGCCTGCCCCCCCAGCCTGGGAGCCATGGTGGCGGGAGAGGAGAGACCTGGAGCGCCGTGGGGGAGCCACCTGGACTTGTCTGCTAAATGACTGTCGAACACGTGGCACCTCCTCTTTGGGACCGGGAATGATAAACATGCCAACGGGAACGCAAGCCGGCCGCTGGAGACCCCCATCCCTTTCATGGCGCTACTCAGGAGGGCTGCTGTTTCCGAGAGCGGCTTTCTTGTGGCTGATGCTGTTCCCTGCCCGCCCTCATCTAGGGCTGTGAAGAAACGGGGGGAGAGGTGAGGCCCCCATGGGTGCTCAGTGGACCCAGCACTGGTATTCAGGAACCCCCTGCCCCCCATGGCCCCCACCGCCCACTGGCCCTTGCACTTGGGGCCAGCTGAGGAGGCGGCTGGCCTTGCCCAGGACCATGTGGCCCCTGCTCCATGCTTTGGGTATGTGGGGCCCTTTTTAGAAAACCAGATGCAGGCACTAACTCTGTACGTGTTGCTACCCTTTTGGTTCCTCATGTAACAAGAATAGTCCACTATTTTTATATCGATGGTACTGTAGTGATGGATAGATTTGGATTTACTCCACGCTTGCCCCACAAGCAGCGGGCGACTCGGAAAAAAACCTTTTCCAGTAGATGCCTGATTCCCTTACTGTGCTTCCAGTTTGCACCGGCCTGTTCCTCATTCAGGGGGGCAGGAGCATTGGTCAGAGAAGCCCCCTACTCCCCATGCAGAACTCGCAATTCCATCACAAACAGGGTCTTGTGGAGCCCATTGAAACACATTTGGTTTATTTTTAATGTTTGGTAGAAAAGAGAAAGGGAGTTATTCATACGAGAAGGAGAGCTGCAGCTACTGAGAGGTAAACCCAACAGCTGCAGGACGACAGCTTGTTTGCTGGTGGAGTAAAGCGTGTGAATTGAGAAGCTGCCGGTCCCTCGGCTACCCGCCCTGCCTAGGCCGTGCTCCGGCAAGCCAAAAACAGCCTGGGCGTTGGGAAGGGGCCCGGGGGCAGGTGGGGAGGCCTTGGGGCAGCCCTCAGCTTGGCGGGTCACGCGGCTGCAGCCCAGACACGTCTCATAAAAACAGCTCACGTAAGAGGGTAAAGAGTGGCCGTGGCTGCTTCCTCCTCCCCACGAAAGAAGGGCCAAGTGATGCAAGTTATGACACGCACACAAACGCACGCGCGAGACAAGTGGCCATGTGCACAGTGGGGACACTCGAGCCCCTCGACACGCGGCTGCTGGTGTGGCGGGGGCACCACGGGGCCGTTGGGCTGGTGCCGCGGCCGGCCGGGCCCCTCCGCTGGGCACTGCTGCAGTGGCTGCCGGCCGTGGCCCCCGCTCGGCAGCATCGGCCGTCCCGGCTCAGCAGCCGCCACAGCTCCGGAGGCACGCGCCAGCCATGGCCTGGCAGAGGCCGCTGCTCGCCATGACGCCGCACTTGGAGAACTTGTCGCGACACAGGTCCGCTGCAGGGGGAGCCAGAGGGCATGCGTGAGCTGCGGGGTCGGAGGGGAGGCTGCAGCCCGCAGCCCGCTCCCACAGCGGCCGGCGCCCCGTCTCCCGGAAGTCCCCATCCAAGGGGGAGGCGCGGGGACAGAGCCAGTCCGAGCTGCCTGCCCAGCTCCCTTGCGGCACACCTGGTATCCTGTGGGGACTGAGCTCCCCGGACTGGGGTGGGCGGTGGGGCAGGGGCTGCCTGACTCCGCTTACCTCTGAGGAGCTCTTCATGGGCACAGACTGTGCGGACACAGATCTCCTTATTGATCACGTAAACCCGGCGGAGGCTGGGAACAAAAGCGAGGCGGGGAGGTCGAATCACATCCCCTGATAGGCAGGCTCAGGCAGCCTCTCTGGGCCTGCTCCCCTGGAAAAGGTGCCTGGCAGCTTCCCCCAGGGGCGAATTGTGGCTCTGGTACTTAGAATTAATGTTGAGACAGTTGGTCAACTCCCTCCATTGTGGTCAGATCCAGTGCAAGTCCTACCTGGAGTGGCTCCTTTGGGGATCTCAGCTGGGCAGGACTTGCGCTCCGGTCGTTTCGGCTAGTCTGCTAAGGAGGACCTGGGCTGGGTTTTAGCCTGGATTTCTCCGGTCAGAAGCATTTGCCTGGCACCCAGCAGGGAGTGGGGGGATCATGCACATGCGCACTTCTGACATCGCATCTCTTCTTCAGCCATGGGGGGCAGCCCAACTGGTGCCCTCTGCTTCGCCTGGAACATTTGGGGCGCTCTGCCGAGCTTCTGCTAAGACACCCCCCACACTGTCGACAAGAAACAGACCGGGCCTCGGGGCCGCTTACCTACCTGTAGAAGCAGATCTCGTTCAGGCACTGTTTGCACGGCTTGTGGACTGAGTACAGCCTCGTGCAGGGATACTGCTCCTCCTGGCAGTCTGTGGAGGGAATGGGACCTGGTTGATCGCGGCTCCAAACCAGCTCGGGCCAGGGCGTCAATCCGCTCGCTTTCTCACGCGAAGTCCTGGCCCTGCGGGTTCCAGACCTGACTGAGGTACTCTGCTTCTGAGATGGCAGGTTGTGCTAGTGAGACCCAGGTAAGCGGGTGTCCATGACCCGGCGATAAAAGCGTCACATGTTTCTACCATGCCATTCTCTTACTGGGGCAGCCGTCTGTCCTGCCCAGGGGCGGGGAGGTTCTGTCCCTTCCTCCCAGTTGTTGGGATTACATTTCCCATGATCTTGACCACTGGCCAAGTATTCTAGCCATTCCTAAGGGGCCATGCTCCCTGCTCAGACCCTGAAAATCCTCTAAGAAATTGCACCATTTTAAAAAACCAGCACATGAGAAAGTATTCTAAGTATGAACTGAAACCAGGGCGCAGGCAGCCCATTAAGAAGAATCCTATAAAACAGTTTTCAGCAAAACCAAAGACACGTCCAAAGCAAGAGTGGACGGCCAGAGCACGCAGCTCTGGGTTGCCCTTGGCAGCCTCTGAGCCTTCGGCCTGCCGGGCTGTGGAAGCGCCTCCCGCCTTGCCGCCCCCACCTCCGTCTGCCGAGCAGCGGCTTTGCACGCGCCTCTTACCCAGCGGCCCCGGCTCGGTGGGCTCCGTCTCGAGGGTATCTAGGGAGCGGGGAGTGAGAATCAGTGGCATGCGGATGATGGCTGCGCAAGAAGTCCGGCTACTCTTCCTTGTCCCCGTCTGGCGTTCCTGATGCGAGGGGCTGCCTGGCCCTTCCGGCGAGTTTGGCTCCCACCACCGCTCGGCTCCAAGGAGCAAGGCAGGGGGCCACTGGCGGCCCTCCTGAGAGCGACACCTCAGTCCAGGGCCTACACTGCTTTCTCGCCCCTCTGCTGTCTGCGGGGCCAGAGGGTAGAGGCCTGGCCGGCTGCTGCTTGCTCACCAGCCTGGGCCGAGGCCGTGCCGGTGCAAGAGGGCCCTTGGGGCTGCTGCCGCCCACCCTGCCTGCCTCCTGCCCCAGGGGCCCTGCTGCACACACAGAGGCCCCCAGCGGGAGGAGAGGCCGGGGAGGCAGGCTCACCTGGGGTCGGGGCTGGGATGACTTCCTGCTGGTTCTGCTGCTGAGACTGGTACTGGTACTGCTCCTCTGGAGTCTGCGGGGAGATATCTGCAGCACGGAAGGACACACTGAGCTCAGCCAGCCCCGACCGGAGCCCCGGGCCCTGCCCGCCTCGGGCACCCCCCGACTTCCCTGAGACATGAAGACGTGGGCACAGACTCACCATTTCCAGCATAGTCGTAGTAATCCTGGCTTTCTGGAAAACAAGAGGAAGAGGGTGGCGCTCAGGGCTGTGAGGGACAGATGGGGCGGGGAAGCACCACATCACTGCCGTCCCCTCCCACGGGCGCCCGGTCCGTCCCTTTGACGGAAGGGCACAGAAGCGGCCCCTTGGGACTCACCGATCTCATACGGGATGTACGGCGTGTCGTGATAGGCCGGGTCCTCGAGGTCGTACTGTCCCTGGGCCAGGAGCACTGCTGGTTGGAGAGAGGCGTCTCAGGCAGAGGCCTCGTCCTGGGGGAGTCCGCGAGCGGCCCGCTCCGTGCGCCCCAGTGCCCCCTCGTGCAGCAGCTGTGTGGGCTGAGGGCTGCCCCTGGGCAACCTGCCCCAAGGCCAGGCACCACCCGGCTCTCCTGCTCATGCCCTGCGCCGTGGTGCCACACGTGGCTTGTGACCCGAGCCCTGGGGGGGGGGTTGCCTTCCACATGATGAGAGCCACAGGCCCCGGCTTTGGCCCCCAGGATAAGACTCCTTATTTGTGCTTTGGTGAGCCACTCAGTGTTGGAATCTGCGTTTAGGTTTTGTAGGAATTGCTGCATTTCCGCTTGCTTCCCTCACCCTTTCAGGCAGAAATATTACAGAAAAATGACCGAATGGTATCTAGAAATCAGTATCTAAAAAAAAGGTCACCTTTCTTTGGTGCAAAGCCCTTGGGGGCAATTGTCGGCTGCGGGTCATGTGGGGTGAAGGCACAGCCCCACCTTTGCAGCACAACAGGCTGCTTCTCAGCTCCCTCAAAGTGCTCGAAGGGAGCAGAGAAATCTTCTCGGCTCCAGACTGTGAAGGGGCCCTGAAAGGCCGGCGAAGCAGCAGCGTGCGATGGAGTTCGCCAGCTCACAACTCGGGGAGGGCGCTAGCTGAGGGCCTCTTGCCCACGGGCGATGCCCCGTCCCCGAGAACGCCTGGGGGCCGTGGTGACTCCGTTCCAGTTGCAGCCTGGCAGCAGCCCCGGACAAGCGAGTTGCTGGCAAAATGGCCAAGCAGCCCGGGATCCCAGCTTGCCCCCCGTGCTCCCTCTTGTGCTTCTGCCGCCCCCTGGCAGGTGCTCGGCCCCGCTCCTCGATCAATCGAGACTGCTCACGTCAAGGCGGAACCCTGACCCTCACGGTGGTTGCGGCGCTGAATGCTGCACTCGGAGTCGATGTGACGCACAATTCTGGTGCTGCGCCGTGAGCCAGTTCCCCCGCGGGGAACCTTGGTGGTTGCTGCTGTGGGGAGGCTGCCAGCCTGGGGCATCTTCCGCAGGAGCGGCTTATGGGGCTCCCCACTCACCTGGCAGGCAGACGAAAAGATACAGCACCCTCATTCTCCGCCGCGATGGTGCTGCTGCTGGTGCCGGAGGTCGCGTGTGAACTGGAGTTGGGCTGGAAACAAAACGCAGGAGGAGAGAAGCTGTTGGCTGGCACCAGGCGAGACCCACTAAGCAAGATTTAGCATATGCTCAAGGCAGACTGACATTTCCCATTGGCTCTTAATTGTTCCATACCGGCCCACTGTCTCTCTGCATGTATTTTATTACTCCCAGGCAATTTGTGTGCAACTGTGGTCACTCTGAAGGAGGAGGTCAGGAGCACATCCAGCCGCTCCTCTGTCGATGCTCCCGGGGCTGGGAGGGCGGGGAGACGCTTCTGCCCATGGGCTTTGCTTAGCTGTGGCAGAGAGGGGGCCCTTCGCCCCTTATTAAGAGGTCTGAAAGAATGCACCATCGAGGGGCTGAGACGCACTCCTAACATTTATGACGTCAAGTGGGCAAATGACAACAGCCGGCCTGTTCGGAAGAGCCGCTGGCTGACGAGGAGGCCTGGGGGTTTACGTTGTGTGAAGGAAGGGGCCAGTTCCCCTGGGAAGAGCCTCGCGCGGCCCCCTTTGGCCCGTGCCATCTGCTTCCCCACTTGCACTGTACCTGCCTGGATCAGAGGCCAGCGCGCCAGTCCCTCCCCGCTGAGACCAGCGCTTCTCCCCCAGCAGATGTCGCAAAGCTCCTGTTGACTCTGCCTGCGCCTGCTGAACCAACACAGCCGTCTGGACGGCCTGGGATCCCCTCCAGCGCTTTTCGAGGGCCCCAGATGGGGTTCGGCAGGAAGGAGCGGGATGCGTGGCTTGTGGTATCGGGGGCAGCAAAAGGGAATCGGCAAAGCGCTGCCTGTGCTCGTTGCAAGTGTCGCCCAGAACACGAAACTGGCGCGAACCCCCGTGAAGAGTGTCACTCCTGCAATGCGGATTTCCACCAGCTCCGTCCAGTCGCTGAGGAAATTGCACCCCTCTCTGCTGAGCGAGCAGAGGAAAGCTGGCTCCCGGTCAGCCACTGAATGTTTTCGGTGCAAGTCAGGCGCACCGAGTACCAGCCAAGGCCGTGGCTGCCAATGGCAGGATGTAGCCCTGGACTCGGAGAGCAGCAGTGCGTCTGAGCACACTCAGAACACTGCTTTCTTCCAGGTTGAGCACGTGCTCATCACCGGCAACACAGCTGGAGGCCTGGACCCCGGTGCGGAGCAGGAGGACTCGACTCACCCCACGGAAGTGCACGGGCAGGCCGAGGGGCAGCCCCGGGTGGGATGCTCTTCTGGCATCGCTGCCGACCACAGAACGGGCTTTCCTTGCCGCAACCCTATTCCTGAGGCAGCAGGGACAAGGGGTGGAGGGGCTGTCCCTCCCAACGCAATGCGGGGGCCGCCTGCATCCCTCCTGGGAGATCGGCTCCCGGGAGCCCCACCTGTGCGTCTTCTGTGCATCCCTGAAGCCGCCCCATCTCCTCCCGGCTTCAATTTCTGCCTGCACGAATGGGCCGCGTTGTCCCACCCCACCTGCTCGGAGGCCAAGGCCTGAGGAGCGAGGAGGGAGGGGACGCTCCCCCACCCCCACGTGGGCCGTGCAGCCCGCCTGCGCCAGAGTGCCCCAGCCGGCCCCTCCTCGCAACGGCTGAGTCCGATGCCCGGGTGCTCGTGGCGGAGCGGTCTGGAGGAGCTCCCACCGTGCACTTGGGGAAAGTTTCCTGGAACGCGTCTCCCTCCTCTGCAGAAGTCATTTACGGCTTGCACCGAGTGCCCTGGTGAGCCAGCAGAATCCGCCCCACGGTGGACTCATAGGTCAAGTGACAGCCACACTGCGCATGCTCAGAGGCGCTCCGGCCCCGGACAAAGGCACCTTGCACGTGTCCGGAGGCATCACCATGAGGCGGCTGCTTCGAGGAGCTTCCGAAATGTGGAAGGGCTTGAGGGAGCTGCTGGCTCCATTTTCAAGCACTCATGACACAGAACGAGCAGAGCCGCCCCAGCAGGTCCCCTGTCCCCATGCAAAGTGCTTTCTCCACTGCTGCAGAGCACCTCCAGCCAGCTCCCAGGCTGCTGAAGAGGCTGCCGTGCCGGCACGAGCCTGCCCACTGTTCCCACGGAAATTGCAGGGGGCTCGGCAATGTGTGGGCGACTGGACTGAGCGTGGCGCGATCGAGTCTGATGAAGTTGCTCTTAAGTCCCCAAAACTGTGTGCTTGAAGGAACAGATCCGTTTTTAAGGAGCCATTAGGCTTAAAAAAAATCAGACCTCAGGTTGGCTTCCGTGTCCAGACTAGATGGCCCAGGAGGCCCCTCCTGACTCGCTCTGCTTGACGTTCCTAAATGCTGGCCCTGCTTTCCCTGTGGCGGAGGGCCTTCTGTCCATGGGCAGAAGTGCCAGGTATAGGTGCGGGGCTTGTGCTTGAGCTTTTGTGTGCTCGCTCGCTCGCTCGCTCGCTCGCTCACTCACTGTGATGGTCTTAATGAGAGACCAGGGAGGAGAGGCCCGGGTGCCTAAAACGTGGGAGGTTAATGCTTTAAAGAAACCAGATGTGTTTGAAAGACACATCTGGGAACAATCAGTCTGCTCTTGCACGGGCGAGAATGCTCCTCTCCAGCAGCCTCCCAAAACCCCACCCCTCGCATAAGCCCCCTCCTCCAGCTCACCCAAAGCCAAGAAAGAACCGAGAACAAAAGGTCCCCTCCCAAAAAGCAAAAACCCTCAGCCAGAAGCTGCGAGGATTCAGGCCTCCATCCAAAGGTGAAGCCCAGAACCACCGACAGACTGTCTCCTCCTCCAGCCCACCAGGCGCTTGGAGGGTCGCTTTCCAGGAAAGAGAGGCAAGCCCTCCACCGGCCAACATCCAGGGCGCACGGCAGCTGCAGCCCCCACTCTGCCAGCAGCCGAGCCGGCGATGAAGAGGACGTGCAGGCGCAAGGCTGAAATTAAATCACTTTTGGTTTCTGGAAAAATTTGTTCCAGTGCAAGCGGCATCCAGGGCAGCGATGTGTGGCTTGCCTGTCAGCGCTTTGTAAAGTTCTCCACGGACCACTTTTGGCCGCCATTGCGGGGATTCGAAAGAGTGCAATGGGGGGGAGGCACCTGGCTCCCGAAAAGCCCCTTCCTCACCACCCTCGCGCTTCCCGCTGGGGGAGCTCAGTTTTGGGGCGCCACGACCCTGAATGTGCAGAGCCTGGCCGATGCCGCACCTTGCCTGCGGGTGCAGCCTTGTGCTGCACAGAGGAGCCCCCTGCCCCCCCCAGCACGCACCCCCCCTCACCAGCTCGGGGGTCCCGTCCTGCCTCCTGCGCCTGTCTGGGTGCCTGGAGCTCCTCCGTCTGCCTCCAAAGAGTGGAAAAGAGGACTGGCCTCTGGTGCGGCTGCTTCGCCGGGTCCTAGTGCCCCTCCCTCCAAGGCAGCAGTGCCCAAGCCCCTCCTCAGTGCTGGGAACTTGCATGCCCGCCTCACCGGAGTGAAGCTGGAGGTAGGCAGTGGCCCGGCAGCGCCGCCTCCCCAGACAGGCACGTGCCGGCCACTTGCATGAGCGGGCCTCTCGGCCACGGGAGGCAGGGCCGGCTGGCGGGGACACTCTGGGGAGCCCGGCGCTCTTCTTTCCTTGGCAGGACCGGATGGCGCGGTGAGCCCAATGCGCTCCGGTGGAGTGCCGCAGATGCAGGCAGAGGCCCCCTGGGAGGGCAGGCAGGGCTGTGGAGCACGCAGAGAAGCTGCCGGCACTCTCCTCGGGAGTGAGCCAAGGGGCTTGTGGGCAGATGTCAGGGGTGTGAAAGGATGCATGCAAAGCTGGAACGGGCCTCTCCCCCATCCATCCCCACATATCAGCAGACTCTCTTGAAAAGCAGCTTTTCTGAACATGGCCTAAGAGTTGTCGGAGACATGCATTTTCCCTGCGCGAGCAGCGCGTGATTACCAGCTGGGATCGCTTGGAAAAGTGGCCAAGAGGAACATAAAGGGTCTATTAGCCACAGCTACTGGGTAGACTACATCCAGCAGCTGCCAGAGGCAGAAAAGGTGGTCTGTTACCTTCCACTGCACCTTGCAGGCTTCCCGGAGCCTCCGCAAAGTGGTGGACCGGCCTGAACCCCTTTGGCTCCGCTGCAGCAGGATCCTCCGCCTGTCCCGCCCGATCAGCCTCAGGATCAGTTTCTCACAGTGATCCACCCTGTGGACTCCTGTGATGCCCTGGAAAGCCACCAGCCAAAAGGGCCGCGAAGACCCTGGAATGGAGCGGCTCGTTCTGCGCAGCCAAGCACGCTGTTTCTTACCTGCACAGCGCAGTGCCATGGGAGCACCTAAAGCACCGCTTTTTCCTGCAGGAAGTGGCAAGACGACTCCAAAGAACCTCTGCTGTTCTTCAGCCTTCCCAAGCAGGCTTTCCTCTGGCCACGTGCCACGAGAAGCACCGCCTCCGCCTTGCGTTTACAGAGTGGAGTCGGGCCGTCGCAGGCAGGACCTTTCGGAGAGCGTTCGTTCACAGATCGCCACGTGTGTCCCAGAAGGTTTCCAACTCCGCTGTCTTTCTGCATGAGCCGAACACCTCTTGAATGTCCTAGACTCATCTTTTGGGGTTTGAGTCGAGTTAGGTTTGCCCCCCACACACAGCTTTTGACCAGCAGCCGCTGTTTTTAAATGTCGTGGATGTTCATGCACACAGTTACTTAATGCATGGCTCCAAGTGTGCGCTGTTTGGAGAATGCTGTGAGCTACAAACACAGGTTAGAAATGTCTGTTCAACATGAGCAGAGATTGTTAGGAAAATACCATCTGTTTATTATGATGCACATTCATAATTCACATGGCAATGGTGTGGACCATCAGCTCTTCCTGGATCTTGCCATCCTTTTGCAGAAGCTTTGGCGGGAGGTGGCAGGGAAGAGTCTCATGGCAAGCAAGCAAGCAAGCAAGCAAGCAAGCAAGCAAGCAAGCAAGCAAGCACGCACGCACTCTTCAGTCCTGTAAGACCCTCGCAGCCTAAGAGGGCTCTCGGTAGTGATCATTGCAGCCCGCAGAAATGGAGCTGGACAGACAGCGAGGAACTTTTGAGTACGTGTTCCAGTTTGAAAAGCAGCCTTCTCTCTGGGAACTGTGCTGAGCCACATCTTTGGAGGGTCCATTCAAGATCAATTCAGCACAATTTGGAAAAACAGCAGCTGTCACAGGAGCCAGAGATGTGCCCCTTGCTTGAAGGAGATGGTGCGGCCCGGAGTGCCCCCCCCCCCCGAGGATAGGTGAGGTCGTGCTGCGGGAGGAGCTGCGAGTGCCAGAGCGGCGCAGGGGGCTCAGTCCTGCACTGAACCTGGCAGGGTGCTCCACAGACCGGCGTCTGAGTCATCCGGAGGGCTGACCCGCATCACACACTTGCCACAGCCAAGCCTGGAGCCAGCGCTCTCCCTGCAGAAGCACAGACCCAAATGACAGCCCAGCTGATCAGTGGAGGACATGATCCAGGCGGGACACAAGGCAGCAGGAGAGGAAACTTCGTTCAGGGCAAGGAGCAGTTTCACCGCCCGGGCATTATGTCTAGGGACTGGGAAGCCCTGTGTAGGGACGCGAGGGCCTGCACGGGTTTTGCCAGCGGCCGCGGTGGACCTTCGTGCCCGCAGTGGGCAGCCCTGGCAAGCACCTCTGGGGCAGCTGAGCGGCCCCCTCCTCAGTCTTTTCAGGAGGGGCCAAGGCCTTAGTCAGGAATGGGGATGAGGAGAGCCAAGACTGGATCGCTTTCATGCTGCCAGTTGGACCGAGCAGGAGCCAAGAGGGCTGCCGGGACAGAAATGGCGGTGCGGCAGCCCCTGCAGGGCACGTACAGGGGCAGTGGCGGCAGGAGTTGGGGGGCCGGCGTCATCTGGTGGCGACGGAGGCTTTGCTGGGGGCGAAGAGGGGCTCGTGCATCAAAGGCCAGGTAGGCTGCTGCTCCCGCAGCTCTCTCTCCAGCATCTTGTAGCGCTTCTTGGACGAGGTCCTCCGCCGCCACTTCCGCAGGCAGCCGAGCAGGCCATGCTCCAGGAGAATCTGGGGTGGAGAGAGGCAGTGAGAGGCCTCTGGAAGTGCCTTCAGCGGCTCTGGGTGGGCTCGTTCCCCCGTCCCCCTCTGCCCCGTACCTCCAGCACAAACGCCATGAAGAAGTGGATGGTGGCCATCCCGAGGAGGCCGGCCTTGAACTCCAGGTCATCGATGCCCTTCAGCTTCAGCAGTTTCTTCATGAAGTTCAGTGGGTGAAGTGTTAGCCAGATCATGAGGCCGAACAGGACAATCAGGGCGATCAGGAAGACGACTAGAGGAGTGGAGGGCGAGGAATGGCAGAGAGGTAGCCGAAAGTGCTCAGAAGCATCGGGAAAACGGCAGCCACGATGGCGCAAAAGCAGCCACGCCATCGCCAAGTCCCAAACGCTTTGCGGACATTCTGGCTTTCTGGCCTGAACGTGCCAGCCGGAGGACACACCTGACGCACAAGGGGACGCTGCTGGGGATGAGGGAAGGAGCCCCCGGCTGAACGCAGAGGAGCTACACGAGGGTCACTGTCCTCGCCGTTTCACAGTGGGAAGGGGCTCTGTGGCTGGCACCCGCCAGCAGAGGCCTGCTGAGGCAGGGCCAGGTGGGGGAGAAGGCGGGGCCCGCTTACCATTGGTGTACAGGGGCTTTCGGAAGGGGTCGCCCTTCGACATGGCCACGGCCAGCGTGAGGTACTGGAATCCGGTGATGCAGAACACGACAGTGTTCTCGTAATTCGGGATGTTCCTCGGTGCCGTGACGGTGCTGTTCAGCGGGACGAACCTGGGAGGAGGCAGGCGGAGGCTGAGGCCGGGCCCTGAGCGGCTGGGCGTGTTGCCCTCGAGCATGGCCGCTCCCCGTGGCACTCACCACTGCTGAGAGGTGGCGATGAGGTAGCTGCCAACCTGGACAGCGATGAGGAGCCCCGTCTGCAGCAGAAGGCTGCCCAGCACCGGGACACTGATGAGGGTGCCTCGCGGGCGGGCCGGGCCCAGGCCCGTGGCAGGGGCCGTTCTGCCCATCAGAGCAGCCACCGTGGAAGTGATGGCCAGGTCGAAGAAGAGGAACTGTGAATCGCTCAAGTTCGTGTTGATCTGCAGGGGATGCCGGGAACAGAAGGGAGTGGAGGCGAGCTGAGGCTTCCCAGAACAGCCTGCCGTCATTCCACGGCCCTCCCTCGCTCTCGGGCCTGCTGGCAGGCCCGGGTGCTGCTAGCGTCTTCCGCTCACGACCCTCCTCAGTTTCTGGATGCCGCCTCCACCATTTTCCTTTCCATGAAGAAAAGGATGTGGAACAGCGCCAGAATGCTTGGCGCCTTCTCTGTGCCTGGACGCTCCCGTGGCTACCTCAAAATGAGGTCTCGGGTTCAGAAGAAACCTGGGGAGAGCGACAGGAAGGCCAGTGGCCTCCGTGAGGTCCCTGTGGCATGGAGGAAGGAGGTGCTGCCTCCCCTGCTTCTGTTTTGAATCCAGGGTGAGACCTGAATGGTGGCTGCTTGCTCTGGGTCCCTTCAGGTGATGCTTCGCTCACCTGTGCAGCACCGTGCCAAGGAATGCTGCAGTGATGGAGGAGGAGGACCAGGCGGACCTGAAGCCACTGGAGGCAAGCGCTCAGGTAAAGCTATGATAATCGTGCCAGTTTCCCAAGAGGCAAAAGACAGCCGTGTCTGCCCTGCAAGGTTCTAGTCCTCACTGGCTGTGCTGATGAGCAGGGAAAGGAAGACCCCCTCCCTCCGGGCTGAGACCACTGCACGTGCCCGCAGATCTTACTGTGTAGAGGAGGAGCACGGAGACAAACTGCACCAGGCTGTAGAGGGCCATGTACTTGAAGATCCCAAAGGAGGTGACCAGGGAGCATCTCCCTTCCCTAAACAGAAGGGCCGCCGGGAAGCAACAGTGAAGCAGCCGTGTGAGGGAGGCCAGGCTGGGCACATCTCCTCGCACAGCTGTGCTCGAGCGGGACTGCGCAGGCCACTGCCAAGGACGGCCGAGGACCTTCCACTCCCCCCACCCCCTGCTGGGCTGCAGAACCTCCAGTGGGCCTGACTCCTCTGGAAGAAGCTTCCCCTTCCCGAAGGTGGCATGGAAGGACAAGAGCATCAGCAGGCCCCGGGAAGAAATGATGCAGCAGAGGCTGCTATGGTCCTGCTCACACAGCTCTTGCCCGCCAGACGTGCTTTCAGCATGGCTGGGGAGGACAGACGTGCGCCATGCTCCTGCAGCCGGCCCTGCGCAAGCCCGCTCCCTCTCCCAGGCCCCTCCAGCCGCTCTCGCTGACCATGGAGCAGACAAGATCAGCTGCTGTGCTTGCGACACTCCGAAAGGGAGCCGCGGGTGGCCCCTAGCCCATCGCCAGCGGGCCTTCCAAAGGGGACCTCCCCCCAAGCCGGGCCCTGCTCTGGACACACCGTATGACGGCCGGGACGCATTCGACGTTGGCAGTGCGGGACGTGAACGGCGATGCCACGGATGCCTCTGCTTCGGAAAGCGAGATCCCCACGTCGGCGGCCTTCAGGGCCCCGCAGTCATTGGCCCCGTCGCCACACATCAGGACGCAGTAGCTGTGGGCGACACGAGCATGTTGCTCCGCACCAGGGTGAAGGATTCCCAGGCTGTCCCTCCAGGAGGAGGGCTGGTCCCCAAAGCCGTCCCCAGCATGGCTGGTATGCCACACGGGATCTTTGCCCACCCACCACCAAACTGCCAAGCCAGAGGCTTCCTGCTCATGCCTTGGTCAAAGCGGGATGGGTATGAGGACGGAGCAGAATCCAGTGGCCTGCAGAGGACAGACCAGAGGGCCACCCAGTCCCGCAGAGGCAGCTGGAGGCTCTGCTCTTGCCCGAGGAAGCTTTCCACAGCTTTGCCTGCATGCAAGAGGGAGGCCCCTTCCTCCCCAGGGCCTGGAACCCATTCCTCACCTCCCACCGCCTCCTCCCCGGCTGTCTTTCGAGACCACCCATCTGATCACAGGAACCCCACAGACTTACTTAAGCTCTTGTAGTTTCTGAACTAGGAGAGCTTTCTGCTCAGGTAGCATCCGGGCCAAAATTGTTGTCCGGACCAGAATCTGCAGACAAGAAATACCAGCGTGGCGTGGCTGTCCCGGCAGCCAGAAACAGCCAGCATGGCTCGTGCACAAAAGGGGAGTGCATATTTAGAGCAGGGTGTGGGGTGTGGCCCCCGTCTGCTGCTGTCACTGAAAGGGGGCAGGGCTGGGCTGAAGAGGGAGGAGGGCAGGCTCTGCAGTGGCCCCTCGGACCAGCCAGCGGCCTTGGAGTTACCTTCGGCAGGACGTCGGGGAAGTGCTCACAGACCACGGCGAAGGACTTCCCATCCATGGCCAAGTGGCAGGCATGCTGCTCCGGGAAGTAGCTCTCCAGCTGGTAGGAACCCTGGGAAAGCCCAGCGGGAAGCGGCTCGTTCCTTCTGCCACAGGCTGGCCAATGGCCACCGACAGACGCCTGGCAGAGTCCTAGTGCCCCCTCACCCCAGGCACCCTGCTGCCTCCCCCTCCGGAGAGGCAACCTTGGGGCAGAGCAAGACGTCTCCTAAAGGGCAGTGGCCCAAGAGGGACGGGCAGCCATCTTTCGATGCAGGAGGCCCAGAGGCCAGGCCCAGGGGGTGGGCGCCTCCCAGAAAGACCCTCCCTCAGCCACCGTCCCTTGAGGGTGGCTGCCCAAGGGCAAAGTGGTCCAGCGCTGTCACGGGGAAGAGCACTCGCCTCGGCGGGCTCCGTGGCCTGCTCTGCAGGGGTGAACCTGAGTGTGGCTGGGCTGCCGTGGTCGGGCGGCGCGGCGTTCACAAAGACCACTGGCTCCTTGGCCTCTACCATGTGGCAGTTCCTGGCCACGCTGATGGCCGTGAGCATATTGTCCCCTGAGGAGGAAGGGGAGGCACGAAGGCTTCAGCGCTGCTCCAACGGTGAACAAGACGCACGACTGGCAGGGCGGGCAGCTCCATTGCCAGCAGACACGGCCCGCAGAGATGTCGCCCCCCCCCCACTCTTCTGGCTACCTGTGGCCATGACAGTCCGGATCTCGGCGCTGCGCAGCGAGTGGATCACGGGGGTGGTCTCGGCCTTGAGGACGTTCTTCAGCACCAAGAGTCCCAGGAAGCACATCTGGCTCTCCACGGAGTCCCTGTTGGCTCGAGCACAGAACAGCCCGGTCAGCCTCCCAGCAGAGGCAGAGACAGGCCCGGGCACGGCCACGGCCACAGCCACAAGGACAAGGAAGGGGGCTGCCTCCCTGCCAGGCACCTGCTCACGTCTTGGACTTCCTCGAAGGTTCCGATGGCGACCACGGGCTTGTAAGCCAGGCCCAGCACCCGGAAGCCGTCCCTCGTGAAACGGCACAGCGCCTGGGAGAGGTCTGTGGGGACTGAGGGCCAAGACAGAGGGGGCTGATCAGGAGGAGCCGTGGCAGATGCTGTTCCCCGAGGAGGAGGAGGATGATGCGGGGAGGAAGCCGCCCTGATGGGAGGGGCTTCCGAAGATGTTCTGGATCCTCCCCGCCAATTGGGGCCAGTCCCGGCTGTCCCTGCAGCTGCGACGTCCCCGGGAGCGGAGGATCCCGGACATTCCCCTCCCACCCACCAGCTCCAGGCAAGGGGGACACAACAGCCCCCGCTTGTGCTTGCGGGGCAGAGGGCCCGACCTGATTCGCTCGTGCAGAGGCCAGCCACGATCTCCGGCGCGCCCTTCATGTAGACCTCTGGCAGGGCGTCTCCCGGGGGCTTCACCAGCACGCTCATTCTCTGCAGGGACGAGGCGAAGGGGAAGCGGCGGAGGATGGCCAGCGGCAGCACCTGCCTCTGTTGGGGAAGGACGCGGCTCAGCCCAGGTGCGCCTCGGGAGTGGGTCCGGTGGCCGTGGGGCTGTCTCTGGCCACGGCTTCCTAAAGCTCCTGTCCAGCAGCAGAAGGATGAGGAGGGCCCACACCTTGTTTCAGGGGTGTGGCAGCCCAGCTGGCCTCCGCAGGGGGACTTGCGCCAGGTGCTCGGGGGCTTACCGTGCCCGGAGGCTGCTCTGGAGGACTCATCACAACCAAGGCTCTGGTCCCAAAAGTGTGGGCCACCTGGGCCTCTGCCTCGGCCCCTTCGACCTCCTCCTGGGTCTGGAAGGAAGGGAAGAGCATGGCTCTTAGAAGGCGCAGCAGCTTCCTGCTCAGGAGGAAGCACCTCCAATAGCAACCTCTCCAACCCGGAAGAGTCCTGCCTGTGGAAGCGTCTATCCGTGTCTCCCATTCCCTGGGACCGGGTCTTGCTTCGGGGAAAAGCTGTCCCCATCCTGGATCAGCATCAAAGTCACCACCACACCCGAGGGAGCTGCATCCACTGCAGCCAAAAGCAGAGTCGCTGCCAACAGTGTCCCCTGCGTGGATGGCAGGTCTTTCTCCCCAGTGATTCTGGCTCAAACAGGGAGCTGCTCTGTTTTTCACACAGCAAACTCAGGTGAGCCGCTCTCTTGCTTGCTCTCACCCATCCCGTGGATTCCAGCATCTTGAGGTCAGCTGGGTCTCCGACCAGCTGGCCCTTGAGGACGGAGACAGTGTGGCAGGTGGCCAGGCAGGACAGCAGGGGCCCTCCGGGCAGGCGGTGCAGCTCATGGATCAGGGGCAAGAAGCCGCAGTTCTCTCGGGGAACAACGCCCCAAACGTCGAACCCATCCTCCGTGAGGGTCCCTGTCTGAGGGATGAGAGGCGTCAGAGCAGGCCGAGGCGAACCGCGGCCCCGCGGCCCCCACGGGCCTCACCTTGTCGAAGCAGGCCAGGCGAACCTTGCCGCAGAGGTTGATCCGGGGCGGACTGATGCAGAAGATGCCCTGTTGCTTCAGGCGGCTCTGGGCGTAGATGGTGCCGGCGGTCATCGCAGCCGGCAAGGCTGGGGGCACGACCACCGTCACGACATCCAGGGCCCGGATGACGATCTGGCTCGCAGCCACCTGCTCATGCCAGGAGAGAGAGATGTGAGCCACTGGGAGGGAGACCTTGCAGGCACCCACATGCCTTCCGCCCAGGTGCCGGGCTGGGCAGCCCTGCCCTCTTCTCCCAGGCCAGGTGAGTCCCACTGCGTCCCGCTCCCCCACCCACTGCCGCTGCGCGTTGGTGGGCTGAGGTGTTTCGAGGGGGTGCCCTGCTCTTTGGCTCCCCTGTGCTGTGCGGATGCTCCCCTGCTCCACTGCAGCGGAAGTTCTGCCACTGCCTCCAGGGCCGCCTCAGCTCCGGTCCCGGCGGTGGGCAGCACCCTCACCTGTTTTCTGTGCAGGATGTAGATGCTGTAAGCGGTCCCGAGAGCAGCTGCGGGAGAGGGAGAGAAGGGGGCGTGTGCAGACCCCGCCGTGGGAGACCCGTGGCGCAGGGAGACCTGTGGCGCAGGGAGGCCTGGGGCAGCCTACGATCAGGGCGCCCCGCTCCTTTGTCCCAGGTACTTGGGCTGGAGGGCAGGACGAAGGCAGGGCACTGCCCAGGTGGAGTAACTCCTCCTCCGAGTTGGCCCTGCTCAGAAGGGGGAAGACAGAGGCATCTGCCTGGGATGGAGGGGACAGATGCTGTGCTTGGCTGTGCTTCGTCCCTCCCCGTCGCCAGCAGATAACGTGGCGCACCTCCCAGAGACCTTCCACCTCCCTCTGCTCTCCAAGGGCAGGAGCAGTTTCTGTGCTTTTGTCTTTTTCCAAATTGCAAAATGGACTCACCCAGGCCTGCGAGGACAATAACAAACTTTGCAGCATCCTTGTAAAACCTGAAGTTCACTGGTTTGGGGTAAAGTATGGAACTCACAAGATCGCCTTTGGCTGTGCAGAAGCCTGGCAGGGCGGGAATGGAAGGGGAACAAAACTTGGAGCAAGGTTCGAGGCAAGGAGGACGCGAGTCCAAGAGGCCCAGGGCAGGAAGCCCGGAGCAAAGGGCAGGGCGAGGCTGCAGCCCTTCTCTGCTCTCGGACGGGCTTGACCGGCACGATGACGCAGCGAGGCACTGCCCGGGTGGCCACTCGAGGACAGGAGGAACTCGCCGTGGTTGGGAAACTGTCCTGCACCCAGCACCCAGCCCACGCAGTTGGCCAGAGCATGGAGCAGGCCGTGCGGGTCCCCGCTGCATCCGCTCTCTGTTCATGTAAGTGATTTCTCAGTCCCTCGGGTGGACGCCCTCATGGAGGGTGCTCCGCACAATAAAATCCCTGCACCGTAATGAGAACCGCTAAGCACAACAACAGTGGTTTATAAGAGCATCTCACCCAGACAGTACGCAGACCTGAGATGTGAATGCAGGAAGAGCCAGGAAAGTCCATCCCAGAACTGGACGGCTACCCGAGAAGGCCCCCCGTGCGCCTGTGCCCAGCGAAGGGGCCTTGGAGCCACGGGGAGGGAGCGTGTGACCCGCATGCTGCTCTGGAGGCCCAGGAAGACGGGGTTCCTTCCAGGATGCCTGTGCCTCCGGGGCCCATCCAGGAGGGGAGGATGCAGCACCTCCTGCTGAGCTGCAGCCCTGGGTGGACAGGCCTCCTGCCCCGTGACGCTCACCTGTGCGAGTCACCACCGCAAGGACCTCGGTGCCAGTGTAGCACCTGGCCTGAAGGACCCGCGTCCCGCAGAAGAGCGTGTGCCGCTTGTGCTGCTCAGGGGAGTAGGCTGTGCCCGCAGCCTGAGGGTCCTGGGGCAAAGGGGTCTTCATCACCGGGGTGCTCTCCCCTAGGGGGGACAGACAGAAGCCAGCTGAATCAGGGTCCTGCACATCCTCGGAGGCTGCTCTCTTGCCAGTCCAGGAAGCAGGGTAAAACCGGGCAACACTGGCACAAGACAAGACCCAGCACAGACGGGCTCCTTCGTGGCAGATCAGAGGCCAGTCTGGAATGGCTGCTCAAACTGGGAAGGCCCCCCCCACCAGCCTCTGCCAGGGCTCACCAGTCAGCATGCTTTCGTTGACCATGCATTCGCCAGTCAGCAAGGCCGCATCACAAGGCACGAGCATCCCCTCCGCGGGGACCAGGATGCAGTCCCCAGGCACAAGGTCCACGGAGCTCACCAGCACCTCATCTGCAATTCCCCCCGACAAGGAAAACAGATCAGAGCAGCTGCAGGAAGCAACTCTGCGCCACTTGAGAGAAGTAAAACATGACAGTGAGAACTGACAGGGCCGCTTCTGCAGGATAACTTGCAAGAATAATCTGGCCACCACATTGAAACGGGGAGCTGCCAGAAAAATGGGAAAGCTGAATATGGTAAAACAGCGAGCTTTTCCACAGACAACGGGCTGAGGAGAGGTGGCTTAGGGTGGAAGCCTCTGGTGTTGCCACAGTGCTTCCCAGAGAGCCTCTCTAAGGGCTGTTCCCGGGACCGGAAGGGCAATGGCTTGGGCTACTCACGGACCTCCAAGGGCTCTGCGGAGCTTCACACTGATGGACACCTTCACCATCTTCTGCAGGGTCACGCGCTGCTGCAGGGGCCGAATGACAGCCTCAGAAAGGCCCCGCAAAGAGGGTGCAACCCGAGGGGAAGCTCAGCCGTGCTGGCTGGAAGAACTTCGCTGGCATGGCAGCCACGGGGGGATCAGGGCAGGCCCCAAGCAGGCCTGAGGGGCCCCCGGGCTCCTCCCCCAGGGCCAGCGTCCCCTCACGGCTCTCCAGGTGCTGCAGCGGGGAAGAGCACCCACCTTCTTTGTCTCATAGAGAGAAATCCCAATGGAGATGGCTGAGATGAGCAGGATGCAGATGGCGTACCAGTAGTAATCCTCACAGAACCACAATATGATGCTGAAGATTTGAAAGATGTAGAATGGGTTCAAGACCTGCAGTGGACGGGAGGGGAGGATGGAGGAGGAAGCTGCAGCCGTGCAGGTTTGGGGCGGCACCGGAGTGCCCATCTCTGCCCTCTCTGCTGGGCACGGGAAGGACCTGCCACTCTGCAGAGGGCACCAGGCTTAGTCTCTGGTTCAGCAGGTGTGCTGGGAAGGCCCCCCCCCCCATCTTTCCTCCAGCCCTGAGCCAGTCAGTACAGTCAATACGGGCTTGTACAGACCAACAGCTTGGGGGCTGCCTTTACATTTCCATGCAGAGCTGGAGAGCACCAGGCAAAGAGACCTGCACACCTGTAGCCCCTTCAGCCTTTTTGGGGAGCTCAGAATGGCCCCGGCTGCCCAACACCAAAGCTGCTCCCACAGCGACAACTGGAATAACAGAACTGGGATAAAAGGAAAAAGCTCTTCACAGTGAGCAGTTAAACTGTGGGATTTGCAGCCACAGGAAGGGCTGCCGACTGCCGATCTGAATGGCCTTAAAGGGGATTGGGCAGATCCAGGAAGGAGCGGCTACCAGCCTTGGTGGCCGAGGGCTACTTCCTTGGCCGGGGGTGGCCTGCCTGCACACACCAGCTGCTGAGGAACTTGGGCCGGGGAGGCCTTGCCCTCATCTTGCTCAAGCAGTCCAGGGGCAGCCGGGCAGCCCCATGTGGGCAGAGTGCTGGACTAGGTGGGCTTTGCTCTGATTTAGCAAGACTTCTCTTACATTCTCATCCCATGCTAGGCCAGGAGGAGAAGGGAGAGATCTCCGCACAACACACGGCTCGGGCCACAATGGACCCCTCGCCTCTTCCAAGGGCGAGGGGCCCATTTCCTAGGCAAGGAATAAGGCTTCCTCAAGCGGCAGAATTCGTTTTACGAGGGCCCACCTCATCCCTCAGCAGCTGAAGGGGAGAATGTACTGGGACATCGATGAGGTTTGGTCCATAGATCTTCCTCCTGTGGAAGAAGCGGGAGAGAACAGATCCCAATCAATTGCAGGACAGCACCAGTCACACTGCCAAAGGGCTTCAGTGCCTCCTGCTCTAACCGTACCGCACCCTGTTTTGGATGAGCAACGCACACCCGCACCTGGCAGCCTGTTCTTCGGTGCTCAGTCCGTGGTGGCAGAGATGGATATCCAAACATGTCCAGCTTTCATCCAGCTTGCTGCAAAACATGCATGGGTGGGGGGAGGCCGCATTAGCCACCTGCTGAAAGGTGGCTTTTGAAGCACCTGTCCCATCCCCAGCCGAGCTGCCTTGGTGTGCCCAGTGGTCACATTGGTGACTACTGAGCAGGCAAGTGGGAACAGACATGAAACAGGCAGGAAGCACCGCGTTGAGAAACATTCTGGACACCCCAGCAATGCAGCGGTTTCTGCAGCTGGGAGCATGTGCCGATCTGTGCAAAGCACACCCGCAGCTCTGTCGAGCCTGAGGACCAGCCGCCCCTTCGAAGCTGCGGGCCTACCTTGCTCTGCAGTATGCCTGCAATTTCTCCATCCAGATGTAGCGCAGACCCTCAAAGACAAAGTACTGGACGATGTTTGCCTGAGGGGAAGAGACGAGTGAGCTAAGGAGACTTGCCCACTGCATGAGACCCCCTTGGGGCAGGCCCCGGCCCTAGCCTGATCTCGGAGGGCTCCCACCAGTGGAGTCGCACTGCTGGCTCACGGGAGGTGTCCCAGGAGGGAGCGTGGCGTTGCACAGGAAAATGCTACCCTTCCCTGCAAGGAAACATGGATGGAGAACCAAAGACGAAGTCTGATGGGGGCAGGGAGAGGCCAGTGGGCCGAGGGACTGTGTGGCCATGTTGGGGAAAGTGCTGTGGACGTGCCCCCGGCCTCGAAACTAGAGGCAGCTGCAGGGCTCCCTCTGCTGGTCGAGGGCTGGCACAGCAGCGCTGGTAGCTGCAGGATCACTGTCCCAGTCCAGCACAGCTGTCAGGACTCTTCACGAGCACCACCTGGGAGCAGAGCTGTAGAAGAACTGGCCTGGGCAGGAAGGGCTTCTGGACTTGTGGAAGAGCTCCCGGGTCGTGGATGCTGGCACTTTGCTCCTGTGGCTGATCTCCTGGCTGGTCTGTGATCGCGCTCCAGCCCTCAAGGTACCCACTCCCCTTGGCTCGTCTTTCCGGTTCTGTCTGACGGCACTTTCTTCTTGCACAGAGCGTGCCTAGGGTTGCAACCCCCGGCTCCGGCCTTCGGACTGTGTGGGGCACCTGGGGTGCCAGGCACTGGCAGGACAGAGCCGGGGGTCAGGTGAGCAGCCCCTCACCCCGGTGCCTTCGTGGGTTCCCCAGACAAAGTCTGGCCAGTAGAGCAGGCCCACCTGCTCCTTCTGGTGGAGCCTGATTGTGTCACAGCTTCCGTCCTCGTCCTCCACTGCTCCCACAGCGATGCTGGCTCTCCCATCGTCCTCTCCTTGCTCCGGGCTTTGCGGAAAGAAGGTGGAAGGGCAAATGGGGAACACGTGAGCATGACCTGATCTGCTCTGGAGCAGCGACCCCTCTGTGCCTTGAGGACTGACCCTGCCCCACAGCGTGTTAACAGGAGGGTGCCCATGAGGACGGGTGGCCAGATGCCCCGTCCCACAGGCCCACCTGGAAGCACCAGGTGAAAGGGAAGGTTGGCCTTTGTGTGGGGCTGAACGGGATGGGGGGTTTTGCTGGCCGTGACAAGCTAGAAGCAGAAGTCTTGTGGCTCCAGCTAAGGAGGCAGCAGGGGCAGGGGATGGTGGGCTCCAAAGCACAAAGCTACAATTACCTGCTTCTTTTGGGGGGTGGGGGTGGGGGGAAGCTCTGAGGATTAAGCCCCCTGTACAGCCGTTTAGGTGGGCTGTGAACAGATGCCTTTAGTTTAAGGTCTATTTGCTGGACAAAAACCCAAGTGTCTGGATATGGGTTGTGGGGTGTCTGCCTGTCTGCGGTTGTTCCTCTTCCCACAGCCCTCTCCTGATGCATGTGAGAAGTAGAATATTACTGTGACTAACAAACTAGAGCAGGTAAAGCTATGGCTCACTTAGTGATTGATAAAGTTATTGTGATTAACACAAACTAATAGACTACAAGACGTAATTGGTAGACATGGCATTTAACTTTTGAGCTTAGAATCCAAAGTATGGCTGCGTAATAAGCTAATGCATATTAGTGGTGCCTCCTACTATGACTCAGAGGGTTATTAGCATGAACATGGGACGTATGAGCAGGTGGGGGTAACATACCAAGGAGTAGTATGATGAAGGCAGATGGGAAGAGTGTGAATTCCCAGTATCCCAGCCAATGGGAGAAAGGAGGCAGGGACTTTGCACGTGAAGTAGGGAATAAAAGGCTGTGTAAACTGCTCCTCCAGGGCACTACCTTTGGGGTAGGTGCCCGGTCTGGCCAGAGCGTATTGAACTGTTGCTGCTTGGTACTTTGCCTCCCGTATCGTCATTGCTTGGATTCCATTTCTTACACGCGCCTTCCTTTGCAGTCGGAGCAGAAGGGCCCCTTCCCGGCCTCACTCACCTGCCTTCCCCTACCAGTTCTCTTTCCACCTTGGCTGTGAAATTCTGGCCCAACTGGTCCTGGAGAAGAGCATAGAAAGGGTGAGCGTTTGGCTCACAGAATCAAAGGGGCATGAAATATCTATTCTCCCACCCTCTCCAAGCCAGTTGTTTCTTCAAAGGACACCCCGAGCCTTCAAGGAACATGAAAGGCATCAATTTCTGACCCATTGAGCTGAATGCAAGTTACTGGACATCCCATTGGGGGCCTGAGGGACACCACGCCTGTGATGCTCCCACTTCCATACAGACAGAAAAATGCAGACACATATGGGGATTTCACTGTGTCGTGTTTGGTGTATTTTCCCTTGGTTGTGCTGTATCTCTTTTATTGGCCCTTTGACTATTTTATGCTGCCATAGACATTCGACTGAAGAGCAGACCCTCACGGGTAACCAACATGATAACCAGTGGGTTGGCTGAGCCTCTCCTGGGTCTTGCTGGCAGGCCTGGCTCAGACATCAATCCACACGATGTCCTCTTAGTTTTTAAAATGCATCCCTCCAGAAACAGGCATCCCAGCCTTGAAACGGGAAGAACTGGTGGAGGTGGCTCTGGTAGAATTAACTGGGCCCCTCTCCCAGGGTGCCAACTGGACTCTTAACCCTTGTGGAAAAACTGCCATTTTGGGTCCAGGGTCCAGGTGCCGCTTCTCCCTTTGCTCCCCAACCCCACTTACGTGGATGACCACCCAGTCGGCCTGGCGGAGTGGGCAGCGGCTGCATCTGGCTTGGACTCTGACGTGTGGCTTCCAGTAAAAGATGGCCAGGGGAAGCCCCACAAACAGCACAGTGAAAATGTGGCACAGGATGGTCTTCCATCTTTTCCTTTGGTAGCCAATGACTTCCTAGCCAAGGAACAAACTGAGGTGGGTTAGCAGTAACCAAGTGCTGGCCCCACAAAATGCAAAAAATCAGAGCTATGGGATGCCTCTGGGTGGCTCTTGGAGTGCATTGTGAGAGGTGAGCGTGGCTCATAAGGAGACCTTCGACGTGGCACCAAGCCGGCCAAGTAGAAGCCTGCGAAGGGGATACAAGCTGATCCCTCCCTTGCTCAGTGTGGCCCTCCGGAAAACTGGCACCAGGCAGCATTCTGGCCCCCTTCGTGTATCTATGTAAACACTTACAAGCTGCCACTTTGGGTCAAGTCTACCCAAAGAACAAACAGAATATGATCGTTAAAATAATAATACAATAATACATTAATAATAATACTAATACTACCCTAATCTGAAAAATGCTGTCCTACCACAAACTGTATTAACATATGCGAAGGCAGTGTGATACTAAGTTCCGGAGCCATTGCATAAACCATGACTGGAACGGGGCAGCGCTTGAAAGCCCTTTGGCACAGGTGGGCTTCCCGGGCGGGTGTCTCCTGCAAAGCATCCTGCGACGGCTTGAAAGGGCTCTCAGCGGTCACCACCCGTTCACAAGAATCTTCCTGTAGTTGCGGAAACTCAAAGGCAACTGAGGCTTGCCTGCCTCCCTCTCTTGGCCCAAGGATCCCGAACCCTGCAAGCTCTTTCTTTGCTCACCATGCGGGGCTCCTGGGGAGCGCTCTCCTGGAGGGTCCTGTAGCCAAGGCACGCACGTCCCAAGAGACTGACACCACCTGGGAGCAGCAAGCAAACGGGATCTTACCCCCTAGGCACGGTATCCGATTTCTAAGCGCAGGCCGGGAGCAGAGATGCCGAGGGGGCTGTTCGCCAACCCCGTCCAAGCGTTTGGCGAGAGAACTGGTCTCTTAGCGAAGTGCAGTGGAGGGAGCCGAGCTTCCGGGTGAGCGAGCGCAGCAGGTCCGCAGCTGCGCCGCGCATTTCGCGGCCGATCGGGCTGTCGCCCCCTCCCCGCCTCGCCCCAGCGGGCGTCCCTGCTCCGCAGGCCGGCCAGAGGCGGGGGGGCGCCCGCCGCGAGCGAGCGATCCTGCCAGCCAGAGGGCGGCGCGGGACGCCCGGGCGCGCTCACCTGAACTCATGGTCGGGCGGGCGGCGAGCGCGGGGCGGACTCCCGGGCAGACGCTCCCGCCCGGTCTGCCTGCGCGCACCGGCGACACGCCTCGAGACCGGCAGCCGAGGCCGCCGCCGACTGGCCGGCTGGTGGGGGAGCTGGCCGAGCGCGGGGGCTGATGGGAGCCGTAGTTGCCCGCTGCCTAGCGCCGGCCCGGCGAGGGAGGAGCGGCGACGCTGCGGCGCCTGCGCGACCCGTGGGACTTCGAGAGGCCGCCCGCCCCACCGGCCTTGCGTCTTCGTGGGCGGAGTGCTGCGCGCTGTCGCGTGTGGCACAATCCCAGTGTTTGGGTCCGAGTGGCCATGAAGTTGCGGGATCGGTGCTGCGCCAGCCAGCCGCGCATGCTCAGGGTCCACACCCCAAGTGCCCCCACCAGCACCCCACTGCCACCGCAGGAGCCCGCCCAGTCCCCCGCCCCCCCGGAATGGTGCTGGATTGGGAGTGGATGCTCCAGACTTGGATGGGACGGGCAACCTGGAAATGCCGCCCCCCCCCCCGCCGCGGCCTCCTGTCCCTACACCCCGTGATGGTTTGGAGGCATCTTCAGGTACTGACCAAGCCCAGCATGGAGGGAGCTGCCTGCGGGTGCCAAGACAGAAGGGAGCTGCAACAGAAGGCTCTTGATCCAGTGCCTCCACCAGCCAAACTTGGAGAGGGAGAGAAGGGGATGGGGGCCCTCCTTCCCATCCTCCCTTAGCCTTGGCAATGCCGGCTGGGCTGACGCCCTCGCAAGGCCACAAGCTGCTCAGCCCTCCCTGCCTTGAACAGGCAGTGCCCTGTTAGTGGAAGGAAGGCCCCCCACATCCCACCTAGCCAGGGCTCAGCTGGCAGGAACAGGGTGGCTCAGCTTTCCGGCCCTCCCTGCAGCCCCCAGTGGAAAGGCCAGCCTGCCCCACACTGCAGTTTTCACAAACTCCTGAATGAGACGTAGTCCCAGGTGGCCTGTCAGCCTCTGATCCAAGCGGGTGGGTGGCTGCAATGCACCCCCAGCCCTTCTCCTAGTAGTATCTGGCTGAAGTCACGTCGTCAGGACAAACCCTCTGCTCACCAAGGACAATTTCACGTGGACAGCAAAATACTCTGCTGAAAGAACAGCTGAGGAGACGGGGCAGAAACCCCGGTGGAAGCAGAAACTCATGCAAACTCCCTCTTTGGCAGGGAGACTGCTGACCTCAGCAATGCTGCACAAGGCAGATCCTGGGCCAGGCGAGCCCCAGATCTTTGAGTGCTGGTCTCTGTTATGCTACTGTCAGTTCGGTCAACTGCCCAACTCAAGGAGTGTTTCCCCAGACCCTGCACAGCTCTTCATGCAAGTTACTTGATGCATGCATTCTGTAAAAGCCGGACCTTCAGCAACAGTGCCTGATCCCCGATGACCTTCAGCAACAGCCTGCCTACAAGCAAAATGGATGTTTTTGGGTTTAATTGTATTTGTATTATGTTTATTTATGTGAGCCATCCCGAGGCTATAAGCGATGGGGTGGCATACAAAAATTCTACATAATAAATAAATAAATAAAAATGCAGAGGAAAAGCCAGAACCTCGGGCAGCAGAGGAGGAGGAAGAGAAATCCTGGGCCAAGTTTGTTAACGAAGGAGCATTTTATTCGTCCTACCTACACAGAACATTCTCCAAACTGTGCCAAGGTCTGGCACCCGACAGACAACCTAGACAGACGTTAACCAGCTTCAAGCGGTCACGCTGTGGCAGCTGCCTCTTTGTATGTGGCCATCATTTTCTTGATCTCAGCGATGGCTTTCCCAGGGTTCAGTCCCTACAAAGGAGAGAGAGAAAAGCAGCCACTGAGGGTGGAGCCATCAAGGCCTCATCCAGGGAAGCAGACACGAGCGACACATGCAGAAGGACAGCCCTGGCAATGCCAGGCCTTCCTTGGCTGGAGGACAGAGCAAGAAAAGCTGCACCCCTTCTTGGGAGGGGGCTGGCAAGTGGTAGGGGACTGTCCCACCCATTTGGTCCTGGGCATGCTCTTAAGAGCCCCTGTCACTGCTGTGGAACAGGAGACCCCTTGCAAGCCCATGCCTGACCGAGCAGCAGCCCCATCTGGATCGTGCCCAGCATACCAGCAGAGGCGGATGCCCTGGACGTCTGGGAAGCCAGCAGCACCCGGTGTGTCTCGTTGCCTGTTGAGCTGCCCGACAGTGCTCTCCCCCGAGCTGTGCTGGGCTCCATGTTTGCTCCCAGCCTGTGGGATCCGTTCTGGGCAGCAGGCGAGGCCACAGCCTCACTGCCCCTGGGCAAGGGGGGAACCCACCTTGGGGCAGGTCTTGGTGCAGTTCATGATTGTGTGACAGCGGTAGAGTGAGAAAGGGTCCTGGAGCTGGGCCAGCCGCTCTTCTGTGTAATCATCCCGGGAGTCAATCATCCACCGGTAGGCCTGCAAGATGGGGGGGGGGGGGGGGGGGGCGGGGGGCCGCCTTCACACCCCCCCTGTCCGGACCCCCAGCCAGCCTTTCTTCCTTCACTAGGCGGCTCCGCTCCCGCCCCTCAGCCAGCAGCCCAGGGGATGCCCCAGCCTGGCTCTAGCAACCCCCCCCCCCGCCGCCTTTGCTGCAGCTGCCCAGTTCTCCCCAGTCCAGCCCCAGTCTCATCCTTTCAGCCATGGCAAGACCCAGCCGGAGCACCTAGCTTGAGGCGCTCCGCATGCAGCTGAGGGGGAGCCCATGGGGGCAGCCGGGGGCCCTCCGCTCTCCATACCTGCATGAGCACGGCCGGCCCCAGGTACTTGTCTCCGTTCCACCAGTAGCTGGGACAGCTGGTGCTGCAGCAGGCACAGAGGATGCACTCGTAGAGCCCATCCTGCGAAGAGAAGGCCACTGTCAGGAAGGGGGTGGCCAGTGGTGCCTCTGGCCAGTGCTAGAAGAGCCCCCACGCCTCCCTGCCCCAGGCAGTAGCACCAGTCCCAGTCCTAGAGAACACCCCCCCACGAGCCTCCATGACGAGGGGAGCTGCTGCAGGGCACCCCGCAGAACCAGCCTTGTTTTGTCTGCAGGCGGTGGCCCTGACACTGTGCGTGTCTATAGGACCCACCCCGGAAAGCACAGCACCCCATTATATTACAGGTAATCAAGCAAGTTCCCAGTCCTCCAGCAATTCCTGCAAAGGTATCGGGAGCTGGGGCTTTGGGCTGTCACACCATGCCAAGCAGGGCAAAACTCAACCAGGCAAGTGCAGGAATGAGACAAAGGACCCGGCCATGGCTAGCTGCAGTCGCCATTCCTGGAGGGCAGCCTCAGCAGCAGGGTTCCTGCACCAGACACGGTGGGAAGCAGCCCCCGCTCTGCTCTTCTGCCCATCCCATCCCGGCCTCTGTGCGGAGAAGTGGGGCATCAGCACAGCTCCCGACAGCCCCAGCCTTGCTCTCCAGCTCCCTTCCAGGAAAGGCTGATGCAAAGCTTGGAAGCACCACCAAGGGCGCCTGTGCCGGGACCCCGAGGGGCCATTTCCCAGGGGCCATTCCAGGCACCCTGCAGTCCGCCACAGGCAACGGGAGGAGGCAGCTGCTGCTTCCGTGCTGCACTGGAGGCCGACGGGGGCCGGCAGCCTGGTCCTGGGCCCCACTAGGACCAGCCAGCTGCAGCCGGAAGGCACGAGGCCACCGTGTTCAGCCTCACTGGTCCTGCTGACCCTTTGGAGTCATCCGAGCAGTGGCTCAGGGCAGCGTGTCCCTGGCCGCCACAGGGGCCGCTTCACTGCCATGGGGTAGTCACAGTAAGGAGGAAGATGCCCCAAGGGTAGCTGCCTGCCAAGAAGTGGCCAAGTGCCAAAGTGCAAGAGAAATACCAGCTTCTCCCGGTCTTCTATGGACTGCAGGTATTGCTCTTTGCCTTGGTTGGTCTCATCCTTCTTCCTCAGATAAGGCTGAATAGCCTTGTATTGGGCATAGAAGTTGCTTAAGTCCTGAAAGAGGAAGAGAGGCAGGCCAAATCAAGCGCTGCCTGAAGACATGCAACACCCGCCCCACCCTGCGTCTGTGCCCCACTCCCAGGATCTCTCCTTGCAGGCAGCTATGTCTGCTATAAAGTCTCAGATAGGGAGCTTTCAGCAGGGGTGTGAAGCACTGTGAAACTGATTCTGGGAAAAATGGGGACGCGTAGGCACCAAACTCCTACAAAGCGTGTAACTGGGGGATCCAATCAGGCAAACATGCCTTCGGGACTGCCTTAATGAGCCAGCTGCCTTTCCCTCGCCTGCTGCTTCTTTGCTCCCAGACAAGGTCCTGCAGAGAAGAGTTTGCCACAATGGCCACAGCTCTGTCCTTGCGACATCCAGACAATGAGTTTCACAGCCTGGTTCTCGAGTGTTCTGACATGCCCCATTCCCCTTGGTTCAGACTTACAGGGACCAGGTCCTTCACCACATACATGTGGGGGAGGGGGTAGATTTTGGTGACCTTGCCAAGGTCCGTGTCAATCCTCTTGGTGCAGGCCAAAGTGTTGCCTCCTCCGATGTTCATAGCGCAGGAGCCGCAGATGCCTGCAGGGAGCAGAAAACAGGCCGCTGAGGCCCACTGGCTCTGAGGAGGCCCCTTAGAGGGGACCTTCGCTCCCGGATATCCAGAGGGAGGCTGCCAGCTCTTTCAACAGTCGTCGAGTAGACTGTTTATGAAGCAGAGCTATTTATAGTTTTGTTTGTCAAACAGAACTATTTATAGCCAAATGAGAGAAAAACCTCCTCCAAAGCAGAGATGGCCAAAACGATGCCACTTGTGGTCCCTGCTTCTCATGCGTCCCACCATTTATTTCCTTCAAATCAGCTCCATGCCCAAAATCTGCAAAACCTACTCTCAGAATTGTGCCGTTTCATTCCTAACTGGGGTGCAGGGGAGGTGAAGGACGCCTGTGAGATGGCAGGGGCCTTTGCCTGTCCTTTACATCAATTGGAACCAAGCTGTTCGCCTATAAGAAGGAAACTGAAGCACTGAGATGCAGCTGAGAAGGGGAATGGCTGGTGCTCCTGTCCTGTCTGCCGTTCTCCTGACCTTGCGGCTCCTCAAAACAAGAGAGGGAACAGAGGAAGCCACACTTACCTTCTCTGCAGGACCTGCGGAAAGTCAGAGTGGAGTCCATTTCATTTTTAATCTTGATCAGGGCATCAAGAACCATCGGCCCACATCTAGAAAGAGAAATTCCAAATGGTCCAGTGAATGTTGCCCTCACTCAGCTTACGGCTGCCTTCTGGGGCTGTTCTGTGCTGCATGCATTCAAGCACAGGTTCTTCACAACATTGAGGAGGAGGAGACTCATTGCGAAGAGTAATCATCCATCCTTTTGACTGTCCTCTGAAGATAGCAGCATGGCACTTTAGTGAAGACAGGTGAAGATCAGAAAAGCTCAAAGCTGGGACAGGGACAAGGGGGCCCATTAAGGCCAGCCTTCTGGTCCCACTATGGGCCATTGCAATGCTGGGCATAAACATTCCTCTCCCACTTGTGCCTACTTGGCTGCAACCATCCCTCTAAGAAGTGTGGGAGGCAGCTGGTTGGCACTGTTGTGTTGCTCTGACAGTGAGGAAGCTCTTCCTGATGTCCAGCCTGAATCTCGGTTGTCACAGCTTGAATTGATTATTCTGCATCCTACACTCTGGAACCAACAAGAAGAGATCTCGACCTTCCTTTTTGTGATAGCCTTTAAGGTACTTCTAGAGGGATCTCATGTCCCCCCTCAGTCTTCTCTTCTCAAGGCTGAACATAATACTAGAATATTTAACTAGTATTATGCAAAAAAAACCCCCACAATCTCTTGGAGAAAAATGTTCATGCTCTTCTGGAGACAAACCAATTCTCTGATCATTTCCTTAAATCGCACCTGATCTTGCTTCAGATGTTTGTTACTTGGCTAGGGGCAAAACAATTCCAAGCTAAGCTGACCATTAAATTTGCAGAAAGATTCCTTCTGAGTAACAACAATGAACATGCGTTCATCTCTGTTTTGACACACATTGTTTCCTCAACAGGAACAACAAGGACTTGTGATGAGCTTTTATAGGAATATATAATGCAAAGCACAGAACTTCGCAGATCTGAGAATCAAAACTTCCATTTTCAGGCTGTCCAAAAGCCAGTCCTCAAGGCAAACCAACACTTCATATGTACGCACTACAAATTTTAAAACTGGATTAATTCTACAGTCTGGTAGAAATGCCCTTAAGTTTATTAGTCTACCATGACACAGAGCTGGACGACCGATTCACATTTCTACGAGATCCCTCACTATCTCCCCGAACCCCTTCCTCAAGGAAGTTGCTGTCACTCACTTGTTCAGGTCTATTTCATACGTCTGCATCCGAGGTTTCTCCCCTGGGTTGTCCGGGTTCCACCGATACACTGCAAACTTCTTCACCCTTGCGGAACCTTGTGCAGTAGGTGCCACTGCTGCCGCTGCATAAGCTCTATGGCAGACCTGTAGGTCAAAGACACATGACCTCCTCCTCCTGCAGCTTCCTTGCAAGTGAGTCTAATTTATTGGCCTTTATTCTCTTAGAAGAGACCTCATTCTTCATTTGTCATTCTTCAGTGCTGCAGTCCTTGGGATATGTATTTTCATTTCATTACAGGTATGTAATATTACAAGTAGGTACCCCTGTAACAATCGTGGATACTTGACCATCCCCTCTATCTTGATCACCTATTGTAGGAGAGAACCTGAGCCAGAGACCGACGTGTGGGAAGCTAAGCAATTAGCGCAAGCCTGGCTAGCTTCCTGGCTGCCCCCTTCTGTGGCTCACGGGAGAGGCGGGTGTTGGTCCCTGCGCCATTTCCCACTACAGGGAGGCGAGGAGAGCTCTTTCTGCCCATGTGCTGCAGGCAGGAACTTCACCATTGCGGGGGTGCCTTTAAGTTCCTTCTGTTTCTCCCGCTTCCAAGGAAAAACGGGGCGGGGAGTCCCCCAAACAGGCCTGCGGAGCTACGCGGCCCGCTGGCGCGTCAGGCTGCCTGTCTGCACCAGGAAGTCGAGGGCCTGAGCCGGATCGGTGCCCACGCGAGGGAGCGGAGCAGGGCTGGGCGCGGAGGCCTCGCGGGGCCCTTCCGCCGCAAGGACGCTTCCAACCCGGCTTTCGCGGCCAGCCGGCCAGGCCCCTGCTTCCAGCCCTCGATGCCGCGGCGGCTTCCCGGCTTCTGCACCTCTTCCCCGCAAAAAGCCGACACGCCGGGCGTCAAGCTTTCCCGCGGGCGGGCAGGCAGCGCTGCGGGACAGACCGTGTCGCCCTCGGGCGCGTCTCGTGAGCCGCCCGCGTCCCCGCGCAGCTGTCCGGCCGACTCGGCGGGCGCACTGGCGCGGCGGAGGACGACTCCGAGCCGCGTCCAGGACCCTCCTGCCGCCGGGCCCCCGCTCGCCGCTCCCGGCCTCGCTCACCTGCAGCGGGCGCAGCAGCGAGTGGCCGCCGCGGCGCCCGAAAGGCCCCGCGAGCGCCAGCGCCACCACGGCCGCCGCCATCTTGCGCCCTCAGCTGATAGGAGCAAGGGTGTTGCCAGGGAGACGGGGGGCGGCCGTCCTCGCTCCGCGGCCATGGTGGGAGTGGCGCGCGCGAGGCGCTGCGTAGACCTACGAAAAGCTAGAGCCGCGGCGCCAGAGGGCAGAGCTCTTCGTGACCGCCTGGCCGGCGCCTCGGGCCTGCCCAGGCACAGGCTGAGGAGCGGGCGCAGGTTGCGCTTCCCGGCCGAAGCCGCGGCCCTGGCGCCCGGAGTCCCGCTCTCCTTGCGCCCGGATGAGGGAGGCCCACGTGGCGGCAGGGGAGGATGCCGAGCTGCGCCGGGCCTCGGAGAGCGGCGGCCGCGGGGTTCTGGAGCCGCTCCGGGTGGCCGTTCGGAGTGAACTCCTGGTGCGGAAAGCAGCGGGCGGAGCTTTCGCTGCTCGGGTCAAGCCATCACAGTCGTTGGTTTGGCCAAATGAGGCCCTCGTTGAGAAATGGCTCTGCAGAGTCAATGGCACTCTGGGCAGCCGACTTCATGTTAAAATCCTGGCAAGGTAGAACAGTAGAAAGCACAATAGAACTGAACACCAAAGATGCTAGAGCTCAGGTGCAAATCAGCAGAGCGAGAGAGAAGCAAAATACTATTTTAATTAATCCTATCTTTTCCAAGATAGAGAACCTTAAAAAACCCCTCCTTTAGTAGAACCTAAGCAGTTGATGCTAGTGTAGAGGTATGGGGCCCTGAAAGTCACATCACTGGCAGTGGCAGCAGCATAAAATTAAAAGGAGCGTGGAAGTGTGCGCGGCTGTCTTGCATTGTAAACGGCTCTGATCCTTTTTCATGCTAGGAAACTGCCCCCTTCACAGGGACAATCCCTGGGGTAGCATGTGGAGCATACACCAGGCAAGCCTCATCTCTAGGGGACGGCTCTCCTAAATTGTGGCTGAGCTTCATGTGTTTCCAGCCACTCCTCTTCATGGGGACCATTCAGCTCGGGGGGCCCTTTGCCGTGTTGCCAGGTAGCTGTCCTCTTCAGGGGCATGGCTGAAGGGCTCAGCCCCGGCGTGGCTCTGGGCCAAGGCAGGCCAGTCCCCACTTCAGTGTGGACGAACAAACTCGGACGTGGCAGGCAAGCCGCCACTCTCTGGGGATCGGCTCTGCGTGAAATCATTTGCAGCCACTCAAGGCAAGTGTCCTCTTCACGGGGGCGTCTTTTCTCAGCCATGAAATCATGACTGGCAAGCCAGCTCTTTCTCGGCATGCGAAAGATGCGGGGGAGAAGAATCCCCCTGCCCCCCACATCTTCAGAGCCAGGAGGGAGGAGCAGCCCTTCCTGCCCGGCCGCCCCCATTTCCTTCCCTAGGACGGCCATGTTAGAAGAGGCAGGAAGGGCAGCAAGAAGCTTCAAATGGCCTTCTGGCAGCCATGCTGGGCATGATGTCAACACCGCGACTTCTGTGGCACGGAGAAGTGACCCGCTTATGGCCCTTGCCGTGTTGGTAGTGTCTGGCTCAGAGACGGGTCTGGCCCTTCAGCCATCTTGGGAGTGGCCTGTCTCGGCACAGACGCGTATCTAGATCTACGAAAGTGAAGAGCGAGATGGTGGCATTCCACCAACTGCGGCAGCAGTCCCAAGCCCAGCCCGCTTCCCAGGAGGGGTGAAAGGGAGACGTTGCACCAGACCATGCCGGAGTGCGAGTTTGAGTGCAGCCTGTGTGTGAGGAGGGGTTTGTGCAGCCGGGTGTGAACAGTGTGCTCGAGGCGGACACCCATGGGCATCAGGGCTAGCCCTTCCCACAAAATACTTTCAGCTCTTCTGTCCCTTGACTATAGTCTACATGAAAATAATCCTGGAGATAATCATAACCCAAGGCAGCTCACACAATTCCCATTCTCCCCGTTCTATCCTCACAACAGCCCTGCGAGGTAGGGGAGCTGTGTGTCCCCTCTGCAAGTCAGCCACCCAAGCCCGGAGAATCTAATCCCTACTTGGAATAAATGCTGAGCAGGAAAGGGAGATCGTGGCCGAAGCCTCTGAAGTCCTGGGAGCAATTGCACAGAGCAGGAGCGGCACCTCATCCCTTTTGTACATCTATAGAAGGCCTCTGGAAGGCCGGCCACTAATAAATGATTCTGATGGTTGGAATGTGTTCAAAATGGGCAGAAATTATGAGCTGCACAGAAAAAGCTACTCAAGAAAGGTTCTTCATTATCGTCCTCCTTTCCATGGAATTTCAACCCTACATTAGGGTTAGGGTGTGAACCAGGGTAGGGTTAGGGTTCGGAAAACTAGTGGTCCTGGCATGATCCTGATGGTTGGAATGTGTTTAGAATGGGCAGAAATGATGAGCTGTGCAGAAAAAGCTACTCAAGGAGGGCTGCTTCATTATCGTCCTCCTTCCCATGGAATTTCAACCCTACATTAGGGTCAGGGTGTGAACCAGGGTAGGGTTAGGATTCGGAAAACTAGGGGTCCTGGCATGTTTTCGATGGTTGGAATGTGTTTAGAATGTGCAGAAATGATGAGCAGTGCGGAAAAACCTACTCAGGAAGGCTTTTTCTTAATCACCCTCTTTTCAATGGAACTTTATCCCTATAATAGGCTTAGGGGTGTGCACCCCTAGCCCAGAGCCAGCCCCAGCCCCAGCGCCAGCCCGTGTCCCAGGAGGGCGAAGGGGTTCCGTCCCTGATCTTCCCAAAAGCGGAGGGTGGGGGGGCCGCAGCGTGCGGCCCGTGCGCGGGGAGGGCTTCATGAAGCCGGGGATCCCGGTGTGGCTCTACGCTCAGCAACGGAGGCGTCAGCGGCGCTCCTGGAGTGCCCTCTTGTGGCCGTTGCCGAGAATTGCGGCCTGAAGGCTTTCACTGGAAAGGCAAACATTAACCTGGTACTTATTTATTTATTAAAATATTTCTATGCCGCCACCTTCGCCGAAGCCTCGGGGCGGCTCACAACACAAATTTAAAATACAAGAAATAACAATATAAAATAATAACAATATAAAAAACAATATAAAACATTTTATCCCATGTGGTGGACTTGTCATAAGGGAAAAAACTATTGGGCTAAACTACATAAATGGCTTGAGGAAATGTTACAAAAATCTTTAATATTTAAACCTGAAGTCTGATTCTGCATTGTGTCTGATGATGTTGACAAACAGGCAACCTATTTGATTTACATGTAGTAATAACTGCAGCAAGGATTGTATTTGCCCCACATTGGAGGAGTGAAGAACCACCTTCTGATGAACTGATTTTTAAAAAATCATTCTCCCCATTCTATCCTCACAACAGCCCTGCGAGGTAGGACAGCTGCGACTCCAAGCCTGGAGAATGTAATCCCTACTTCGAGTAGACGCCGAGCAGAAGGAGATCGCGTTCTGAGGGCGGTGCACAGGGCAGGAGCGGCGCCTCTTCACTTTCGTACGTCTATGGAACGCCTCTGCAAGGACGGCCACTACTAAAATGGCGGAGGGCTACACTCCCTGTAAGAAGCCACGAACAAGATGGCGCCTGTGTCGTCACTTCCCTCCCTCCCCTCCCGAGCATGAGGCACTTACTGCCTCTCCTAAGATGGCCGCCAGAAGGGGAGGCGCGGCTCTTTCCTGCCCTTCTTCCCCGGAAGGTCCGACCGCTTGGCAGTGACGACGTGGCCGCTCGCAGGCGGAACACTTCTCCCGCGCTGCCTGGCCCGGCCCGTCGCAATAAGTGGGTGCACAGCGGGCTTGGCAGCGCCCTGCTCGCTGCCCCCCCCCCCCCCCCCCCCCCCCCGGCTCCGTCCCTCCTGCCCCCAGTTCTCCCTGCTGGGCCAGGCCCGCTGTCCTGCCCAGGAATGCAGGCCCGCTGTCCTGCCCAGGCTTGCTACATACAACCCCCTCTCCCCACTGGAGCCGCCTTGGAAGGCACTCGCAGGGAGGAAAGGGGATGGGAGACCTCCTCCCCCGGGGGGGTGTCGCCTTTCCAATATCTGAGTCCTCTCGTGTATTTCAGAGGAGAGATGGGATGGTATA